TTTACTGCGCATTGTGTTTACTTTTCCGGTTTCTCCAAAATTTTAACTTTTGGGTAGGCACGTGTTACACGTAGGAGTCAATGGGTTAAATAACATCTCAAACGTAATAATTAAGAGAACTCCCCACAGTTTACCATGATCCAGTACATGGCAAGGACTTACGATGGTAATATTAAGTATTTACGGTTAAAAATATATCTTATAGAGTTATTTATAGGTGAGGCTTTCCCACTCTTTGTTTTTGCTTTTATCACATTCAATTCTTCTGCAACATAAATAATGAATAACTTCTGTCAGTATATGATATTGTTTGATAATTTATAGCATATAACGTAGCCTATACGATTAAAAAAAAACAAGCTATAATGATAGGGTGTTGGTTGGTTTCTTAGTGGGGACATACGTAATTTCAAACTTGAAATGAGTCGCCTATTAGCGACCAGAGTTAAAATTCTGGTGACAATCAGTAAATTTTTAGTTGATTGCAATTTGGCCCACAACAAAGGTATGTTGTTTTGATTGTGTTTTTTATCCTCTGTGACTTACAAGTGATATTTTGATAGCAACCATTTTTGTTCTTAAGTGGAAAGGCCTTTAAAAGATTAAATCATCTTTCTTACTACACTTTTAGGTTGAATCAAGATCCCTCTTTTCATCTCTCCACAAAATGTTTTTTATTACTCTGCAAAACTTCTAAATTACTTGTATTTGTTTCATCATATTGTTATTTAGAGGAACTTTTCTTGTTTATAATTGATTATGCAAAATACAGGAAACTGAATATTTTATGTACCCACTCCTCCCTCAGATTATTCTGCATCCTCCTGACCGTAGTGTCGATTATCCAGCGTTTACTGTAGACGATGGTTCGCAGCCTCCGATAACTGTGATGTGCAAAGAAAGAAATGTATTGGTGGTGACCTTCTCAAGACTTTTGTTTACGAAAATAGGTCAGTTGAATAAATGATTCAAAAGAGCTATGTTGAACTGTTAATTTAGTGTTAACAAGAGAGTTGAAAACGTAAATTAACCATGGTAAAGAGTCTAAAGGCTGACTTATCGAACATCACACTAAGGGCTAACGCTCAAAACGTCAGCCCTGAAACTCTTTACGGTGGTAAATTTACGTTTTCAATTCATTTGTTAACACTTAATTACCTGTTATACTCTCCCACCAGTGCAGCACCACAGTTTCTTCAGAAACTTACCCCCTTTATTTATATGTAGAACTGTTGTTGATGATGTTGTTGTAGTCACAAAGTGCGAACTGTCTGTTCAGCCGAGGAAAGCTACAAAATGTTAGTTAGGTAAGATAAGAAAACATCAAAAAATAGAAAAAAAAAAACAAAACAGTGGCAGGGAGAAAATTGACCAGGATTGCAAATGATGAGTAGTAGAGCGCTTTTCTAATGAGTGACTAAAGTTCGAAATAATCACAAAGGCCAATCAGGAGAAAGGTTTAATATCACAATTAGCCCTTGAGAACTCAAAGTAAAACAGGTAAATGGCTGAAGTGCGGGAAAACGTGGGTGACCAAATTGCGATTGGTGGCAGTTTTTTATTTGATTAGTTGAGAAGGTGGCACAATTTTTCAAGACCAATCGTAGAACAAAGTGAAGCAAAACCAACTCAATCCCAGATTAACTGGCTCGACAGTCAATTAAACATTTCTTTATCTATCTATCAACAAAGACATTTTTCCCAGTTTCCTTTGAAGCTGTTGTCTAATCTTGACCAGACTTTTTCACTATGAGCACCGCTCAGCCGCTAAATAACATATATACTTTCTTACAAAAAGGTGTAGTTCCGCAAATTCTTAAGCATCTCATCTCTTACTCTTCTTTCTCTTGGGTATTTTTTGCAACTTTTTGTGAATATACTTGTGGCCTGAGTTGTCAGGGCTTAAAACGAGAAAAGAGCCTCAAAAATATTTTGTCTGATACAAAGATGTGGAACAATGGTCCATTTTACAGTTGCCTGCTTGGTGGCCAAGCCTTTGAACAGGAATGAGGCTAAGGTTGACCTTGTTATGATACAAACGTTGCTGCTTTTCAAATGTGAATTACTCTGTTATCATTCTAACTGGATACTGGTCTCTATCACAATATGGTTACCTTTAATATCTCAGTCTCCAAATCAAAGGCTTGGCAACTAAATACACAACTGTAAAATGGCCTATTGTAACAGGTGGGGAGCAAATAAAAAAAGCTGTGTATATTTCGAGTATCCAAAGCTCAGATCTCCTGATTTTCAGAGTCCAAATGCTCTACCATTTGAGCTCAGGACAACCTTTAGGTGAGCTAGGCTGTAAGTTGGAGCCATATGGGAACAGATTCCAGCATGCTGCTTGCATCAGTGTTGTCGAAACCATCCTTTTTGAAGATGTCAAGTTAAGTGGTAACATAATTATAGATTGGCTTTTTAAACAGTTCTTATCAGCTGAAGTTAATTTTTTGTCAACCCTTAGTTGGAGGAGTTGAAACCAGGTGGAGCTCAGATACCAGTCACAGAATCAAACAAGAAAGAATATCTGGACTTCAGACATAGTTTGAAGCTACACTGGTTTGCAGATTTAATGAATGTAACCGAAGAAGTTACAATTCATAGACCCAACGTTTCGACACTCCTGTCTAGTGCCTTCATCAGGGGTGATCTAAACGCTGCAACAAGAGGTCCTTTTATATGATCACTAATTAGCGGCCTTTTTTCTGACGAGATGTAAATAGGCGTCAGGAAGCAGACCGCCATCGTCACGATTTAAAGGAGCGTGGGCGGAGTTAATGTGCCAAGCCTCCAAACAAAGGCGCTGGTGGTAACGCCGATTAGTAGTGATAATTTTAGAATTATCCCACCCAATTGTATGGTTGGTTAGGCAAGTATGCTCCGATAAAGCTGAATTTTCCTTTTTGCAAAGAAAAACCGCTTTTTGGTGCTCTTTTAACCGTGTACCAAACTGGCGTTTGGTCTGTCCGATGTATTCGTTATCACAGTCATTGCAAGGAATAGAATAAATGGCGTCGGTTCGTTGTTCTTTCGTAACAGGATCCTTAGGTTTGGCGAAAATATGCCCCAAAGTCTGAAAAGGTTTTTGAGCAACTTTAACGTTGTGGCTATTCAAAATTCTCTTGATGGGTTCAGTAACACCCTGTATGTAAGGAATAACAGCAAAACCAGTCGCTGGTTCCCTTTCATCAAGAGCGTTACTATTTGTAACTGGTTTTTGGCAGTTACGGAGAAAAGTTTTTGTATAGCCATTTGCCTTTAGGACATTGGAAACATATTTCCTCTCCTCAGCCTTCGAATCGAGTGATGATGGTAGACAATCAGCCCTCCTAAGTAAAGTTTTGGCTACAGACTTTTTATGGCAAATAGGATGGTGAGAATCGAAAGCGAGGTATTTGTCGGTGTGGGTGGGTTTACGATAGACTCTTGTCTCTAAATTACCCTGAACCCCTCTAGACACATTTAAATCAAGAAAGGGCAAATGTCTATCCTTTTCACGTTCAAGGGTGAATTGGATCGACGGCTCTACTGAATTCAAATGCGACAAGAGGCGCTCCGCTTCATTTCCGGATACCGCAGAAATAACATCATCGACATATCGTTTCCAGAAAAAGGGTTTAACCGGTGAAGTGGCTAAGGCCCTTTGTTCCACGTCTTCCATTACCATGTTAGCAATGACAGCAGAAACAGGCGAACCCATAGCTGTACCAAAAACTTGTTGATAGTATGTGCCGTTATATGTAAATTGCGTGGTTTTGAGGCAAAAAGACAGCAGATGAATAATATCCTCCACAGGCAAAGAAGTTCTTTGTCCTAGGGAAGCATCTTCTCTGAGTCTTTCCTCCGCAACCTTAACGGCAAGATCAACTGGGATTTTAGTGAAGAGCGAAACAACGTCGAAAGATACTAATTCTTCACAAGCGTCAAGAGTTTTATCTCTTATGAAATCCGTAAATTCGCAGGAATTTTTGACAGTGTAATCAGTATTCCCAACAACAGGCGACAAAATTCTCGCAAGATAACCAGAAATTGCATAAGTCGGAGAATTAACAAAAGAGACAATGGGTCTCAAAGGAATTCCCGGTTTATGAATTTTAGGTAAGCCATAAAAACGTGGACATAAGCCGTCACTACTGTATAACATTTTGTACGTAGAGTCACTAATTCTGCCAGCTTTTTTCAAATCAAGCAACATTTTGTTTAACTTTCTTTGAGTTTTACTGGTTGGATCAGAGTTTAAGACAGCATACGTACTCTTGTCATTGAGTAGAGACAAAGCTTTGTCGTGATATTGCTGTTTGTCCATAACCACAACACAATTACCCTTGTCAGCAGATAATACGAGCCTGTCCGGATCCTTTTTGAGAGTTATAAGCGCATTGAAAACATCCTTTTGAATGTTTTTGGGAGGAGGTTTAGCACGTCTGAGTACGCTACTTACTTCTGCTCTTACCAAATGCCTACGATCGTCGTCGAGTTGAGAGATACTCTCCTCAACAGCGGCGACAATTTCGGCGGTCGGTATTTTGCGAGGAGCAATAGCAAACTTTAGACCCTTCTCTAAACCACTCCGTTCCAGCGCGGATAATTCCTTGGAGGAAAGGTTCATGACCCATTTATCTTTCAGAGATGAGCCTGAATTAACAGGAGACCTCTTACTGAGCAAGTAAGACTGGACTTATTGGCTCAGTATCGTCTTGCAACCTCTGTTAAACAGGAGATTAAAGCTTTTGTGAAAGGTGTGATTAAAAAGGACTCTGCGCTTCGTCATTAAGTATTTTTTCAGGATACCCATGGTTCGTCAGTCCACTCCATTCTTTGCGTGTTATTTTCTATAGTTGTTTGTGCACCCACTTTGTCTTAGGGTCTCTCCTCTTCCTTGGGGGGGAAGAAGGAGGGAATCTGGGAACAAGGTTGATTATGCAAATTCCAGAGGCTAAAAGAAGAAAGAAAAATATAAACCAGGGGACATCTCTTGGTGATTTTACATCAATTTTATGTTCTTAGGCCTGATAAAGTGAGACATTAGCGGCAGACAATAAGGAGAACTGATATTAAGTTGATCATGAGGAAGGGTTAATTAAGGAGTGTTGCCAAACAACGGTAACACAAATTAAGGACTGCATTTCTCGCAGAGGTCAAACATTTATCTCAACATGGTCTTCCTGAAACCATGGATGATAAATATGATTCTGGCACAGGGGCAGCTGCTCGCTCAGAAAGAGTAGATGGTAAGGAAAATAAGAAAGAAACATCGCAACAAAGTAATAGAAAGAAATCTCAGACAAGAAAAGGGCGAGCAAAAAAGAAATTGATTGAATGTGAGGGAATAGAGGATTGGTCTGACAATGATGATTATTATGATGATGTTGATGAGCTGTATGATGACGACGTGGATGATGATATGGAGGATGGTGAATCTATGGATGATGATGTTTTGAGTGAGAAAGGTTTAAATGATGAAGAAACTGATAGTATTGATTCATGGAAAGTGACAGAGAAGCCTTTGGATGAATCAGAAGATTTTGATGATGAGGATGATGATGATAAACTTAAAGAACAAGAAGATTTGCAGGAGGAGATCAAACAGCCCAAAGGTAGATATGAAAACTCTGCTTTATTTTCTGGTATGTTTATTATAAGTTAATGTAGTTGTTTGCTTAGGACTTCTCTTGGGTTGTATTTTTGTCCTAAGTTTGTCACATGCTAAGCTTTATTTTATAGTACAATCTAACCTGTTTTAAGCAACACCATATTAAATGGTCACCCTGTATTAGGTAGTCAGTTTTTTAAGTCTCTGATTTGTTTTCCTTTATTACTGTAATGTCAACCTCTGTTAAGTGGCTACCTCCATCGAGAGGTTGTGGTTACCTTTAACTAAGTCCTAATGGCCCGTTTGTATTGTCCTCCAGCTCTATTGAACTGTAACTTAACCCAGTAACTCCTAGAAATGGTTAACGTGTAATTTCAGCCTATAATCTCCATACACTGTCCAGCAAACAGGTAACAAGAATACCCAAACTTATCAAGTTGACAGAAGTTGTTGTCTTGATCCAACACCAAATTGTTGTAACTAATTAACAAGGAAATGTGTAACAGCAAGTGGGGAGAATTAACAATCAGATCTTGGAAAGTTAAAGGGTTAAGCAGAACCACTCAAATAAAACTAAGAAATATCTCTCAAATCAAATTATTTCCATGTTTTCTCTCATGAAATCCATGTTAGTACTTTGAGTTCAGATGTCCTCAACACATTGCAAATTATTTTTTTCCTTAGGATTGTTAGGACAAAAATGAGTTTCTGATTGCATTTTACTGCCTCCAGGTGGAACCTTAATGTAGTGGTGAACCTGTTTTTCCACCCCAACATCAGAATGTATATTATCCCTAGTATTTTCGGATCATGTGTACTATAGGTGGACTCGGTCGACATATCGGGCGACAGTCGACCGATATATCGGTCGACTATCGGTCGACTATCGGTCGACAATCGACCGACTATCGGTCGATAGTCGACCGATAGTCGACCGATTGTCGACCGATAGTCGACCGATGGTCAACCGATATATCGACCGACTGTCAGCCGATGCATCGGCCGATATGTAGCGATCAACTGCCGGTGAAGTATCGGTCAAGTATCGGTCAAGTATCGGTCAAGTATCGGTCAAGTATCGGTCAAGTATCGGTCAAGTATCGGTCAAGTATCGGTCAAGTATCGGTCAAGTATCGGTCAAGTATCGGTCAAGTAGCGGTCAAGTAGCGGTCAACTATCGGTCAAGTAGCGGTCAAGTATCGGTCAAGTATCGGTCAAGTAGCGGTCAAGTAGCGGTCAAGTATCGGTCAAGTGTCGATCAAGTATCGGCCAAGTATCGGTCAAGTATCGGCCAAGTATAGGTTCACTTACCGACCATATCGCTCAGAAGAAAATAGGCCAAGAAAGAGTGCGAGGTTTTTTCGATATATGTTCCGATTTGGTAATGGAAAAATACATTATAAAGTTGGTCGCTCTTGTGTAATTAATGTTGTACCTTAACGTATTTCCATCATTCCTAAAACTACCCGGCTTATGCTTTATCCCTGATGTCATGCTGCCCTTAATCCAACATACCTAAAATGATTATTATTCCTTAGCTCTTATAGCTCTAACAGGTCCTTAACGTTATATTCCTTGTACAACGTTACCGATATTAACTGTCCAGTTAATGTCGGTAATGGGATCCACCTAAATTGTATCAGCTAAAATTGTAGTGTGTAACTGCCCAGCTAAACGAAAAGCAAATCAGCAAATGATCTTTTGAAACTGAACTAGGCGGTTAAACTCATAAGCAAAGCGATTTTATAAAGACTTCTTTTTGCAGTGCGAGGTCAGCCGTTGTTTGTTTGTTTTTTCATTATTGTTATTTGACCTAGAATAGGGCGTCTTTTTGGGGGTTTGGGCCTTAACAACGGTATCAATTTTTTTTATCCTTAAATAGGGAACTCCGCGGCACCCACCTATCGGAAATACAGTACTAATCCGCTTATAAGAACCTAGAATTCGCGAACCTGTTAGCCTAAAAATATCAATTTAGACCCCCTTTACATAAGAATCTATTTAGCCTAAATTTGAAACAGGTTCCTGTTTTAGAAAATAAACCTTAAAGATCATCAGGCAAAGATAAAAGACATGACTCTCAAAAGTAGTGAACTTAAACATGTATGAACTATAAAAATCTCTAAATTTGGTATAAATAATTTATGAAAAACGGTAGTATGTACATGTTGGTTTTGAATTAGAATTCACATGAGTACACCCTACGAGTACATTTAGAACTGAGAACTCAGATTCTTATAAGCGGGTAAGTAGTGTAGTTGACTTACTAAAACGAAATCAAGTCTGCAATGAATATCTGGTTGTCTTTGCCTCCAGATAAACCTCTTGCCATTTGGATTAAAAATTCTCCAAACATCGCATAGCTCCAAATTTTCCATCGCATTTTGCACTATCTTTAAAGCGTTCTGATGTGTTCTAGCGATGCCATTTTTTCAGAGAAAATTGAGAGAGTAAAAAACATCCTAAGCAGCCGGTCTGCTAGGAGACTTACTCTTCTAGGTAAAATCACGATAATAAAAGCTTTGGCAGTATCCCAAATTGTACATGTTTTAACCTCTCTTCCAACGCATCAGGGTGCACTTAAGGAAATCGATACCCTGCTATGTGACTTTCTCTGGGAAAGCAAAGGGGACAAACTTAAAAGGACACAAATGATCAATGATTACGATAAAGGAGGCCTCAAGATGATAGATATTCAAAGCTTTAATAAATTGCTAAACAAAAAGTGGGTAAATGGAAACTTCTCGTAGACTTCCACCTCCAGAAGTGTAGGGGGAAAGTAATGTTTTTAAAGTGCTACTACGATCAAACTATCCATATCCATTTTTATAATTTCGTGTAAAATATGACTGTCTAAAATACCTTGCTAAATATCAATCCATTACGACCATCAGAAATCTTTTTTTTATTTGTATTTTTATTTCCGAGAAGTTGCAGTCGCCATTTCTTTATCTCGTTCCAATTATAGCCTGGTTGAGAATTAGGGAAAATGACGTCAAATGCTCAAAATACCTCGCGTAAATTAACTCGAGTGTGCTAGACTATTGCAATGTTTGAATTTATTACAGGTACAGTAAAAAACCCTTTTTTAAGAACCTAGATTTTACGAAAAAAATAGATTAACTGAAAATGTCAGACAAAAATTGTACATTAAAACTCCTTTTACACGAGAATCTGTTTTAGCCTACAACTTTGAAACAGGTTCTTTTTTTTGAGAAATTCCGTCAAAGCAACAACACAGTTCCATGTATTAATGTTACGTTTTGTTCTGTTTATCTTGGATAGCTTTGTAAACTTGGTAAATATATGCTTGGATTTTTAACATATTATGCATACAATACCAAAAATAGGCCACGCCCTCCAATGACAAACAACTCATTTATTTTTAAAACTAGACTGCGAGCAGAGGGCGCGATCGACGAGCGGTGAGCGGCCAAGCTGCGATCTCTTTTCGCTGTGACTGGCGCCCCTGCTGCTCGCAGATCACGGCCTCGCCCCTCATCGCTCGTCGATCACGTCCGCTTTTTCCCCGTTCGTTCCAGTGGGATTTCACAGCAAAAGAGACTGCTCGCAGTCTATTTGAAAACAAGAACCTGTTAAAGAACCTGAGTAGCCAAATTTTCCAGTTAAGCACCATCTTTTATAATAACCTTCTTAGCCTTACTTGGAAAAAACTAGGTTCCTATTAGCGGGTTTTTACCGTATATGCTTCTGAGTCTAAAATTGAAAAAAATACCAAATTGCACCAATGTTGCACTAAGGTCACAGGAACTGTCCCGTTTCGGGGGAGGGGGGTACTCCCGTAAATTTTGAATAAGTGTATGCCTCGAAGAGTCTTGAACCCTGTCCCACTTTAAGGATGAAACAAACAAGAATTGTCCAAACACGAAATATGACACCCCATTCAAGGAAAAACAATAACCAAACAACGGCTAACCACGCGCGGCAAAACACAAATCTCGATAAAATCGCTTTGTTGACAATTTTAGCGGAATTTTCTTTTTGTTTAGCTGGCCATTTACACACTGCAATTTTAGCCGATACAATTTACATATCCTATCTAAAGATCATAACGGAAACACAATGCTAACAGAGGCAAAACGATAACCGCCAAAACCATACCCTATCCCGCGGCACAAACATGTATATGGAAGTACCCCCACCTCTGGGTATTTAAAGTGGATATTGTTCTGTAATGTCCTCCATCAGGTGAAGCTCACCATGCCATCTTCTCCACATGAATTCCTTAAGGTATTCTTGTAGGAAGTTAGGATTTGTGTGATGAAATACAATGTATACGAGGCATCGAGGTGAATCTCTTTATGGGCACATTTCTTGATGACACATTAATTGTTAACATTTTCAAGGTAAAATGCGCACAGTTTTTGGCATTTTGGCTCTAATCTGGCTACAGGTTTTGCCGAAGATTTTGGGAATAATTCGGATGGTGCTATTTTTCTGTTGAAGTCACTACGGTGAGATCGACTTGCTGGGATGGAAGAGAAGAGAATAAAACGTGCTATAGCCATTCGCGAGAAGAAGATAAGGTGCAAATAAGCTTACATTCGTTCAATTGATCTTCAAAGGATAGTGACTAAAACACCACACGAGCACTACGAGTAACATACAAGTACATACGAGTAATTACGAGTCATACGGGCGCACACAGATACATATGAGTAACATAAAAGTAACATACGAATACATGGAGTAACACACAGATAACATACGGTCAAATGTGGGTAATACGCATGAAATCTGCAAAGTAAAATACAAGAAATTGGACCTTTAACGGAAATCGTCGATTTGTTTTTCACTGCTCGGTATGGAGAGAAATTAGCATTTGAGGGTGTGTGTGTGTCTGCGTGTGTGATGGGGGTGGGGGGGCTGGGAAGAGACCTTCCTTAATGCTTCCTGTGAGCCTATTACTGCATAAAATAGCAATAACAAAACTAATAATAAATTCAAATACTATTCAATCCTGTAGGCTGAACAACAACGCTGATTTCCTACGGTTACCACCCTCCCGAGGTAATATCCGGGAGAAGATCGGCCCTTGTGACCCTAGGGTGGAAAATGTTTGAAGTTTTCAGTTTTTCCCGTGGGTAGGGGGTTGGGCGACTTCAAATAACTACCCACACAAAGACTCCTGGGGCGAAACGAGATATGTATTATTTTATTATTTTTTTATAATTATTTCATTATTTCTCATTTCTTTTATTTTCATTGTATTTCTTATTATTAATTTATGATATTTCCATTTTATGCAGCAATAGGCTCACACGAAGCACACGCAAACACACCCTCAAATGCTAATTTCTCCCCACACTACCCCGTTTTGTACATATGATATCATTTGCACATTTATCGCGATTGACTACCTAATTTACCCCGACCTGCTCTCGTGCTGGTCTCGTAGCTCAGTCGGTAGATCTAATTCGGAGGTCGTGGCTTCAATCCCCACTTGGTCAAATTTTCTTTGCCCCGTAAGGACTCCCAAATTTCCCTTAAAAGGGTAGTAACCCAGGGGGATTTATTGTATCGGCAGTATTGCCTTCTTCCAGCACCCAAATATTTATTTTAAAAAAATTATAATTTATATTACGGGTGCTTCGCGGTTCACATTCTATATCTTTATCATTTGAACCAATGAATACACCGAGCAGTAAAAAAAAATCGAAGGTTTCCGAGAAAGGTCCAATTTCTCGCATTTTACTTTGTTTTTACAAATCAAAGGAAAGAAAGTCAATTAAGCTTTCGCTAAAATGCATGCGATCAAAAACCATTTCCCATTTGAGTTTTGGAATGTAATTTTTTTTTTGGATGACAAACTGTAGTTACCAGTATACATCTTGTATTACGGAGGACAGTAAGGAAATTAACCAATGTTTTTTAAAACACTTGCACACAGCCATTGTTTTGCTTCATTTTGTCGGACAAATATCTCGAAACAGTTGTATCCTATAAAGTGGATTTACAAAGCTACGGAACCTAATACGATCTACATTTTCAACCGTCACCACCATTTAGTACACCAGCGTTGAAGACTACATCATCGGAAAATGAAATTTCCTTACTCGCGGTCCAATGGGAACAAACAGTGTTAGAATCGTTTTGACGTTTACTAAAAACACGCGCTTGATATAGAATGAAATAGAAATCAAAACTTTATGAGTGCGGCTGGAAGTATTGCGAGTTCACTCTACCGACGTCCCGTTTGCCGTCATGTCTCAAACTGGAGGTTTTTAACCCTTTAAATAGTCGAATTGTGTGCTCTTTATCGACAGACGGTGACACTTTTTTTTAAAGAATAATGACAGCGGCGGCGGAAAAAAAGTTAAAATGCCATTCATTGTCCAATGAAATAAGCTTCCAAAGCACAGATAATAAAACCAAATATAACCTAACCTTTGAAAAGGGTGTAGTAAGTCTCCAACGCAATAAACGTCGTGCGTTGTATATCTCATAATTTTGATGTACTGTAAGTGAACACAGATCCTTAATTCTCACACCACATCTATCTCCGGAAAAGTAACAGGCAAAGTCAATAGGTTGAATATACTTGAAAAACTAGAGAGGGTAAAGGACCGTGCACTTAGGTATGACATGTATTTATAGCAAAGACCCTTCATTAAGAAAGAATGCTCAATTTGATTGGTTTACAAAACACATTAAAGGGTCGTCTCACCCAAGATATGTTAATTACGATAGACAGATGTTTTCAAAAGAAGACACCCACCACTAAAGATAATTCATTTCAAGTAAAGAACACGCATCGTAATTAAAGGGGCACAAATATGCTTTGATACCTAAAGTAAGATGTACAAAACATGGTCTAAGGTCTCTTCGTTACTTCGCCGCTGTAAGGACTTGGAATTCGCTGCCGGAGACGATACGCGCTATGGCCGGCACAAGAGAAATTTAAAACTGGATTCCAGACACGCAATTTACATGTAAATTATGAGGTAATCATATTACTTATTAGAGTTTTATATCTTTTATCGTGGAATAAACCCTTCCCACCGGGGGGGCAATGAATTATCGGCCAAGTATCAGTGAAGTATCGGTGAAGTGTCGGTCAAGTATCGGTGAAGTGTCGGTCAAGTATCGGTGAAGTGTCGGTCAAGTATCGGTGAAGTACCGGTGAAGTATCGGTCATGTATCGGTCAAGTATCGGTCATGTATCGGTCAAGTATCGGTGAAGTATCGGTCATGTATCGGTGAAGTATCGGTCATGTATCGGTCAAGTATCGGTCATGTATCGGTCAAGTATCGGTCATGTATCGGTCAAGTATCGGTCATGTATCGGTCGAGTATCGATGGTTTAAGACTATATCGGTCGACACATTTATCGGTCGACTGTCGGCCGATACATCGGTCGACTATCGACCGATAGTCGGTCGACAGTCGACCGATAGTCGGTCGATTGTCGACCGATAGTCGACCGATAGTCGACCGATATATTGGTCGACTGTCGCCCGATATGTCGACCGAGTCCACCTATAGTACACATGATCCGTATTTTCTATACGATTCCTAACTAAAGGTACTGTCAAGGAAAATTTGTTTATCAATCAAGAAAATATTTAGTTGGTGATCGTTTTCTCTATTCTCAAGACCTTACTGTGTGATACAAGGGTTATACTGTTGGGAGAAATTAGATACTAGTCACTCTCAGGGGTGTAAGGGTTAAGTGGTCACCCTGCCTTTGGCTGTACATGACCACCTAATACAGGTTTGACTGTAATTCACAGTATGTGTCAAAATAAGTTGGTAATATAATCATCAAGTCAAAGTATACTTTAATTTTATCATGCTTGTTATAATTACTTATGTTTTCTGAAGGATGGACACAGGAGAAAAACAATTTATTTTGCCAACATTTACATCTATGTTATCAACAGTTTCCAGGGTTGAAATAAAGTTACCTCACTGTAATGTAATTGGAAATGGTTCCAGTCTGACTCGTATGATCTTAACACATTCTGTGTTTTCCTTCCTTAGAACAAAACCAAGAAATAAAGAAAGAAAATCAAGAACTCAAAGGTTAGATTTTGCCTACAAATGTGGTTATTCATACTGCGGTGTGTATTTTCCCATTCAGTTATGCTCAGTTCAAGTAAAAGAATTGAGAGTAATGCATGATCAAAATTGGTCAATGTGTAATAGCAACAAAATCATTTCAATAACCTGTTACTCTATGATGAAGGAACCTTGTCAGTGTCTTGAAACCAGGTGACCACATCCTTTTATAAAGGCCAGGAAATTTGAAACATAGCACCTTAAGTTAACCCTTTCACTCTCAGCATCTCACTAATGATTCTTCTTTGTGAGAATTTGGTATTGAATCTGGTAATAATCCCCTAAACGATATTTGTCTTTATTCTTATCACTTTGCTTCTTGATACTGAAATTGAAATTGTGAGGAGAAATTCTGTTTCGGTCACTCATGGGAGGTAAAGGGTTAAAAGTCACTACAGAGTACAAAAAAGATCATGTTATATAATTATAATATATGACCATTGTACCTGATATTGGTCGACAGATTCAACTTTACTTCTTGTTCTATATTCCAAGTGCAATTCCTTGAAATAAAAACAGTTTTAATTAAATAGTAGTTTTTGTTATGTTTGCTTGATTAGAAGAGGTTGGCCACTTGCTTTACCAAGATGCCACAGCACTCCTAAACCAAACAAAACCAAACTACAAGAAGTATGTATGAACTAAACATTTATGTGTTGTTGATTTTAGGAATGTCTCTATGAACTTATACTCACATTTATTGTTACAGAGCATATAGCTTACTGGAAGAAGCTGCCTTTCTTCACAACTTTACCAAGGCTCAAGAACTGGTTGCTCTATCCTATCTGGTTTGTATATACATTCTTTTATTAAAAAAATTAGGAAGTACAGAGTTTTGACATCAGTAATCAGGCATCCTGTTATCAGTGTATTTGAAAAATGTACTTCTGTATCAGAATTTTGGAAATAGAAAACTTGGTATAACCACTTCCATATCCTATTTTAATCTATACAAGTCAGAAGCACATTATTCCTATATGTGATTTGTTTTTAACAGTTTGGTGATCATCTTCCTCGCAACATTTCCAAAGCAGTGCTGATGTTGACAGACCTCGCCAACAAAGGCTCAGCTGTTGGCCAACAGGTAATGACAATAAATTCCTGTATTCATTCAGTCCATTCCTTCATTGCTAGGGAACAGTGTGCATGTTGTAGTTCAATTTTTCCTTAATTGATTTTTTTTAGCCAGAAAAGGATAATGAAAATCAAATTGGTTCAGAATGATTTAAACTAAGAAAAACTTATATGCTAACCACAACATATACATGTGGTGTGGTATGAAATTTTAAAATTGATTTGATTTGTTGCAGACTCTAGGATTCTTGTATGCTACTGGTATTGGTGTCAACTCTAGCCAGGCCAAGGCTCTTGTTTACTATATGTTTAGTGCATTAGGAGGAGACTTCAAAGCTCAAATGGCTCTGGTAAGATCTTTTGCCAAAATTCTTCATAGACTCCTCTATTTAAAGTTTATTATTATTATTATAATTATTATTATTATTATTTTGGTATTTCCTTGTGTTTTACCCTCTTAATAGGATAATAGCACAAAGAAGACACAATAACAAGGGGATTGGAAACAACAAGTTTTGTTCACTTGCTTCCCACCTCAGGGGCCATTGTTTGATCTTTAAATCGTTTGGATAGTTCTTGTTCTTACTCCAAGCATATTTTTCCAGGTCTTCTCGGTTTCCTCCTAATTAAAACAAATACTCCAAATTTCAGGTTGACAAGGAAGCAGCTCATAAGAAAATATGTTAGGTCACTTATAGTGACCAGAAATTTAAGAGTTTTTCTTTTTGCTATATTATTTTGTTGTAGGGTTATCGTTATTGGGCAGGGATAGGAGTAGCTGCTAATTGTGAGTCTGCACTGACTTATTACCGCAGAGTGTCCAACAAAGGTATGTTATGTAGACCAACTATATACTTGGGTTCTTATTCAACCCTTCATTCCCAGAAGGGATTATCTTGTACATTAAGTTTTCCGAGCAATTTCAATACAATGTTGGTGGACATGCTTGTAGCTATCATTCAGAGGGTAATTTCCATAAATATAACACAGGAAAATTGATGACATCTAGAAGGTGAATATCCCATCAGATCACTGTAGTTTAAGTACTGTTGTAACCACAAGGCAGCTACCATGTGTTCATGTAGGAAGTTTTTTTTATAGTTGCAGAGGATGTCTCCTTAACTGGTGGAGCTGCCACTCAAAGAATACGGCTTATAGATGAAGAAGAACAGGTGAATTGCATGCAGAATATGTTTTTACTGCCCACTTAGAAACAGTTCTTGTTTATGGTTGATTTTGTTTTGTATTTGTGTGGGGAAGAGTTGTTGGCAATGAACAAAGTGGCTCAAATAAGTGATTCTTAGAGAAAGACGTTTTTTGGCTTGTCACAAGTGTGGGTCAGAGGAAAAATTCTGAGTCCCCATGAGGAATCAAACCTCAGACCTTTGGATTCCATGCTCCAATGCTCTACCACTGAGCCACAGAGACTCTATGGTTAGTTCAAGATCTATTACAAAGTTCATATGACACACATCCTGCATCATGCTAGGATCAACAAAGTCAATAGTGATTTTTAGTTGCTATGTTTCACTCCCTCATGATGACAGGAAAACTAAGACAATGACAGACTGAGACAAATCCCTAAAACACTGAGGTAACTCACTAAACTTGCATTTATGTTCTAAGGGTGGAAGCAGCTCAGTGCTAGATGAAGACCTCATTCAGTATTACCAGTTTCTTGCTGATAAGGGGGATGTACAGGCTCAGGTATGTTTTATGTGGACTCTCCTGCCAGGAAGCAGGTTTTTCATAAAGAATTGTAGTAGAAAGAGTATGTACAGTGTAATGTTAAAGGGGAAAAATTCTTAATCTTTGAAGCAAAATAGCACAGGCTGTCCAAGGTTAGGGAGGAGAAGGAGAATTACTAGTGAGATCTTGGGAGTTAAAGGGTTTATGTAACAATTCATTGAATGCATTCAAAGGTTTGTTCTATTTTTGCCCTTTGAGACAAATCAATGTCTCTACATTGGCTGATTTTCACCACACACAAGCATTGCCTTAGGGTGATACATGCTGTTGTGTTGGCATGCTGATAAGAAGGCTCTGAATATCTGCAATTCTGGTATTGCACATTTCAGTAGCTACTTGCACCTTGGTGAAAGCCAGTCATTTGTTCAGATATGATAATTATTTAAGGAACAACAGTGCAGCAAAGATGTTTTTGACATATTTACATTTTCTGTATATAAAAACATTTCTGTAGGTTGGCCTTGGTCAGTTACATTACCAAGGAGGGCGTGGAGTTGAAATGGATCATGCAGTAAGACTCTTGTTTATTATTTTTCTCTGAAATGTGGCATTCCGTTTTGAACTTAAAGTTACTTATTATGAAATGCTTCTGGTGAATTAACAAAAAAATTATTTTTTACCTTCAGAGAGCCTTCAGATACCTCCAGCAAGCTGCTGATGCAGGAAATTCAAATGCCATGGCCTACTTGGGAAAGGTATACAGTCATGCAGTTAATATTACTTATTGTGATCTCAACATACACAATGTTATAACCTCATCTTTGTTTTTATGCACCTACGATTCACTCTCCATGAGAATTAAAGAGGCAAGTAGGCAAATTTTTACTGGAATATGATACACCATCTATTGTACTGTAATAAGGTAAGTTGTGGAAGTTAAGCAGGAGTGTGAATCAATCTAAGTCCCTCATGCCTTGTGAAACTCAAACCAGTTCTAAGTTTTTAGTTGCATGGTTTATTGCTGAGGGAACCTGATTTTTCATATGTGACTATCACTGTGCACACTGCTAGCATTAACGTTGGCCAAAATAACCTGTGTGGAGATGATTACCATAGTGGACAATATACCCATAACTGGTTAGCATCTTATCTAAGGAGAGCTCAATGCCAATGGAAGTTTCATTTTCTACTTGCAGCAAATGTAGATGTAAATCACCAAATCACTTGTATTTTTCAGATGTATTCAGAGGGAAGTACTGCTGTCAAGCAAGACAACGAGACAGCTTTCCAGTGGTTCAAAAAAGCTGCAGATGCTGTAAGTGAATAATACCTGAAACAGGGCGTGAAATTGCGCCTGATACAGGCGCCAATGCGACTACATTTTTTACTTTGGCGACCAAATCCTGAAAAGTAGTCGCCAAATTGGCGACTAGAATGCTTCATCATAACCATACTTAGAGATATAGAGAATTTGAAAGATTTTCAAAGAGAAACGTCCTTGTTAAGTTTGTTTAATTTCCAAAACGCAGCACACGCATCTCGATCGATAATTAGACGCCATCTTGGATTTAGGTGAACTTGAACGTTGTATATCACCTATCCTAGTGTCCACTTTGCAGAACTTAATTTTGGAGGGTCTATCTAAAACGCTGACAGCGTTAAAAAAAAAAAAAAAGGTTTTGTTTGTCTTTAAAAATGGCGACCAACTTTTTTTGCATTGGCTACCACTTTGAAAAATTTAGGAGCCAAGTGGCTATTAGAAAAAAAAATTAATTTCACACCCTGTGAAAGGTGATGTGTTTGTGAGGCTTCCAGATCTCTACAAATGAGAACTTTCTTATTCTTGTTTCCTTTTGTTATGGCTGCAGGGTAATGCTATTGGCCAAAGTGGCTTGGGTTTGATGTACATGTTTGGGAAAGGGGTGAAGAAGGTGAGTTAACTAAGATTGTCACTTTTTTGTTGAGTCCATAGAGCAAGAAGGAGAATATGTCTGAATAAAAGTTTCTGTCAACACATATCAGCCAATTTTGAGATTAATCATTGGAAGCTTGCCTTTGCGTTAAATTTAACAGGACTATGAGAAAGCCTTCCAATACTTCAAACTGGCTGCTGAGCAAGGTTGGGTTGATGGACATCTCCAAATGGGAACACTGTATTACCGTAAGTTCTTTCCTAAAGTTGGTTTATTTCTTTGTGTTGCTGAAATCTAACTGTGTTATCCTTAAAATATTTGGTAGAGAATACCAGTACTCATCGCTGGCTTCCCTAAAAGCTTGCCACCCAAATGTAACAAGTCAAACCATCTGTCTCTCACTCCAACTGTGTTGTTCATTGCAGATGGACTTGGTGTAAGGCGTGACTATAAGATGGCCATCAAGTTCTTTAATTTAGCATCACAGACTGGTAAGGGAAGTTATTGATTATCCCCAACAACTTAAGCACATTATTACAGTTACAGTTATCTGGTGTGATAATCCAGGCAACAATAGTCCTGAATAGTACCAATCATAACCAACAAATGCTACTTGAGTCTTACAGCCAATCACATTGTAACAAAACTGACCAATCAGTTTCCACAAAACAGAGTTACTTCATTCAACTATGGAGTAACTCGTCACTGAATCTGATGATGACTTCCACCTAGATTATCAAAGATTTATTAATAGAAATGGAAGTTAGTCTTTTTTGGACTACCTCTATGCCCTCTCAAGGACTATCACACTACACAAGTGAATGTCACTCCTTGGTCTAAAATATGTACTGAATTAAAAAAAAAAGGAAGAAAAGGTAAGGTCTCTGAAAAGATTGATTCAAGGCACCTGTTACATGATTAATAAAGCCAATTGCCCCGTTACAACAGTTGATAGAAATCAATCCTATTGTTGACTAGAACGATATTTTACTGACCACATTTTGAGGAGTATGTTCACGGAGCAACTTATCTCACAGCTGACACTGTTAACCCTTTAACTCCCAAGATCTGATTATTAATTCTCCCCTCTTGCTGCTACACATTTCCTTGTAAATTAGTTATAAGAATTTGGTCTAAGATCAAGATAACAACTTCTACCTGATGAGTTTGAATATTCTCATTAGCTGTTTGTTGGACAATGTAAGGATATTAGAGGGAGAAGTTTCGTGTTGATCACTTCTGAGAGTTAAAAGGTTAATTAGTTCAGTGAGCATGAAGAATCAGTTTTTGAGGCTTGATAAGTCATAGAATTTATGTCACTAAATGTACTATTTTAGGTCATGTCCTGGCATTTTACAATCTTGCTGTCATGCACGCATCTGGAACAGGAGTCTTGAGATCTTGTAACACTGCAACAGAGGTAGGTTTTCAGTTAAAGTGTGGAAAGATTAAGGAGTCTATAGAAAAAAATGGAATATGATTGTTTAAAATGAACCCATGTCTTAACTACATTTCATTTGTGAACAGAAAATGCTTTCCTAGTCCTGTTTTGTTGTATGAAATTGTTGTGAAGCAAAATCTGTGGATTGCCAGAGACAATATTGTATATAACTGTTGGTTACCAGTCATTTTTCCAGTTTTAGGCAAATGTTTTGGTAATTTATATCTACACCCTAGGAAACAATAACTAAGCCATGCTAAGTATGCTGATAAAAATGAATTGCTCTTCAGGTACATCAAAACATTTATACACCAGATATATCACACCTGCCCCTTTCCTCCCTAGGACCAAGTTATGTTTGTTGTAGACTGCCATATACACAGAGTTTTGGTGAAGGACATAATTAATTACCTTGGTTTTGGTGTGGGTTATCTTTCCCAAACAGCTTTTCAAGAATGTTGCAGAGCGCGGAAGGATAGCACAGATGTTAATGGAAGCACACGAGGCATACCGAGCTGGTAATATAGATACTGCCCTGCTAAAGTATGCTTTGCTCGCAGAACTGGGATATGAAGTTGCACAAAGCAATGTAGCCTACATTCTTGATCATGGTAAGTTTTTTGTTTTGTAATCCACCATGTTGTGTAGAGTATGGAAGTCAGTACTGTGGATATCATTATGAAAAGACACACATTTAAGCTCTGAAACAGCAGTCTACTATATTAGACTGGCTTCTCTATAATAACAAAATTCATAGCCAGTGTTAAATCTTGGCTACATACACTGTACATGACTGAGGGTCCTGCTTCCATTTGTGGTTTCTGAGTAGTGCTTAATGGTAGAGGTTGGGTATCAAATTTAAATACTCAAGGCTCTAAGAAAAAGTCTGGGAGAGGATAGAATTAAGTGAATTGATATTCAAAGGAAGGATAGTCTAAATAGAGTTAGTCCTTATGAGATCCCTCTACCATTTTGAAGTTTGGTATTCCCTATCATAGCGGTATCATCATAAACGCTTGGATTTTGTGAAAATCTGTAAATATGGTGTGTCTAAACACTGGAGAATTGACTTGGGAAACCTCATGTGGTGAAAAGATAGTAATTGCTTGTATTTGTGACAGGTTTGACTTCAGTGATACTTGAGAATGAAACATTTCCCCGAGCCCTGCTGTACTGGACAAGAGCAGCCTCTCAAGGTAATTAGATGATTAAATGATTAAGGAGAAAATTAATAGAAGTTTAAAAAGAGAACTACAAATTAGATCTTAGCACTGTAATTACAGGTAGTTGACTGTTTTTTTTTCTTCATTGTCATTGAAAGGAAACACTGCAGCGAGAGTGAAAGTTGGTGATTATCATTACTATGGATATGGAACAGATATTGACTATGAAACAGCAGCATTCCATTACAGATTGGCTTCCGAGCAGCAGCACAACGCACAGGCAATGTTTAATTTGGGCTACATGCACGAGAGAGGACTGGGTATGAGACAGGTAAAGCAACGTTATTTCTGATGGAACACTTAAAAGTGACATGAAATTTGAATGTAGGTGGAAGGTTGTAGAGAATGATTCTTCTCAGAGCAGATGAGCAAGAAATATCCTGATTTTATGACGATTACATTATTTTGAAACCCATCTCTTAAGCATACAGCTGAAGTTCATGAGAAGCATCCAAAATTCCTGTAACTTTACAAGTTTAGGTTTGAACCCAAAAGCAAGCCTCCAGTTTGTTAAAAGTTCTACTCTCCCTGAATGTATTTAAACCCACCATACAATGAAATTCAGACAACTTTATGTTACTCACTACTGGAAATTTAAAGGTTGAAAAGGTATTTAACTAAAGGGTCTAAATTATTTGTCAAATATCAATTACTTGTGTCATTTTTTTTCTGTCAGGACATTCATCTTGCCAAAAGGTTTTATGACATGGCAGCTCAGACCAGCCCTGATGCCCAGGCCCCTGTCTCACTTGCTCTGTTGAAGCTAGGCGTGTTTTTTACTTGGGAATGGATTCAAGAGGTATCAGAGGAAATTGCTTCTAAAAGTTTTAAATTCACCTCCCACATCTGTTTTCAGAATTTCGCCTTTTCACGTAGAGAAATTTTTTCTACAAAGTTACCGGCATTGATAGCTTTCACTAAGCTTCTCCCAGATACTTTTAAAAATAGATTAAACAGAATTGAGAGATGTAAAATGTACATACATCGTTCAAAAGATCACAGAATAGCCCTAGAACGGGTAGAAAATGGACGGAATGTCGAGAGGAAAATAGGATAATTAAAGTGGACTCAAATTCCCGCTTTTGTTTCCCATGACAACCGTCAAGCGTTGTTCCCTCTGCTACATTGCTTGTCTCCTCTAACCGAGAGAGCCTGGCACAGCCAACCATTATTACGAAGAGGTTGTGATTGACTGGGCCAGACTAATCTTTGAGATATTCAAATTAACGTCTCTCTTAATAGTTTTCCCTTTTTATCGTTTGTTTTTCAGAATTACGGATCATTGAACTTGTCAAAGTTTACCAACTTTATTGGCGATGACTGGGATATTTATGCAATGACAGGACTTGCCCTCCTATTTGGAATTCTTCTTCTACTTCGAAGGAGACAATAAACATCTTTTGTAGAATTTGTACAGTAACCGTAGCTTGTATGACTTTGCAAAAAATTTTTGATTTTAAGCATAATAAAATATTCCGGTTTCTTGTGGTTGGGTGAGTTTTACATTTGGGGTTTCTATTTGCTGTAAAGGGCTAAGCTAAGGATGGAAAAGATTTACATCGACGAAAAACTGAGATTTCAGACACTCAAGGCAGGATTTACAAGCTGGATCATCTCTCGTTTAATTCCTTTTTAACCAAGAGATCCTTTGAATTTTATGCCATCGCAATTCAATTGTTTCAGTTATCCTTCAATTTTTAACAGTTTCCGGGAACTAGTTCTTAATTTTCTTTTACAGAAACACTGCATGACCATTTGAAATTTTTAGCTGAGAATTTCCCATCAGAACAACTTAATTGCATTTTTGTCTTTTACAAAATTGTTTATTTTCCTTTGTTTTAAACTTATTATCGTACATTCATGCAAACTCGAACTACGAGGGAACTTAATTATGATGCACAAGAAACATTTGACCAAAATATTTTTATCCTCATTTACAACAAGAAAAAGGTAGCGAAAGGTTTACTTCTGAGCGCCGTTTTGTCGTCTGTTAGTCATTAAATCAGTCACAATAGCTTCAAAGTCGTGTATGAAGCTACATCAACTAGTTGTATCATTGTTCACCTTTTTGCTACGTAATCACTGGTGTTCAACTCGATATATTATTAAGGTACTAAAAGCTCATCTTGATACCAGGGATTTTCACGACATACTTGTTTGAAAAAATCACAGAATAAAATTATACAAGGATCGCAAAATTGCGCTCTAAACCAGCGCCTTGAACTTGTCTACATAGAAAAGTCAATCCATGTGTAAATGATCAAGTGACGGAACACTGTTCTCATTTCTTTAGCATTGTTCGATGTCTTCTTCAAATTCAAACGTGACGTCATCACCAATGAGCACAAATGGAGCCCAGTTCTTTGGAGCACTAAACTTCTCAGATTCTCTCAAGCATTTCATAGCTTTATTGAGAGCCGTACTAGCATTGTTGCCATCCCTGAGATGTTCATAGAATGTTTTCATGAACTCCATTGTAGCCTCATCACCAATTGCCCAGAGTGACGCCAGAACAGAGCGGGCACCAGAAGCCAAGAGAGCCCATGCAATACCGACCACGCCTTCGGCAGAAACGTTCCCTCGACCACTGTGACAAGAGCTAAGCACGACAAGTCTTGCTCGGAGCTTCAGAGCTTTGATATCTGACATTTTTAGCATGTAGTCTTTCTTCTCCGGTTTCCGGTACTTCCTTGAAGGATTTGGGGCCAAACAAATGTCACCTGTCTCCGCGCTTCCATGCGTTGCGATGTGGACCAAAGCGACAGAAGCAATGCGTTTCAGTACTTCGTCTTTAGTCGCTTCCTTTCCGACGAGTGGTGTGGCATTAATAATTTTTCCGATCATTTGCACTTCCTTTTCCGCGTGAGGCAATGGCTGAAACCAAGGTATTCCAAGGAGATCTGTTATCTCCTCGAAACATGGATTACCCACAAGCAGCGCCCCACTCTTACAATGGTAGTTTTCAGGACAATCGTTGATTAGTTTCAAAGTGGTCAGTGACGGAGCAATGCGAATCTTAAACGTTTCACTGAGGTACTTGGAATCTTTATCGACGAAGGCAGCAAAGGGAACCAGACCTAGTAGACCATCGGGAATAATGAGTAATTCATCACCTTTCAACTCGTTCGCGATGGGACCAATAACAGCATCATACAACAGCCGCAAGGAATTCCTCTGACTTTGTGGTGACTTCAACATTTCGAGACAAGTTTCTTTGTCCAGTGGCGATTCCTCTCGAGGCACATCCAGACGAAAGCTGTCCTCGGACAGTAACGCTGACATTTCATGACAAGAGTCTTCGTCTTGCTCCCACAGATTTGGCATCAATGCATCCATAGAACGATCCTCGCAGATAACTCGAGCAGCAAACTCATTTTCTTTGAAAGCTGATTTTTTCAAACATTTCAAACAGCAGGGACAGGGATCATTGCCGAACTTGTAATCGTGCTTTGCTTCCTTTTGTCGAAACTGAACATCGTTCCCGTTACTGACCAGCCATATATTAATCTTCTCTTCTTCTAGTGAAATGAAAATTGTTTGTGTGGAAACCAAAGGTGCTACATCAGGTTCTGATGTCCTTGGCGGAGGAAATTCCATCTGATATTTTTGCTTCATGTAATCTAGTAAGACTTGTGCTCTTCCTTGATCAACAACACACAAAGCCTCGCCGAAGTTTGAAAGTTTCAACAAAGTTCTGCACACGGCATCGTACTTTAACTGACGAGAATTTCGGAAGCATATTTTGTGAGCGTCCTCAGCCTTGATAATGTCCCTCTCATCATTTAAGATCTTTAAAGCGGACCGATAATGATCTAGAGCTTCATGTAGGAAATTCAAGCATTCCATAGTAAGGCCAAGGATATGATGCGCCCCTATCTCGCAACCTTTGTGTCCTTTTTCTTTTGCAATGGCAAGACCTTTCATACCGCAGTTAGCAGCTTCCTTGAAATTATGGAGTGCAAGATAGGCCTCACACAACCTTGTGTAGGCACATCCTTCGTTCTCTATTAGCTCCTTTCTTTCAGCAATGTTAAGAAGTTGGCAGAAGAATTCGATGGCTTTCATGAAATCTCCTCGCTGCAGATAAGCGCGGCCAAGACCGAAATAGGAGTTCGCCTCTGCGTCCTTATTCTTGAGTTCTTTAGCAATGGCAAGTTGTATGTCATGGTACTCTTTGGCTTTGCTGAACTTACCAAGGTTGTTATAAACAGACCCGAGTCTTCCGTAAGCGTCTAGTTCACCATCGCGGTCCCCTGCGCCTATGGCGATGTCAAGTTTTTGCTTGTAGTACTCAGTTGCTTTTTCATAATCGCCGAGAACTGCATAAATAAGGCCAAAGTGCTGTTTACCTTTCCCTTCCATATCTCTATTCCCATTATTTTTGGCAATAATCAGACTTTGCTCTATGTACTGAATGGCTTGTTCATAATCCTTGAGTGTATAATAGCAAGAGGCAAGGGTGTAGTTTGCAAGTTGCTCTTCCTCTCGGTCTCCTAGTTCTTTGGAGATAATACGATATTTGTTAAAGTGTTCTATGGCTTGTTCATGATCACTGATTGCATGATAGCAATGGCCAAGCTGGTGGTTTGCACTTTCCTCTCCTTCTCGGTCCGCTCGTTCTTTGCAGATAATAAGGCATTTGTTAAAGTGATTTACGGCTTGTTTATAATCACCGAGTGCTTGATAGCATTTGCCAATGTTGTAGTTTATAAATCCCTCTTCATCTCTGTCTCCAATTTCTTTGCAAATAATAAGGCATTTGATCAAGTGTTCCACGGCTTGTTTATGGTCGCTTAAGGTAGAATAACAACGGCTAAGGCAGCGGTGTACACATGTCTCTCCATCTCTGTCTCCAAGTTCTTCTGAAATAATAAGGAATTTGTTAAAGTGCACTATGGCTTCTTTATAATTAGCCGTGCGCATATAACAGTGGCCAAGATCGCGGTTTGCATTTTTCTCTCTAACTCTATCGCTTAACTCTTTGTAGATGATAAGGCATTTGTTAAAGTGTTCTATGGCTTGTTTATAATCACTGAGTGCTTGATAGCATTTTCCAAGGCCGTAGTTTGCAATTCCCTCTCTATCTCTGTCTCCAATTTCTTTGCAAATAATAAGGCATTTGATCAAGTGTTCCACGGCTTGTTTATGGTCGCTTAAGGTAGAATAACAACGGCTAAGGCAGCAGTGTGCACCTGTCTCTCCATCTCTGTCTCCAAGTTCTTCTGAAATAATAAGGAATTTGTTAAAGTGCGCTATGGCTTCTTTATAATTAGCCGTGCACATATAACAGTGGCCAAGATGGTGGTTTGCATTTTTCTCTCCAGCTCTATCGCTTAACTCTTTGTAGATGATCAGGCATTTATTAAAATGTGTCGTGGCTTGTTTATAATCTTCGAGTTCATAGTAAGCATCTCCAAGATCGCAGGACACTTTGCCTTCGTAAGCTCTGTCGCGTTCTTGTTGGGCAATCCTTAAACTGTGTATGAAGTTATCTATCGCTCTTTTAGTATCATCAACCTTCATACACGCTTCGCCAAGATTTTTGTAAGCGAACATTTCTTTCCTTGCGTCGCCATCGAGTTTCGCATTGACGAGATCTTGCTTTCGTTGCTCTAGCAGGTCAGATTTTTTTTCTGCCATGTTTCAATGTGCTTCTTATCTAGTATAAAACTAAGAGTAAAAATATGACAAAGTATGGTAAGTACGTTTTTTCCATAAAATTGGCTTACAGCGAGGCTAGCGTTAGTCTGAGATGACTCAAGATAATAACGTGGGGGTAGAAACTGCTGTTGAAAATTTGAAAACTCCGATTACTGCAAAGAGAGGCAGCATCGTTAAAGCGGAACTGACAAAAATCATAAGGATGGAGGGATACAAAATAAAACTATTAATTTTTAATTATAATGTTACCACGTGTGGTGTGAATAATTAAGTGCCGCTCTCGCCAAGAGCGGTCCTCTCGACTTCCCGTCGGAAAAAAGTTTTCTTTTTTTGCCCATGAAAAAGGTCTAGGACACATGTTTCAAAAATAGTTTAGTTGTTCTCCAATTCTCTCTTTTTGCGTCGCCACAAACCGATCGAAAGTGTAAATTTTACAGATTTTGTCCAGCGCGCAGCGATTGCAACAATATAGCTCACGGAATTCCATATTGCTACAAGTTACAACATGTATTCAGTTAGTTCACAGAAAAAATATGGAAACTTCGGCTGAAATATTTTTCATACCAGCGTGATCAGAGGAGACCCTTCTCTTCGACGTTAATTCGCATATCAAACATTCACTTAACATTCACATTTGACTTAACATTCACAGCGCGCAGCGACTGCAATAATATAGCTCATGGAATTCTATCTTGCTACAAGTTACAACATGTATTCAGTTAGTTCACAGACAAAATATGGAACTTCGGCTGAAATATTTCTCATACCAGCGTGATTAAAGGAGACCCTTCTCTTCGACGTTAATTTGCACATCAAACATTCACTAATTTGGACGAAAGAATTCTCAAAACGCAGGCGTTAATCTGGCTAAAAAAGTATATCAGTGCGTAGTTTATATCTTCTATGCTGAGGATTTTAAGTTTTCATAACAACTGAATGGAGAATAGGTGCCGAGTTGTCCTAAAACGTTGCGCAAACATGATCGGTCGTAACGCTTGCACGCTTGCGTGACTTAAAAAGTAAACAGAGGTGATCGGGAGGCGCCTTCGCGATAATTTGCGTTGAAATATCGGATTATGAATTACGCACAGTGTGGAGAAGATCAACATCGAAGAATAAACTTTGGCACTCTGGCCATTACAGACATATTGCGTTGCTTAAAAAGACACACAAACAAGTTAAAATACGTTACAGTGTTTGTATTTACAAAACAACACGCATACACTCTGAAAGAATTCTTGCAGTTTCTCCCGAGATTTAGCACACGGAACCCGATTTATTGACCCGATTTTTGAAACATGCGTTCTAAACCCTTTTCGTGGGCAAAAAAAATCAAAGAAAACGTTTTTCCGACGAGAAGTCGAGAGGACCGCTCTTAGCGAGAGCGGCACTTTATTCGGTTCTGTCAAATTTTACTCGTATACATATAAGTATCCATTGGAGCCTTAAGCCACCTTATCATGCCGTGGATCGTCGAAAGCTCGAAGCCTTTTTTCATTTTTTTTCATTATTATTTTTTGATTTTTACAGTAGCTCAAAACCTCACTGGAAACTCTTATTACAACCATTTTAAAATTATTTTGAAGGACAACATGAAACGATCAATACTGAATCAGTTTTCTAGTTATTACTTACCAAGAATTGAATGCCTTGAAATAAAACTCCGGTCGGAGAGCTGCTTCCTCTGAATTTTAACTCGAACCAGTCAACAATAAATCCACCAGTCACAGATTCAATACAGCTTCTTCTCGCGTTATCACCATTTTATAATGTCGATGTCGAAAAATGAAAGACTTAGTTTCAACTAAAAATGGCATTTTTTCTTATTTGCATGGGCTTATTTACACACTTTAAATTCAGTTTCTTACCGATAGCGTTTCCTGATACGATTGTAATGATTTTATTATGAAACGTGTTTTTTCATGTTTATTACTGGCTCCAGCTTTTGCACTGTACAATTTGGAGTATTTTCAAGCTCTTCAAGTTCAAGTTTAGGAATTTCTGCCTAACAATTCTCGCTCTCGTGCAACTACAACCAGAAAATGTTCATACGTATAATAGAAACTAGGAAAATGATAGAACTAGGAAACTTTACTGAGCAAAAGAATCAAGTTTTACACCGGCGAGTCATATGTTTTTTATGTATAGAAATGTTCCCTTCACTTTCAGTTGTCGTGATGGAGCGAAATACAAATTTAATGGCACGTGGTTTGATCACTACGAAAACTGAATAACGCGGGCAAAATTTCCAGAAAATGGAAATTTAAATTTCTTGCTCGAAGGAGGAAACGTGGAAGGTTAAAACTTTTCGTAAGCTGTTACAGTATCCTCCACAACCCAACCCCATATTTTTGTTTCTCCTGTTTTGCCTTTCACAAAGTGATGACAAACAACTCCGATCCTCAGAAATGATTGCCAAGTAAATTCTCTTGGTAATACTTATACATTAACTAGCAAAAACGTGACGAGAAGAAACACTTTCATCAGCCTAACGATGTTCTCTTGATCAGACACCAAATTCTTGATTCGTGATTCACATGGATTTTCTGATAGCTAGAAAGGAGAATTCAAATCAAATCAAGCAAAAGTGTTCAGAGAGTACTAACTCGACGACTTTATGAGCTGCATGTAAAACGCGTATAAATTGTAACGGACAAACTACGTCACAGAAATCTTTAAAATAGGGTTTGGATAAAACCTAAAATGAATACAATGGTGCTCTTATAAAATCGGATTGTTCAGGAAACTTATTTTCATTTTCAGTTGGATTCAAAACACAAAGCTTATTTTTTATCAGATCGAGATTGAACGCTTTTAAGAAAAATTCTTAAGGGTTACGTTGAATAACAGTTTGACTACAGACAACAATCAAGCAAACTAAAAAAAAGCATCCTTTTCCCACAAACAAAAATAAAATAAAAAACAAATCATTTCGGCCTCAGGACTTCCTATTAAAAGTGGAATTTCAGTTTGTTGAGATATGCTGGCCGTGTGATTAGCGTGACATATTCATTTTAAAAAGTGGAATACGTGATTTCATTTCTAAAAAATTCGTTCGTCTTCTTATTTAGGGAAAAAACGCACGACTTCCTAAATATCAGTTTTTCTCAGAAGTTCCTGTCAACATGAACGTAATGATCGAAAAACAACCGAAATTTGTACACGATCTCATAGTATGACGAGAGCTAATTAGAGGCACCACTACGTAATTTTAAACACATAATTCAACGACAAGCAACCATTCATTTGCTTCAAAATGTATACTGAAAATAGTTGGAATTCAGTTACGGTTGAATTGTTTTCATAATGACACTTTGACTGTCACATTGAAATAACAAATGCATTTCATTTCAAACAATGCCTTCAATAATCTTTCTTTCAGTTTCTCACAATGGTTCCTGTCAGCACCAAAAACATTCTAATACAATCGGTTATTTTGGAAAAATGAAAATTGCGTGCGGGGTTACATCCAGATTGAAACTTCGTGTTTCAACATCATTATTGGTGGGTACGTTTTTTTTTAAATCCCCTCACTCGTTAGTCTATGCAAAAAAAAAAAATAGATTGATATAAAATTTGACGTCGTTTACAAGGTCATCGACCATCTACCCCTGTATAAAGATTGGAACAGACAGGAGTTATAGTTGTTCATTGTTGTGAGTTGCACAAAGTGTTACCGCTTTGGTTACGATGTGTTCTCTTATAACGTCAACCGTAATGTTTTAACTGCTTACTGCTGGTCCCAATCGGGCGATAGAGTGAAAATAATATCTTCGGTTCAAAACGTTTTCTTAGAAACGCTTCTACTAAATAAAAACTTCTCTTAGTGAGAGTATCGCGTGACATCATAAAGAACGCTTACCGAGGGCACCAGCCCAAAACCACCCGTTTTTTTTCTTTCTTTTGAGGTAAAAATGGACGCTTTGATCAAGCAATTAATTACAGATTGACTGATATAGGTTAGAGAGACTTATAACAGTTTTACACTTCAGATTAGAGTGGAAATATAGCACACCTCAAGTTGATTCTGAATCATTGAAAATGTCAGTCACGCTCAAATTTGGACAGTTGCCTGTTGTTGGGAATACTGATTACACTGTCAAAAATTCCTGCGAATTTGCGGATTTCATAAGAGATAAAACTCTTAACGCTTGTGAAGAATTAGTATCTTTCGACGTTGTTTCGCTCTTCACTAAAATCCCAGTTGATCTTGCCGTTAAGGTTGCGGAGGAGAGACTCAGAGAAGATGCTTCCCTGGGACAAAGAACTTCTTTGCCTGTGGAGGATATTATTCATCTGCTGTCTTTTTGCCTCAAAACCACGCAATTTACATATAACGGCACCTACTATCAACAATTTTTGGTACAGCGATGGGTTCGCCCGTCTCTGCTGTCATTGCTAACATGGTAATAGAAGACGTGGAACAAAGGGCCTTAGCCACTTCACCGGTTAAACCCTTTTTCTGGAAACGATATGTCGATGATGTTATTTCTGCGGTATCCGGAAATGAAGCGGAGCGCCTCCTGTCGCATTTGAATTCAGTAGAGCCGTCGATCCAATTCACCCTTGAGCGTGAAAAGGATAGACATTTGCCCTTTCTTGATTTAAATGTGTCCAGAGGGGTTCAGGGTAATTTAGAGACAAGTGCCCGTAAACCTACCCACACCGACAAATACCTCGCTTTCGATTCTCACCACCCTATTTGCCATAAAAAGTCTGTAGCCAAAACTTTACTTAGGAGAGCTCACTGTCTACTATCTTCACTCGATTCGAAGGCTGAGGAGAGTAAATATGTTTCCAATGTCCTAAAGGCAAATGGCTATACAAAAACCTTTCTCCGTAACTGCCAAAAACCAGTTACAACTAGTAACGCTCTTGATGAAAAGGAACCAGCGACTGGTTTTGCTGTTATTCCTTGCATTCAGGGTATTACGGAACCCATCAAGAGAATTTTGAATAGCCACAACGTTAAAGTTGCTCAAAAACCTTTTCAGACTTTGGGGCATATTTTCACCAAACCTAAGGATCCTGTCACGAAAGAACAACGAACCGACGCCATTTATTCTATTCCTTGCAATGATTGTGACAACGAATACATCGGACAGACCAAACTTCAGTTTGGTGCACGTTTAAAAGAGCACCAAAAAGCGGTTTTCCTTTGCAAAAAGGAAAATTCAGCTTTATCGGAGCACACATGCCTAACTAACCATACAATTGTGTGGGATAATTCTAAAATTATCACCACTAATCGGCGTTACCACCAGCGCCTTTGTTTGGAGGCTTGGCATATTAACTCCGCCCACGCTCCTTTAAATCGTGACGATGGCGGTTTGCTTCCTGACGCCTATTTACACCTCGTCAGAAAAAAGGCCGCTAATTAGTGATCATATAAAAGGACCTCTTGTTGCAGCGTTTAGATCACCCCTGATGAAGGCACTAGACAGGAGCGTCGAAACGTTGGGTCTATGAATTGTAACTTCTTCGGTTACATTCATTAAATCTGTAAACCAGAGTAGCATCAAACCATGTCTGATTGTCCACCTGGTTGCCGTGTGAACTTTAATATATTTTGATCAAGAAAACCTTAGAAAACTACTGATGTCACGAACACCTAGTCACGAAAGTAACGGAACTGTCACGCGATCGTCCTTCAACTGACCAGCACTTGCGCCCGCGAATTTGAATTTGTAAATTTTGTTTGAAATCGAAACCTTCTAGACCATGCGAGGTAAAATTCATGCAGAAAACTCTAATTTATAAGGATGAAGAAATAACGGAAAAGCTCTAACGTCTCTAAAGCGGCTAAGAGCTCGGCTATGCATAATATTTACCCAAGATGATGAACAAGATCGCGGTTTTGATTTTTGGTTTGGGGTTTCTGTTTTATCGCATGCAAGTTTATTTTATTGTTCGCGAAGAAAAAGCTGAATTGCATTCTTGGTTAGAGCAGCACGATCTTCTGGATTATGAGGCTAAATTGCACAAATTTGGTATGTGTGATAGTTAGTTCCTTACATTTAAGTATTGTGCAATGTAATTTATAGTTACTTCATGAGGCATAATCGAATTTCTCTAAATAACATCTCAAACATAATAATTAAGAGAACTCCCCACAGTTTACCATGATCCAGTACATGGCAAGGACTTACGATGGTAATATTAAGTATTTCTGATATGCTGTTATTTACGGTTAAAAATATATCTTATAGAATTATTTATAGGTGAGGCTTTCCCACTCTTTGTTTTTGCTTTTATCACATTCAATTCTTCTGCAACATAAATAATGAATAACTTCTGTCAGTATATGATATTGTTTGATAATTTATAGCATATAACGTAGCCTATACGATTCGAAAAAACAAGCTATAATGATAGGGTGCTGGTTGGTTTCTTAGTGGGGACATACGTAATTTCAAACTTGAAATGAGTCGCCTATTGGCGACCAGAGTTAAAATTCTGGTGACAATCAGTAAATTTTTAGTTGATTGCAATTTGGACCCTGATATCGTGATCTTTTTAAGGTATTTTTCTGTGTTGTTTATAAATGATGATGATGATGACATTTTTCTTTTAGGTATTCTTACTAAAGCCAAGTTTGCAACCCTTGATGCTAAAAGGTTTCTAACAAGACATGGATCATTTTGGGGAGTTTTTACATTTACATCTGAGAAGGAAAAACTAGAGCAGGCTGTACAGAAAGCCAGACTTGAACTACAACTTCTGTCTTGGCTACAACAAATTCATTTGGATACCTATTACTCAAAACTGTTATCACAAGGGATAAACAGTGTAGACAGATTGATAAAAAACCACAAATCTGATTTGTTGAGAAAGATTGTTACTGATGAGGATTTTAAAAAGTTTCAAGAAGCAGTTGAAAAGCAACAAGGTCACTTTGTAGATTCTCCTCCTTTGAGGGGTGTATTAATGTTATTTTCTTTTTCTTGGTGGAGCATAAAATTTTTAGGTAAGTTTTTTTTCTATGTTGCAAAAGAGAATGAATCCTCCCTTTTGTCATCTACCCATTTTGCATTGAAAATTAGCAGAACTTTTATTTGGGAGTGTTTACTGTTTTTTTGTTTAGCAGAAGCATTTTTTTGTCAAAAAAGATGACTGAAATTACATCTGAAAACTATTTCTTTTTTTCCAATTTCATGGTCAAGCAGTAGTAATGGTATATCAACATGGAAATGCTACATTCTCAGCTTGTATTACTTGAGATGTTGAGTTACAGCACACTCTAAGTCTTAGTGACAGAGAACTCATAATGGTCAGAGTCCAAAGGACAAACAAATGAACATGATGGAGTAAACAGCTTACTCCTTTGGAGCTATAATTGCACCAGAGATGACAAATCTTAGGTTTTTCCCTTTTTTATTTCTGGATTTTTTTGCAGAAACTAACTTTTGTGGATGAATGACAATCTAAGGATTTGCAAAAATTAAATCTACAAACTCTTGATGTTGATACTTCTCTGAAGAACACTGGTTTCCCCTGACTTAGACAAGATGAATTTCCAAGAACAGTGAACTACTCAGTTCACTTACATTACTAAGTCATAATTTGATAAGAACATTCCTTACCATGAGACGGCTGCTTAAATTGTAATTTGTGCTTAGGTGTAAAAAATATTTATAAATATTTTTTTCCCCAAGGAGAGGAAAGGCCTGAACTTTTTGTTACCATTTGGGAAACTTATTAGTTTTTTCCATATTTAACAGAACCCAAATGATTTAAGGTTGTTAGAATGGGCGACTAATAAAATGACTGTATCTCCATTTATAGGTAGAGTGCTTCTTGTCATGGTTGGCAGCATAGCACTCTTGGTATGTCTCAGTGTTGGATTCTCTAGAATCAAATCCAGAAGTCAGCAACACAAGTCTAGTTTCTTTGGATATGTTCTTGGCTTAGCCCTTGAGCCTTCATTTACAAAAGTTATTTGGGAGTGGGAAGATCCTCATATTGTGGGTGAATCAATGTCATTTATCCTCAAGGTATTTGTTGAAATTGCAATATGTATAAAAGAGTTAGTGTTAATGAGATTTATATTTCCAGCCTTATTTTGTGGTGTTTATGACAGGCCTTTATATTATTAGTGATATTTTTTTTTGCTTGCAAGTAAGTTTAATGTCTTTTGCAAAACAAGCTGGCGAAAGGTCTGTAAGGAATCTGACATAAATATTATCAGTGCTAGATCACATGTAGACCTCTCAAAAGCTGCTGTTGTGCAAGACCTTGTACTTTCGTGGAGTCTTGCAACTTGAAATCATTCTGTGATATAGCTGTCTAGCTACTTACTGGGTATGTTACACATTTGTGAAGAGGAATACTATGGTACATTATTCAATAATTCACTACCATATCAGACTAGCTAAAGACTTTTTTTTTGGTTTATATTTTGCACTTGATAAGTTTATTACTTATTAATAAGCAAGAAAAACTCTTACAGTGGAGGTGAAAGGAGAAAGGAGAACTACATTAGACTGGGAAATTATTACTAACTCTTGCCTTGTCTGTTTTCTTTTAGTTTTACCGAATGAATGCCACTCCATATTCTGTATCAAAAGAAGATTACATCCTAGTTGAAATAATGCACAACAACAACTTCATTGTGTCATCACGGGAATATGGTGGTGAAAAATGGAGAGATGGGAATGCCATGAGAGTTTCCTTTACTGTCCGAGAGGCTGGAGCCTATAAAATATCTGTTCTGGTGAAGGGAAAACCAATCAGGGACAGTCCATTTACAAAAACATTTTTACCAGGTTCTGTATCCTTAGATAAATTAACTAAAAGGGTGTTTTTGGGCATGGGAGAAGCTACAGCAATATGTTGATATGCTGGGCTCTGGATTGAAATGTCCAGATTCTAACGCTACACTGGTTATTGGGTTCTGTGTGTGGAGCATGATTCTCTCTGACAGTGCCTCTGTCCACCCAGGAGGTAGTTAGATACTGTCCAGAAAATGTGACAAATTTAAGGGGTAGTCAATAGTACTCTTCCTCTTTGTTCATTGGATTCTAAATTGGTTTGCAATTGCATTTAATTTGTGATGTTACTAATTGACAGGTGTGGTTGATCCATCCAAATGCAGTATTCTAGAAGGCAGCTCACTGCTTGAGGTGCAGCAAGGGATATATACTCCTCTCACTGTTGAGGCTCGTGACAAGTTTGGGAATGTCTGTCCTCTTTCAGTTCAAGATGTTCACTCCTACTGTGTGGAAATAACTGAGGTAGGAGACAGAATTGCTACTTGAGTGTAAGCACTTACTACAACTAATATTTATAGATTAGATAGATGGCATTTGTGAAATTTTAGTTGGTGAATAATTTGGCAATATATACACTGTTAGAGTAGAAAGTAATTTGTTTTAGCATAGATATGAATTTTTTTGATTGTATAAATGTTAGTAGTGTGGTGAATTTTTTAATTTGCGTAAAGCTCCTGGATTTATCTCTACAAGTTGACACATGTTTATATTTTAATTGTTTTGTCAGATTGGAAGCAGTGAAAAGACAGACCCTGAACTTGTGATTCTACCAGATGGATTTGACAAGAATAATGTCCTCCACATAAAGCTGGATGATGAAGGATGTTTCAATGCAGTTGTTAAATATAATGGAGTTACACTGAATCAAGGAAAGCTTACTGTCATTTCCCTCAATCGTAAGAGCAAAATATGTGTCTGCTACTTGTTTTGTTCAGTTTGTATAGTGTTGTAAGAATTTACATCACATGATCTAAGAAATAAAAACAAGGATTATCTTGCATAGTCCTGCATTCAACTTTCAGAAATTTTTAAATGATTTGTTTAATGATGGCTGGGCTGTGTGGCCAGCCATGATTAGATTGTATTGCAAGACAGCCAATTTACTGCTTTTCAAGATGTGTCACAGAATTTTCTTAAAAATTTATTTGTTTAGTGTTTTGAGAATTTGTTTTATCTCCTACTTTGTCATGTGATTAAGAATGAGTGCTGTAGTTTGAAAAGGACCAATTCTTTTTCAGTTTGAGTCCCTCTCTGATACATGTAAAATCACCTGTTTCAATATCCCTTGCTTGTGGTATTTTATGAGAAATCTCAATAAATGTTTTGTTTTTTGCTTTCCTTTATACATATATTTAGCTAAAGATGCTGAACATGTCAACAAGAATATAAAGAATAAATGTTGGAATGTATGGTATGAAGCATATCTTCTGGTGAATGATGATACATCTCCAGCAGCATCTTCTGGCTCAAGTACCCCTGCCACACCCAACATGCCCTCTGGGGCAAGAAGACCATCCAGCAATTTTGAACAAGCTTCTATTGCTATAACTGGATTGAATATCAATGGCCTGAAAAAGTCTCGCAAAGTCTACTGTTACATCTCCAAAAAGGTGTGCTTTTGTTTTTCTTTGCTTCATTCAAACAACAATATCTTGAAGGAGCTGTTTTTCAAATTTTTTTTTCATTAATTTTGTAGCAATTACAAATCAAAGAATTTTACATGAGGATTATTCCACACAGACTGTATGGATTCCGAGTTCGGCCCACAACAAAGGTATGTTGTTTTAGTTGTGTTTTTTATCCTCTATGACTTACAAGTGATATTTTGATAGCAACCATTTTTGTTCTTAAGTGGAAAGGCCTTTAAAAGAGTAAATCATCTTTCTTACAACACTTTTAACTTGAATCAAGATCCCTCTTTTCATCTCTCCACAAAAGGTTTTCTATTACTCGTGCAAAACTTCTAAAATGCTTGTATTTGTTTCGTCATATTGATATTTAGAGGAACTTTTCTTGTTTATAATTGATTATGCAAAATACAGGAAACTAAATATTTTATGTACCCACTCCTCCCTCAGATTATTCTGCATCCCCCTGACCGTAGTGTCGATTATCCAGCGTTTACTGTAGACGATGGTTCGCAGCCTCCGATAACTGTGATGTGCAAAGAAAGAAATGTATTGGTGGCGACCTTCTCAAGACTTTTGCTCACGAAAATAGGTCAGTTGAACAGATGATCGACGATGTTGTTATAGTCGCAACGCGCGAACTGTCTCTTCAGCCGAGGAAAGTTACAAAATATTAGTTTGGTAAGATAAGAAAACATCAAAAATAGCAAAAAAAAAAAAAAAAACCAAAACAGTGGCGGGGAGAAGATTGACCAGGATTGCAAAGGATGTGTAGTAGAGCGCTTTTCTAATGAGTGATTGTTGGCAGTTTTTCATTTGTCTGATTGGTTGAGAAGGTGGCGCAATTTTTCTAGACCAATCGTTGAACAAAGTGAATTAAAACCAACTCAATCCAAGATTAACCGGCTCGACAGTCAATTAAAAATTCCTTTATCTGTCTATCAACACAGAGATTTTTCCTGGTGTCCTTTAAAGCCGTTGTCTAATATTGACCACACTTTTTCACTATGAGCACCACCCAGCCACTAGATAACATATACACCTACTTATAATAAGGTGTAGTTCCGTGACGTTCTAAGACGACGTTGCTTTGTAATAATATCTTGTGACAATTTGATTGCAGATCTTTTGTAGTGCAGTAAGGCATTTACAGTTTCCTCAATTTTTCCATGCGTTCCAAGATTAAAATTTTAAGTAATCTCTTCACCATAACTTTCATTTTAACTTTCTTTCACAGGAGGGTCAGAGAGCTTCAAAGACAAACAGGAATTCTTTTATCGTGAATTACTCAACTACCACGGGCGAAAAACGAGTGAAGTGAACTTAAAGATAGATCGACGTAAACTCTTGGAGAGTGTAAGTTTAGCACAACGAGCTACGTTGATTAAAATGCAATGGAACGAAAAAAATTTGAGGAGGAAACTCATCCCTTGCCCTTTTTTTTGAGCGAGTTTGTCCGAATATGAATGCCAAGGTATTTAGAGATCCTCTCTGCATCGCTTGTTTCTCTGTTCGTGGTGCGAGTCAGTCGTAGATCCTAAAATCAGCACGTCATTGGGTTGAATCTCACGTCGTCACAGGAACTTTCTTTGACGACGTGAGATTCAACCCAATAAACTAACGTGCGATTGCTAGATATTATTTTTTATTATTCAGTGCTGAATAGCTCGTGTTCTTTCCCCGTAGTCCTATCAAGCCACAATGAAGACATTCTATTCCAGCGACTGGTTAAAATATTTTAAAATCACGTTTAAAGACGAACCAGGTAGGTTATGATAATTTTTTTCACGCTGTTATTTGAAGCTACTTGTTGTGGAATATAAGATAACTTGAGCCTCAGATCAGAGTAGAACTGGTAATTATATTTAAAACCATGTTTGTTTCTTTTACTTCTCAAGGTGTTGACTGGGGTGGCTTGCGGCGTGAATGGTTTGAGTTGTTGTGCAAGGCACTGTTTTCTCACGAAGCTGGATTCTTCAGTCGCTTCAACGCTGATGATCCTCAAGCTCTGGTGAGTGCAGGAGTGTTTGGTGCTCTGTATTGCTTTATTGTAAAGGAGCAGCCTTGTAATTCACAACTACCGTTGAGTTTTGGTCTGTACTGCATGGAGCAAGTTGGAGTACAACCTGCATAATGCTCCCTCTCTTTCCACGCCAGACTCTCAATGTCAGGTTGAAAGGGTCTTTCCAAAGATCACGACACGATGAGCCCGTCAGGGTAGCAGTGCTCTGAACTCAGGATCAAAGGTCCTACCACGCCACAGCCTGTCTAAAATGTTTTGAGGAGAACAATTGTAAGAAAATAGTTAGTTTTCGGCGCCGGTATAAGAATTATGATGTTCATTGTTCCTTTTTTGTGTGTTCAAGGTTCATCCGAATCCGCGGAGACCTGCTCATTTGAAAGTTAAATTTTACGAGTTCGCCGGGCGCATCGTTGGAAAATGCTTGTACGAGTCCGCTATGGGATCAACACGGAGATTAAATGTGAAAGCGCGATTTAGCAGATCATTCCTTGCTCAGCTACTTGGTCTTCGTGTAAGCTACAGGGTAAGACTACACAAATTTTCAAAATAATACTTTAAAAAATAGTTATATGGAACAAATTTTTGAACAGACGAGCAATCCGAGACGAAAATCTGGTTTGACGCATTTCACTTTTAAACAAGTTCATTCTACTTGGCGCCTTTGTAGGAGTTTTTTACTTTCGGGCGCTGCGAATAAATTAGAACTATTTTAACAAAAGTTTGGGGGTATTTACGTTTCATTTTTCAAGATATACTGTGTCCTTCTCAGGAGCTTAATGGCAAGGATGACAGTTTCTCTTAGGCGCTGTCGCACATTAACCGCTGATCGCTTCAACTTTCGCCGGTTACCTTCTCAGCCGCTCTTTTGATGTCAAGCAATGCTCTAGCTTTCCGTGACATCCTAAGAACATTTGCAAAGGAGAATGCACAAACTGTGACGGAGTTTGTATTTAATTAAAAAGCTGTTACATTTGTCTAATCCATGTTCAGTATTTTGTGTAAACATTTTTCAACCGACAATTATTTTTCAATCCACAAAAAAGTACTTCGAGATTGACGACAAGGACTTCTATCGGAGCAAAATCAAATTCATCGAGGAGAATGACCCGGAGGACTTGACACTAGTATTTGCAGAGGAGGAGTACGATCAGCAGGGGCGCTTAGAGAAGGTGGGATAAAGTTCCTTCGAATCCTTAAACATCTCATCTCTTACTTATCTTTCTCTTGAGTATTTTTTGCAACCTTTGTGATTATACTTGTATATTTCGAGTATCCAAAGCTCAGATCTCCTGATTTTCGTAGTCCAGATGCTCTACCATTTGAGTTCAGGACAACCTTTAGGTGAGCTAGGCTGTAAGTTGGAATCATATGGGAACGGATTCCAGCATGCTACTTGCATCAGTGTTGTCGAAACCTTCCTTTTTGGAGATGTCAAGTAAAGTGGTAACATACTTATAGATTGGCTTCTTAAACAGTTCTTATCAGCTGAAGTTAATTTCATTTCAACCCTTAGTTGGAGGAGTTAAAACCAGGTGGAGCTCAGATACCAGTCACAGAATCAAACAAGAAAGAATATCTGGACTTATTGGCTCAGTATCGTCTTGCAACCTCTGTTAAACAGGAGATTGAAGCTTTTGTGAAAGGTACGATTAAAAAGGACTTTATGCCTCGTCATTAAGTATTTTTTCAGTCTACTCATGGTCCATTAGTCCACTCCATTCTTTACGTGGTATTTTCAATAGTTGTTTATGCACCTACTTTGTCCCAGGGTCTCTCCTCTTCCTTGGGCGGGAAGAAGGAGGGAATCTGGGAACGAGGTTGATTATGCAATTTCCCGAGGCTAATAGAAGAAAGAAAAATATAAACTAGGGGACATCTTTTGGTGATTTGACTCCAATTTTAAGTTCTTAGACAGAGCAGAGTTCAAACGTTTATCTCAACATGGCGACCCAAAAAACCAAAAGACTACGGGGTCATTTCTCACGTGACAGAGATATGCAATTCGTACAAACTCCAAGCAAAAATTGGTATTCATGACCAAGGAACATTGGTCAATGTCAATGAGGCGCGACTAGGAAGTTAATCAGTAATTTCTCTTTTTTGGGTAGGTTTGAATGAAATTGTACCAGACAGTCTGCTGAGTGTGTTCGATGAATATGAGCTGGAGGTAATGTGCCCTGTGACCAATACTCTTCAACGGGTTTTCATTTTAAATTTGGTTATATTTTTCTGGGTCAGTTTTAGTTGCGTATCCGTTTCATTTTCTCTGTATTCCGCAGCTTTTGATGTGTGGGACTGGAAACATCAGTGTTACAGATTTCCAAAACAATCATACTGTTACGCATGATATGGCACCATTTAGAAAGGTAAAGCTAACTTTAGTCATTACTTGGGTAGTTAGAGCGCTGTTACTAATGATCAATCAAAGGAACAAACTGCCTGAAGCGCAGAAAAACGCGAATGATCAAGTCACTGTTGGTTCTAGTCTTGCATCTTACTGGTTGAGAGGGTGCATGACGAGTGCTCCAGACCAATTAGGAGCAATGGGAATCAAGAACTAGGGTTACCTATTCTTAAAATTTTCAAAATGTTGATAATTTCTTTCACAGCTCAGAGCCGTTTCGTCTCGTAATTCTGTCGCGACGTAGTACTTGTTTGCAAAATAGCCCGCAGTTTTCGGGATGATATGAAGGGGCCCGATAAAGAAATCGACGGATGAAAGTGTAGCGGCCCAAACGGCGTGGATATAGTGGCGAGGGTATTTTTTAGTTCTAACTACAATTCATAAAGCTTTTTTTCTTATTCAGACTTTGGAGTGGTTTTGGACGATTGTGACTAGTTTTACTCAAGAAGAGCTTGCTCGACTGGTGCAGTTTATCACAGGTTCTTCTCAACTTCCCCCTGGGGGATTTGCCGAACTCTCTCCCCAAATACAGATCTCGTACGCTCCATTTACAAACGCACTTCCCACAGCACATACTTGGTAAGTACAGTCTACAATCCGCTACTTAGCTTGACGGAGAGGACCCTGGGAACGCTCGGCCCAGGCGTAAAGAGATCAGTAATCTTAATGGATCGTTTGGGCCCGATATGCAGATAGATCTTTTCGCAACTTCCGCTTATTACATCAAACGTGACCAAAATATAGGCAACTTCTTGGACGGAAGTTCATTACAAACTAATGACTACCTCGGAATTTTCAAATGCGCTTGCGTGCGATGTAAAACTTCTCCTTTCATTCATAACGTTGAAAAAATATCCCACCAGTAGCATAGCACCATTTTCTGCATATAAACACATACACAACCCACAATTCCTCCACTCGCTCTGACATAGGGCTAACGCTCGAGACGTCAGCTTTGAAAGTCTTTTACCGTGGCCAATTTACTTTATCAAACGCCCAAAATAAATCTTTTTACAGGATGGTCAAGAATGAACAGTTTTTGACTCTAAGAACCTTTTCTTGTTTGTAGTTTTAACCAGCTCTGTTTACCATCCTACTCGTCCTTCAAAGAGATGCAGAAGAAACTTTTACTTGCAATAAACGAGGGAAGCGAAGGATTTGGTTTTGCGTAAGAATGGAGAATTAACAAGATCATTAGATGTGCTTCGAAAAATTATATCGATGGAAAATTGACTGGGACTAAGACATTTTCTCTAGTACGCAGACCCTCGCATTTCTCTGATCGGAAGGGATTTTCTCATCACAGCATCTGCGCGTTGTTAAGCATCTAGAGAAGTAACAAGAGAGCAAGTCACCCCCGAGTGCGGGAAATTGATCGATAACCAAATTCTTAGAAATAACGTCCTACGACAACGTACTGAGGGCTTAAGGAGTAACGCTTCGCTTGTATTTTCTGTAGGAAATATTATCAAAAGTTTTAATAGCCGTACAGTCAGCAGTACTGACATAACGATTCTGCGATCATAACTGGATTAGACAATAATTTTATGAAATCGGGCACATTGTAGACAGAACAAAGTAGCTTTGTAAAAGGAGCTGCTCAAACCCACCTGATTGTTTTTATTACGTGCAACTCAAAACAACTTTTTCTTATTAAAGCTGGTAGAGTGATTAAGTGATGTTCAATTGGCAATTTCCGAGTTACCTTTGGCCCGTTCTTAAAGTGAGCCCTGGTGCTCAGCCTCTTCTGTGATTATAAGTTTTCAATCACATGCAAATTATACTCATTTCATACGAATGGATGAGCATCAGGCCTCGTTTTGAACACGAGGCCAAAGGTAATTCGGAATTAGCCACTTTCAGCCCTTGTTACCCCTCGCTTTGTACTTTGTTTAGCGAATGCTTCTCAGACACGCGTGGTTAAGAATATGCGGTTGGGTGAACTTAACAACTCCTTCCCCTAGGGGGTTGGTGTGGACTCCCCGAAGGTTCGTTAAGAATCTATAAAGGTGTGGTTCAGGCTTTCTTTAGTCCCAAAGAGACACCAAAATTACGCCGGATCTTCGTGATCCCCTACCTTCCCCACCCTTGATCGTAGCGAAGACACATAGTGATGATGAGGTTAACAACACAATCTCACCGTTGGTGCTTTATTTCTTGACAACTTTAAACTTATCTACTACAAACCAAACTCTCCGAGACATTACTAGTCTCCACCGAGTTAATTTTTACTACATCGCGTAGTATGTCTGTTTTAAATCAAGCAAGGGAAGACGCGAACCACTTTTGAAAAAAACCCTCAACAAGCACAACGAATACTGCAATTTAAATCCGTCCAGTCTTGAAGTTTTCATGTCTACTTCGGAAATCCCTAAAACTTGTGACGATGGCATATCACCAGGAGGCGTCGTCTGCGTCCTCAAAGAACTTCAACTTCTCCTTATTATTTGATGTTGTATCCGGGCAATAACCCACAATTTATAATTGCCTTGCCTCTTGCTGCCTGTCTGTTGGAGGGTTTATTAGAAATTGTATGGAAAAATTTAGGCAATGATCATTCCTAGGAACGGTAACTATCGATTCGGTGAAGTGTTTCTAAGTGAGGCAGAAATACGAAAGTTTTATTCAGTACTCTACAAAATTTTCAACTGGATCTACAGCAGCTCAGAGGAACTCCCTTCAGAACTGGCTTTCAAGTTTTCGAATTGTGCTTACTATCTACACAGTGTAAACCGTTTCTGTCCAACAAAGCTGGTTGTTAAAACAGCAAAAGAAGAATAAATATCACCCGATCTTTGCAGCCACCAACAACAATGTTCACTGCAATCACACCAATTTTCTAAAGCTACCATGACACTAACAATTGAATCAAAATAAAACGTCTAAATTTCTTTTGAATTTCAAACGATACGCGACTTTAACGCTCAGGAAATAACGCAAATTAATTCTGGTTTGATTATTTTATATTAATTCTCCACTAATCCGCCTTTTTAGTAATTAATCAATTAAAGATGGGGTCAAATTCATTACAATTAACGTCTACGCTTTTCCTTGGGGGTTGTGCCCCAAAAGACAATTTGCTTTATATATAATTTAGTACAAAGCCTAACTTATGTAAGAGGCGAAATTCAAAAAATATTTCGAGCACCGAAGATTCGTCCGGAGCAAGATGTAATATTGTTATTTTGTATGATAAGACGTGTTTTGAAGTTTGAATTACATTGGATTCCTTGTGTTGCAATCTGCTCGCACTAAAATGACACGTACACAGAAATATTGTAAAACCTGTCTCAATCTCCCTGACATGCTCACGGTTCAACATGACCGAGCGCTTGCTAGGATTGGACGAAACGAAAACAGCAGTGCGTAACAATGATGCATCACAAGGAACCCAAACGAACAACAAAATTCCATTTTCAAATTTAAATTTTAGACAATTTTAACTAAGGCTAGATGAACAACGGGTGTAACCCGTCTTAATTCCCCTTGCCCTTTCGTCAATTGCCCAGAAGTTGTAGAAGAATTTTCTCGAGGTCTCCTTTCATTTTCTTCGCTACAACATCTTTCAGAAGTTGTCCGGTCTTCTTTTCGTACCGAGTCTTTATATCAGCCAGATCAATCTGAAATGACAAAGGAGAAAACTCTAGTTATTCTCTTTCCGTTTCCATTGGAAAGAGAAAAAAATATTTCACACGTTTGCCACGACGAGGAGGAAGAAGGGAAAAAATCCCAGTCACCCAGGAGAAATCTAATTTCGAACCTCTGAGCTCGATCGTTGAATGCAGAAAAACGTTGAAACACTCCTCACATTCGTGTGGTTCGAGTCTCCGTGCGGAGCTCGAATTTTTCCAAACACGACACATTACAAACTAATCACCATGTCCAATCAAATCCAGTGGAAATAACATAACGAACTGATGAGAACTCATATGAATACGTGTGAACTTAAGAACAGGAAATCGTTGGTGACAAAGCTACAATTGGTTTTCGTTTTACATCTGATTAGTTGAAAAGGTGATGGGGGTTTTCAACACCAAACAAAGAGCCAGGTGAAGCAAAACTTAATTTATCATGGATTGTTTTAGACACTCTAATGAAACTTCATACTTACTTCTGATCTTGTCACCAGCACACGTGTAACATTTTTACTGCTTCCTTTGTCCAGCGCCTTTTCCAACACCTCAGCGAAGAACAGAGCTGGATCCTGAGCGCATCGGACTGAGAATTAAATCAATCTCGGTCAATATTTGCGTACACAGTAGGTTACAAAGTGTAAACAGTGTAAGAGCCATGTTAAAAATGAGCGTTTTCACTTCATCATCGATCCAAATGAAGCACCGTTGAAAAAATAAGAGAGGAGGTAAAATAACTCTCTTTTACAACTAGCTCGAAACATAAGGGAATATTTACAAAAGTGATCGACTGGACGAAAAATTTATATTCGGAAATGCGGTTAACTCGTCATTAAAAACAGTACACAATACGAGTTCTATGTTACTTACCTATCGCCCTGAAGACATTCTGCAAATCTCCTTTTAGGTGCTCGTTGATGTAATCCATGAGATCACTTTTGGCCAACTGCCAACATAAGTAAAACATTCAGTTACAGTAAAATAAAACAAGCAAACAACCAAACTTGACAATTGCTTCACACCATGATTTCCAAACTTAGATTTCTTCCCCATTTCCATTTGATGATCCTTTTGCCTCCAAGAGGTGATCAGAGATCAAAGTTATCCACACCATTTTGATAAATCATCAAGTTGAAAGAAAGAATTAAAATAATTTTCAACGAAGGAAAATGACTTCTACTTGAACTATATTTCCAGTCAAAGTATTCAGGTTCGAGAAGTAACTCTCTGATCTTAAAAGAAAAAGATTCAGTTAATTAAATCACTCACGGAAACTTACAGTTTTGTAGGCGTCTAAGGTGGCTCGCAGTTGTGCATAATTTCTGCTTGTAAGGACTTCGACAAATACTGCTTTGTCTGTTCCCTTTTTGCCTTGCCCTGCCTGAAAAAAAAGAAAAAAAATCAACTAAAAGACTGTACCAACAAGCCACCATTCACGTCCTGTTTCTGTTCCTTATTTTTTTCTGATGATCGACCAGTACAGAACGCTTTGAAGTGGACCGGAGTTTTCTCGATGAATCACAGAGCAAAGTGAACCGACGCCCAAACAAGGTCATTTTATCAATGTAACAGAACGCTTGAAAATGGAGAAATAATAATATATGGATTTAGCCAAGCCTAAAAGCGGAGCTCGCATTTTTTTCCCCGCACGTCTCTAGGACACAACGCCTTGCCCCGGCCAGGACTAGAACCCGAGTCGTCCGACTCGGAACCCAGTGCACTGACCAATGGACTACTGAACAAAGCAGTGGCGTTGGCGTGCCCGCGGTACAGTTGACCACGCATGTCAAAAGTAGCACCTTGTACGGTCGTACGGTCGTACATCCAAATTTTTTCGGCTTGATGGGTTACTACTATTTTGTATAATTATGGGGCTACGCTCTGCGGGCTCCGCTAAAATAGATATATGAGTCAATACATAAAAAGATAATGATACAAAATAAGAAAAAAATAAATCAAAACAAAAACACACCTCAAAGAGTTTCTTGGCATCCGTCTTTGCCAGGTCCTCCTTTACCTTTTCGTTGCTATCTCGATTTTTCTGTCGGACAAAATACATCAAGAACAGCTGAGCAAACAACGAAAGCTTAACAATTAAGATACAGCAAGACATCATTAAATCTACCAATTCACTATCAGTGTCAAAACTTTTATTACTGTGAACTTATTTATCGAACTGTTTCCAAGTCTGTTACTGATCACGAACTGATCACGTGCATTTTAACTTATATTATACATTCTGGTCCAATCACAATCAGATGGCATTACAGCAGTTACCTCTATCAAGTTCATAAGAGTTGTCCTGAACTCCCCAGCAGTGTCTTCTTTGATCTTTTTAAGCACATCTTTACCGGTATAAACTACAGAGGAGAAAGGCCAATGAAGGAAGCGTTTACAAATAGGCCACAAAAAAATTTGGGAGGGAGGAAGAGGGGGCTATAGAAACATTCTACCACTTACTTTTCGTATATGCTGACTTCATTACTTGAAGTTCCTGTAAATTCAAAATAACACAGGCTTTAACTTTTTTGATGATTCGTAAACAACTAAAACTCCTTTAAAACACACAACTGTGTGATTAGCAATGTGGCTAATACCACGAGAAAACAAAATTGGACTCAAGGAAACCATTTTGAGCACAAAAACTTAAAAGAATTCGTCTCAAAAGGTAATTTGCTGAAAAGTCATTCTTCTTACAACTTTTAGGAAATTAATTTTTCCACTGCTTAATTGTTTCACCGCACAATGCAAAGTTAACACATGCGTGGTAATTTGTGATTCCATGAAAGCAGTGAATAATTTTCACGCCACTGAAACAACCATGACTACAACGATGAACTTTTTCCGCAGCAAACTGCACTCACCTCGTAAGTCCGTGAACTTAAAATTTCTATGAGGACCTGTTCATCAGTTCCAAGTCCCTAAGAAACAAACACCAACCATGATTAAATATGAGCAGATAAAGCGGAAAACAGCTGAGAGGTCCACGACTTACCGACATGGCGTCATGAAGAGAAACTGCATCGTAATTTTCTGGAACGGCCATCAAAGCGACTGCTGCATCCTGGAACTTTCCACTCAGTTCTGATTTCAAGTCATCCGTGAGGTTCTATGTAAAACATTTAGAAGAAAAAGAAGACACCACGCGTAAGCAAGGATTCAAGGCAACTTCTTAGGATAACTTTAACTCTGGCTGTTCTGGAGTCTCACGATGATTGAACCCTTTACACCCAAACAAAGTATGCAAATTCTCCATACTGTTTTCGGCCCCTTTTTACGACAAGAGCAGGGAGAATTTGTTCAACAATCAGTCAAGAGCTCCTTCAGTTGCTGACGACTTCCCTTTATTCTCATGACCTAAATGTTATATTCAGGGGTGAAACTATGCGAGGAAATTACATGCTACTCACTCGTTGGGGTTAAACGGTTAAAATTACAAAATGATCAAATTCCGCCGAAAAGTGATACTGAAAGTGACATGCAGTGGAACCCCAACGAACTATGGGAAGAATGCTTGGGAATAGCAATTTATAGCTTTATTTTTGGATTTAAACTGAAAGATCTCGCACATCCGTGGCACATCTAGAGCCTTGAAATTTCGCTTTGATATTATTCTATCGCTAACGACAACAAAAGACAAAGATTTGTTTAGAGCTGTTTTATCAACCTCTTGCTGTGATCGCTTTTAAAATTTACCTTGTTGTACTTCTGCTGGTACTTGGCCGCAATTTCCTGTCTCTGTTTATTTGACCGAGCTCCAAGAATGGCCACAATTGCGTCTTTGTCACTTCCTGTTGATTGAACACATAACGTAAGGAAAAGAGTGAAGGAATGCGTGACACACATGATTTCAACTGAGTCACAAAATCTTTGGAAGATAGGTTAGCATTTCCCAGGTAACTTTACAAAAAAAAAAAACTTTCTCCTGGTGGCGAAAAAGAATAAATTAAAAATCGATCTCAAGGAAAAACAATTGTAAAAGCGACAAGAAACATAGTTGTCCAGACGCCTCCTGAAAACTTCAAGTTATTGGTGTTCTGTTGGCAGGGGTGCTTAGGAGAAGGCTGCAGCAAAGTTGCCATGGTGACCTTGCGACAAAAGATATTCCTGTCCTCCTTGGTCGCTACCTTAACGGCTGTTTCCCCCTTCACCCCCCTCTCTCCCCCCTCTCTCCCCCCCTCTCTCTACAGGATTGTCAACTACAGGATGTTTCAATAACTATTAGTGTAAAGTCTCAACCGCGATTTTGAAAAAAAAAGGTTTTTTTAAATATATTTTTGTATATTTTTATACGTAAGCCATGTCCCTCACCAGAGCCCTGCATGGCTTTCCTCAAAGCTTCTGCGTCTTTTAAGGCATCGAAGTTATCTGCTGGTTTCAATGTCCCACGGAACTGAGGCTGAAGGAGAAAACGAGAAAAGAAAAGAATAAAGACAATAATCAAATCACGAAAAAACAAACTGTCTTTATGTCTGTTTTCCTGAAGCGCAGGAGAATTATTCAGTGTTGAAGGCAAGCTTCTTCACTCCTAAAAGAACACACTAAGACCACTTTTGACAATGGTGTAAATATACTCGTGTTATAGCTAAAATTCAGTGCAAATTGCCCTGACAATTCAATTATGTTACTAAGGAAAATTAAAACTACTGTGCAACAAAACTGAGGGTTCAACTGAAAATACATTCCTCCTCAATGATCTCTTTAAAGAAGAAAAGAAGAACGTTTTTTCGTTATCTAGGATCACAGTTAGAGCAATTCTTTCTCAACCTTATAATTACATTGGGGCCACGATAAGTTAAAAATTCATACGAGTTAGAAAAGAAAACATGTCAGTTTGCACCGAATTTCAGCTGATTAACATGTTAGATTTGTATATGTATACTGTGCGCTCGTTCGACTGCGCATGTTTGACTGCGCATGCTCCCTTTGGGCACGAGGCGGTACTTACTTTGAGTGAGTTGTCACTGGGGGCAGGGCGGGGCTTGACGGGGCTTATAGCTGTCTGTTAAACATGAAAGCAACGTGACGTATGCGTTATTATGATATCATATTTATCTCGACGAAAAAGAGGTTTTGCATAACGAGCGATAATCATCCGGATCTAGTCGACTCCGTTTGGCAAAGAAAAAGTCACATGTTGACTGCCCTTCCGTCTTAAAACGTTGATGCATGTATCTCTTGAATTAAATTTACAAAATTTTGCAGAAAGAAAATAAAAAGTTTATGCGTACGCAAGCGTGCGACATAGGTTGAGGCCTATAAAAATTATAATTACTTTTAAGGATTTACGAAAACAAATCACTGCTTTGCGTTTACGATCATATTTCATTATCTTCGTCAATTTATTACAGCGCTGCCGAAGTTTTTCAACATCAACTATGTCCTTACTTGAATTTTCATCTGACTTGTATATCAAAATCATTACAAAGCATCTTAATAAGGGTCTTTATCAAAAAGGTAGTTAGCTAAAATATTAAAAACTTTTGATAAAACTGTCCATCACTTCTAGTTAAATTTATATTAAAAGCTTAATTGTCTTAGTATTAGAATTAATACTGTTACAATTTAAAAATTATCGCCATAAATTTTCCAGTCGCGTTTATTACTTGTGTGTATCAGTTGCAAAAAGTTAGTGCCCCAAAATGAAACCAATAAAAGTCGTCCTACATAAAATAATATAAGCTGAAAACAGGGAACATACCTCACTCATTGCTTCTGAAATATCTTTTTCTATCTGTTGCGATGAAGCCAGTTCCTGGAAAAACAAAGCAAACGATTTCAGACCCTGCAGTTACACACAAAATTGTTGATAAGCACATTTTAAAGGCTGAAATCTCCAACGAAGTGGAAAATACTAACGCTTTCAACAGAAATTGAAAGTCTCTTCAACTCTTTGTATTCAACTTCTAACGCTTTGTGCTGCTTTTCCAATTCTTGTTTAGAATTCTTGAGATCCTTCGAAAAAACATGACAACCATGTCGTTAACTAAGCATAAGATACTAAAAAAAAAAAAACAAACAATTCCCAAAGCTCAATTTTAATATTCAACAAAAAACTCAATATCCTTAACTAAAAATAAACTTGAAATATATTACAATAACCTTACAACAATAGACTTAAATAACGTTACGCTTTGGTGGAATTACCGGTGGTGTTTGTATCGTTTACTCCCAGCAGACACATAAGCTAAGTCAGCTTAAGAGCATCGAGACTCGCACTTTCAAAAGCTTATCTCTGTTTCAGTAACACAGAGTGTCTGGGAGTGCTGCTACTCTCCCCTGGGTGGGAATGACAGTTCGTAGAAGGATCCCCACTCCCAGCTTTCCGTCAGATTTCTCAAAGATTTTGCTAGTACCTGGTCCAACTATCGGGTAGAGAGGAGCACTCTTCAGAGTCAATTAAGAGGCCAGCACACCAATAAGTATGCTACCCAATCTCCCAGCTATGTGGTAGTGTCTACTGTTCTATACTGAAATTGCGTTTATCAATATGTGCTGATGTACAACTCGGTACTCACATCAATCTCTGCTCGCTGTTCAGATATCCTTCGTTCAGCCTGATGAAAACGAACAGAGTAAGAAAACCAATTTAAGTTTCTGTTCCTTCATAAAGAACCAAAACAACCCACACAGGCTCACAAACCCTTTCTTCAAAATGAAGACAAAACAAAACTTAAAAAGCATTTAATACTTCCACAAACACGAGTGACAAAAGACGGTTACATTTTTACTTTGGAAACTACAGAAAGGAAAATTGTTCTATACAGAGATTCGGCCATAGAGGTTTCATTAGAATGGACACACTTTATAAGGGTTCAGTGTACAGAACAGAAGGAAGAACACAACAAGACACTGCTTTTTCAATCCCCCACAGAATAAAAAGCATGTTACCGTGGACACTGCTTTTGACGCACGAGCTTCCCCTTTTCAGATAATTCAGACCAAAACTATTTTCCATGACCATGTAAAAAAGACCTTGAAGTTATTTTTTTCTAAATATCGGAATTGTTGTCCCTGTGCAAGGTTTCATATTGTTTTATAAAATTAAAGCTTCCATAAATATTTTTAAGACTTAGAGAACTCTATTGTAACTAACTAACACCTTACCTCCTCTAGTTTACCGTCATCCTTTTCTTTATCCTTCTGTAATAAAATAGATGTCATAACGTGAAAATGAAATTCAACTCCAACAGCCCCCGAGAGAGACTTTAAACGAAGAGAAACATTTGTGAAATGAAAACACCACTATGCCTTTGCAGATTCCTTGTCAAAATTTGTCATATAAACTATGAATATGGATCTAACAATTAACCTTCTCTTATCAAAGAGAGGATAAACATTCCTGGGCTTTATTTAAAACACAGTTTAAATTTATTTTTATATGCTTTATGGCATGCTTATGGAAATAGTTTACTCTTGATAAGTACTGTAATAAAATACATTTCTTTCCAAAAATATTGTGCAAATCTTTCCTCAGTTACACAAGGTCCTGGCGACTGTCAAACTTCATAAGTAAATATCCTCTTTAAAGAATTCATTTTTGGACCAAAACAATTTACAATCATAGAAAATACATTTTGATATTTTATTTAAGTCATAAAAATAATACAAAATGATGCAAGGTTCAAAAATGGAATTACAAAAATTACTCAGCAAAAAGGCAAATTATTGTAATTTAAACTTGATAGGCAGAACTCAAGAATGTATAATAATTTGATAGCTATATATTTCCATCAAATATCTAAAGAACGGCATTCACAACCCAGACCCCAAGCCTGCTGTAAGAGAAGCCACAGTCCATCAGTACAAACCTTGTTCTTTACTTTATTCAGTGCTCCTTTCAGTCCCTTTTTTTTCTTGTCAGGGCTGTTGTTTAAACTGTCAAGTGATTCCTACATTTGATTTTATTGGTTAATAATTAGAATTACATTTAATGAGTCCTTTAAAAGCCAGCTTTACTATGCTGTTGTGATATTTTAAGAATTACTTTATAACCTGAACATAAATGTTTGATTTAATTTACGCAACCTATTTACCATTTGATTTCCATGAACCTAAACCTTTCTTATAGGTTTAATTCAAACTATTATCCAATGCTTAATTTTACTTTTAATTTAACCTTACGATAAATAAACTTGCTTCAAGGAAACATTAACTTGCTTTCAAAAAAGTAAAAATGTTGCATTGCTTGTCACATGATGTCAATTGCAAATTTTTAAAAATTTATGATTCCTCAGGAGATGAATAACTTGCCATTCACTTGACCAAAAATGTTAGTTAGAAAAAAAGGTTCCAATCAAAAGGTTTTAGCATGTTACAAATTCTGCCAAATAGATAACAATGTGTCAACCATTCCCTCATTCACACCCCCCCCCCCCTCCAGTGGTATAATAATTTGCAGGCTTTGCACTGGTATAAAACAAAATAAAACAGAGCACTGCCAACACACCTGTGATTTTCCAAGGTCATTATTTGCCTTGGCTAAGGCCTCCTCAAGTGATGCCACTTTCTTCTTTAGTTCATCTTCTGAGCTTTGAACCTTGGCAAGCTCACCCTTGGCTGTTTTCAATTCATTATCACGTTCAGCAATTTCTTTGATTGAAGTTTCCCTTTGCTGCTTGCACTTTATAAGATCTTTTTCTGTGGATTCTAGCTTGGAAATTGTATCAGTAAGTTCTCTATCTTGTGCTCTTAGCACTTCAAGTTCTTTCTCAAGATTTCTTATTTTGTCACTGTCTTCAGAGACTGTAGATTTTGAGAGCTGTTCCTGTAATTCAGAGAATCGTTGCTTTGCTTCACTCTCAGCAGCCCTGGCCTCCTTGAGATGTTGCTCTAAAGATGCTATTGTGTCCAGCTGAGAAGAAGCTGATCCTGTGGTCTTTTGAAGATCTCCTTCTAATGTTGATATTCTATCATTGGCCTACAACACAAGATGGCATGACAAAAACTGAGTTTCTATGTTTTACATTGCATTAACATATTAACATTTAATATTGAGAACATTACAAGCTTACTATTGAACTGACCACTGATAATTTAGCAGTGGATCCACATTGCCTTCAGAATAATTGGGAGTCTAAAATGGTAATTCCATGCACAAAGAGAAGGGAGAGGGATCCTTGAAAAATGTTTTAGACAAGTTTTAGAGCCCTGACCACAGCCACACCAGCAGAAGGCAAGTGAGCTCACTCCTATGCCTTTCCTCCTCAAACAAATCTCATTTTGCAAGATAAGTCTTACCCAACAAAGCATCACAGTTGCAAAAATATGGATATCTTAGGTTTAATAATCCATTTTTATGGATACCTCTTTAAGTTCTCTTTGAGTTCGTTCTACAATCTTTTGCCAGTTGTCCATTTCAGATTCAACATTGTCTTCTAACTTTCTAAGCAAGGACTCCTGAGACAAAACAGCACACAAACCAAATTAATACCATTCCTTTACCCTTTAACTCCCATAAGTGACTGAGAGAGAATTTCTCCTTTCAACATCAATACAATATTAACCAGATAAGTGATGAGAATAAAGAAAAATATCAATTTGGGGATAATTAGTTGATCCAATACTAAATTCTCTGACCTAACATTATAAGAATTGTATGGTTGACAGTAAGGAGAAAGACAAATTTGATCTGGGGGTTAAAGGGTTGACTAGCTAAAAGATGCTTACCTCCCACCCAAACAGTTCTTTAAATTATTAGATCAGGTCTTTTTGAGACATCTGATCATCTTAGATCTTGAAGTTGGTTATTCATTACTTACTGTTTCTTGAAGTGTGACTTTGTAATGAGCACATTCTGCTACCAAAGTGTCTTTCTGTGCCTGTACTTCTTCAAACTTTTTGGTAAGCTCTTCCAACTATGATAAAAAACATAAAAAAAAACTCAGAGGAAAACAAAAATACACCAGCAGCATTAAAGTAAGGGAACTGACCTTTGCAAGTTCAAGATAATTCCTAACTTTGAACATCTGGAATAATTTAAATAATGATATTAAGGTGTGCATCGATGTTAATAGTTTTAGGAGTAAGCTTAGAGGGGTGCTTTTAGACAAATTTAAGACCTTTTTGTAATTGTAACAAATTATTTGTTCAAGATAATTCCTAACTTTGAGGTTTAAATGTCCAAATTAAAGGTGAATCAGGGTCCAAAATCAACTTTTTTGGTTTCATTTGCTACAACATTTTTTGAAGGCATGCTTAGAAACTGACCAAAATTCTGTTCATCAGTTGCATTAGCGGCCAACCAGTTACAATTTCAGACCCAGAAAGTTCTGCATGGACGCACCTGGTGACAACAGTTTAGGCAGCTAATACTAACCTCTTCACTATCGCCAGAGGATTTGGATGCTTGTTTTTCAAACTCCCCAAGCCACTTCTTGTATGCCTGAGAGACAAGAAGACAAATGTATATGATATACATGTTAATACCATTACTTGTTAAACACTGCAATAAACCTTTATTCAGTGACTGCCATTTTCGAGTTCCCATGGACAGAAATCTTTGATTTGTCTATTCAAATGCAGTTTAGCTGTAAGGCTGGATATTCCGAAAGAAAAGTATCTTTCCTACTGAAAAATGCCCACCATTAGACTATGAAGATAATCTCATGCTATTACCACTCTTACCTCTATTTGTTCTCACAAACTAGTCAAAACACTTTTAACCCTTTAACTCCCAAGATCTGATTGTTAATTCTCCCCTCTACCTGCTACACATTTCCTTGTAAATTAGTTATGAGAGCTTGGTGTTAGATCAAGATAACAACTTCTACCTGATTAGTTTGAATATTCTCGTTACCTGTTTGCTAGATAATGTAAGGATCTTATGGGGAGAAGTTTCATGTTGATCACTTCTGGGAGTTAAAGGGTTAAGAAAAATTAGAAACATACAGCAGAGTGAACAAAAACAGTTCATTAATTTTACTTTTGGGTACTTAGGATATATTTCACTCACCAATGTGGTGTCTACCATGACATTTGGATGAACTCTACAAAGGACTGCCTACAAATGTTCAAAATGAATTATCAGATGGCTGAAAGTGTTTAATTCAACACTAGTAAAAAACAAAACAAAACAACAATAATGGATAATATAATTACCTTTGTCTCATTTTGTTCTTCAGTCAAAATAGTCTTGTTTTCATCCTATCAACAACAACCACAGTTAGTTTCATGTTGTAAGATTTGCACTGACATTAAAGCAAGATTTTCAAAATTACCAAAAAAAAAACCAATAGCCATAAGATTTTTATTTTCCTTTGTGTAACACCTCTCAAAGTCACCATGAACCCAGACATTGTTCCCGAAAAAAAAAAAAGAAAAAAGAAAAAAGAAAAACCCAAAGAAAAACCCAAAGAAAAACCCAAAAAACCAACCATAAAATGAATCTCCCAATACATTTTATTCAGTAGATCATGGCTTTGGCCCCTGTCAGCTGAAAAAGGAGTTGCTGTTTTTTTTCCTTGGGTATGTCAGTGTTGCCAGGTGATACTAACAATAGTTTCAGGTGATCATACCTTGACACTTTGTACAGCACTCTTGATTTTACTGTTTACACTTTTTTCCATTTCTGACAATGCATCCATTGCCTTCCAGTTCTTTTCACGTAATTCCTATATACCCCAAAAGAGAAATGAAAGAGTAAAGCATTCACTTATTTGAAAGGGACACAAGAGTCGTCTCATTCTCACAAATGTTATCAGTAGTAGAGAATCAGTTCAGTTCTATGCTAAAACAAAACCTGTATCATCTCTGTATATGGAAAACATGGTTTATAGGTTTAAATATTTTCTTATTCAAGACTCAAACACACAATTGCTCACAATGAATAAACTGCACACATCCCTGGCTGTACAATGTTTAACAACCAAACACAGCACGTGATATACTACTTTTCTGGCACTGCTTGGTATTTTTGAGTGAAGAAATGTAAAATGGTTTCCGTGTTTACATAGCCTGATGTAAACACGCGGGAGGTTGGGAGCACACGAGATAAGCGTAGGAAACCATGACGCAAAGCAGAGTGGTTTCCAGCTTATCGAGGAACAAAAACAGTGTTTACATATGCTCATGTAAAATGGTTTTATGGCCAATCAGAGTGCGTATACTATTTGAATTATTTTATGATAAGGCTTTATAACAGAACTGGTGAGAACTGAACAGGTTGAAATCTTTTTCCATCCATACTTACATTATTCTTATCCTTGTGTTGTTGTACAGCATTTTCTAGTTTGCTACATTCGTCCTTTTTCTCCTTGAGCTCTTCCTTGAGTTTTGTTATTGCATCATCTCTTTCCTTCACACTGAAATTAAAGAAGAAACTTTATCATTAAGTTCAAAAGGAACTGATGCAAGTAAACTATCAGTAACTTGGACAGCAAAACTGAATGTGTATGGCACCATGAAGCAACTTTCACCAGGAATCAAAACATTTTACAGTGTTCTGTTCAACATACTCATTAAGGTTGGGACAAACAGAGTTACAAGCTGCTGTATTGGTTCCATGCAACAAACCCTTCCATGAGTATTGTTTCTAAAAAAATGTTCCTCATTTTCATGTTGCTATCAAATGTACAAATTCAAACTTCTTTAAATTTATGCAAGGAAAAAATTTCTTTCCAGAGCACAATGATTTTAATTGCCACTAGAAAATGTACCAGTGTCATCCTTTTTGACCTGAAGAAGTTTCCTTTCAACAAACTTAGACAATCATTCTCTTTCCATCCAATCTTTCCATCTCTCCCTGGTGTTTAAGATCATCACAGCAGCTTCAATAAGAAGGTATAGGTAATCACTTACACATCACTCTGTCCGTTAGCCACAGCATCATTTGCAGCCTATAAACAAAACAAACATCAGGAAATGTTTACCAGAATTAACCCTACCAACACTAGTTACTAACATTGTTTAGTGTTTGCATTTTAATGAAACACAACACTGTTCCAGCAACATAAAGAGGAAAAAGAGCAGTGCATCATGCAGACATAAAAGATTTCAAAAAGTAGAGAAACTTGTGCACACATATCCAGAAATTGATGGGAGAAAATCTTAAGATTGAACTTTTACATAGATTTTCACAAACACGAACAGGAAGAGAGAGAAATGAGAAAATGTCAGCCCATGCATCACATGCAAACCTGACACCTTAGACAGGCTTCCCCTGACATTTTATCACAACTCTGGAATAATAATAGTTGGAATGAGACCAGAGTGAAGTATTCCTTTTAAAGTGCCAGATTTATGGCAATACTAAAGGGAAGACACAAAGCTAGGCCTTGCTTTTGACATGATGCTATTGTGATAATCCAAAACAGTCTGATCTTCCACTTTGAATAGAGAAGGACAGTATGAGATTGTTAAGTTAATGATTAAGTAGAGAGATAATTATTACCACATGCACAAGATTGTTGTTGAGATCTGTTTATGACTGGATGGAAGAATGTTGTAAACATGTTGTGAATCAAGAAGAAGTTGTTAATATTGTTAATAAGTGTTTGGCAGAAGGTCTTGGTACCTTGGCTGCCTCAAGAGCCTTATTAATTTGCGCCTGAGCATTTTTCTCGGCATCGTTTACGGCTTCCATAGCCTTCCAGTTCTTCTTTCGAAGCTCCTGAGTTACAAAAGAATACTCAATTGTATCAAAAAAAGGTTAAGCACTGACAACTCAGCAGTGAAACAGGTCTTTTTTGGTATACCCTTCCAATCCCAGGATTAAGATCTAAATTCTCTTTATGAGCCTTTTAAATATTCTTCCAAAGTAAGAGTGGAGAATCTGGAGATGAGATGTAAAAGGATCAAGAATACCAGATGCAGGATGAGTGAAAACTAACCATAGTGAAAAAAGACAATTAAAAAATCAGCCTAACAAAAATAATCATTGTCAAAATACTTGAGTGAATATAACACACCATTGTAAGGGATATTGTAAGTTCCTAACAAGGATTCTTAGGAAACTGTTTTGGTCTTATGTGTCTGTATCTTCATTTTGTTTTTAAATTTCAACCCTTAAAACCCTTGGAGTGACCATCATCTAATTTTCCCTTACAGCACTACTACTGAATCATTCACTGAGATCATAAAAGAATAACGAAAAGATCACCAACCTAAGAAGCTCTGATTGTTAAAAAAATTCTCCTGGTCAGTACCAAAGGAAATGTATAGAGAACAGTATGGAGAATACAGATATTTAATCAGCTTTTGGTAAGACTTCCTTTGATGGTCTTGGTGATCTATTCTGCACTGAAAGACTGACCAAAGATGGTCACAATCTGGGGATCAACACTACATCTACTGCACCATTTTAACTTACATTATTTTTGTTCTTTTGTTCATCTAAGAGGCTCTTGAGACTGGCAATTTCTTCATCTTTCTTGATCACATTGCCATGGAGTTCAGCGATGACATCCTCCTTGACCTTTAGCCTACATTTCATTAAAAAAAAATTGCTGAGTTACACCAATACAACAATACAAACAAATTATGCACCACAAAAACCCTTACAACCATTCACTAAAAACCTGGAGTATTCAATACACAAAATATCTGATTTACACTTACGCATCTTCCTGGATCTTTGCAGACACATTAGGTTCTCTGCCATTCTAAAACATGAATCAAATCATAATTACAGCATCACTACACAAAGGCTGGATCACATGAAGAACAATTTCATATAAGGAACTAAAACTAGTTCACTGAAATCTGAAGTAGCAAGTTTGTTTACCTCAGCAGGAGCTGCACTGTTCACATGATTTGCAACAGAAGTCTGCACACTCTCCTTTGCCAATTTAAGTTCCTCCTGAAGTACCTTTATTGTAAAATACAAAACCATTAGATTCCTTTGTCTTTTAATTTCAGGGGAGTATAAACTAGTCTTGTCAATTAAGTCCACTAAAAAAGCCTTGTCACTCACTGACTGGAACTTAAACCACAAGCACCTGAGAAACTTAGACATATTGCTGCAACCCACCGTGATGAATTACTATAATACGAACACAAGGCAACCCCCCCCCCCCAAATCCAAACTCTTCCAGGAAATGCAGATATTATTGACCCAAACATGCTACCAAAAAAACCATAACTTTACTAAACAAGTCTAAAAGTACAGACAATTAGGGTCTGAGCATATAATCCAAATTTTTGTTTTGCCAAACCAGGCAAATATTTTCCTCTGAGTCTCAACTTACTTGTATCTCTTTCTCTTTTTGTGTTTGAGTTTCTTGTGATTTCTTCAACTGAACTTCTACATCAGAACATATTTTTTCCAGCTCAGAAACCCTTGCTGTTGCTTCCTGAAGTTTGGCTGTCAAGGAGTTCAGAGCATCTGCTTGGTTTGAGTCAGCAGCTGAAAGGTCACTCATGCGCTTCTTCAAGTCAGATGTTTTGGCTTCTTCAGCTCTGAGAGCTTGTGCTGTTGAGTTCAGATCTTTCTGCAATGTAGTGTTTCTAGCCTGAGACTTATGAAGCTCTTCATTCACTTCAGCCAGTCGCTTTGATAACACATTCTCTGCCTCTTTCTGTGAAAGAAAATACATCACCCACTGCTAAGTGATATCCAACAGAGAAAAACAAAATTGGTTCAACACATCATTTAACACTTCACTGTCAACAAAACCCAAACAGATACATCTATTAGTGATATATTAAAAAGTTCTCCAATTTCTTACCACACTGCTCTGATGAATTGTCAACTGCCGAACTTGCTCTTCACTCTTTGATAACTGATCAACTTTGGTACTAAGTTCTCCCTTAACATGACGGTATGTTTGCTGTAGTTTCGTCAGCTCTGTGGTAAGAGATTCTTTATCTGCAGTTCTAAAACCAAATATAGAAGACAAAGATGAAGTCAGTCTAGTTTCATTATGATGAAGTGACTAGGAGTATTGGTTAACCCCCCTCCCCCACCTAGTCCCTGTTTTTGGTTGAAAGAGGCATTGTGAGAGCAACTTGACTGGGCCAAGAACACACACCATGAACTGGCCAGAACAAGAACCCAACCCAAAGTGGAGGTCCCATTCACTAACCCAGGCCACTACACCTTCCAATAACAAAATGCACCCACATTTCATTTATGCCTTTGACACCCAGGAGTGAATAAAGGGGTAAAGGGGGGCTTTACAACATCAATAGGGGGGCTTTACAACATCAATACAATCTTTGGTGATGAGAAGAAAGAAGAATATCAAGTAGAATATTCTGTTTTGTTAAACAACAAATACTCTAAAACAAAACCATAGGACAGTAAAGAGAATGGATAGAAAGATCAAGTGAGTGGAAGAGCAAAAAAGATGAATATCAAACAGGTGCATGACCAAACAGAGACATTTGCTGCAAAAATGTACTCTCCGATTCAATTTATTACATTTAAACTTGAACAGAACTTGATTTACTTACAGTTGTGTTGCTCTCATGGATGCATTCTTCAGCTGAGCATTTTCCTATTTTTACAATAATGTAAAAAAGTCATCTAAGGATAATACATAATTTGCTAGGGGTAAGAGAGGGGTGACAACAGGTGGAAGAATAGGACAGGGGAGGGTGGGAGAAAAAGGTGTATAGTGGGGTGGGGAAGGGAGACAAAACAAAGTGAGGGTGGAGAGACTAAGTTCTAGTAAATAGTGGAGAGAGCGAGATAGATAGAGTGAATTTGTAACAAATAATCTAAGTAGACCATGGTACTGAATAATGAAGGGGAGGTGAGGTTATGCCTGAGAGAATAGAATATCACTTACAAAGGGAAATGGCTTTAAAAGCTGATGGGTAGAAGAAAGAAATAAAAGACATCTTTACCTCTTGAAGGCGTTGAACATTACCCACAGATGAAGATGCCACCACATCCTGCAGCTGGCGCAACTGACTTTGCAAAGTTTGCACCTCCAATGCATGGCTATCATGAGAAGCCTGCATGCGAGCTTGGAGAGCTTGGATCTCTTTGGTCTGTAAGGAGAGATTGTTTTAGTCACAACATGTCTGCATGATTAACTAAATTAGCTCACCCTGCTGTGTTATTGTGTGAGGAGGAAAGAAAGCATTACTCTGACAGGCAGCATTGCAGCAGTCTTAAAAAGTTTCGCATGATTTACTGTTTTAATCCATATCAGTGGCAGTTGAGCATTTCAACTTACCTGAGCATTGATTTTACTTGTTGCATTAGTTTGTTGATTCTTCAGTTTTTGCTTTTCTTGTTGTAGTTCATCCCTTGGAGGGAAAAAAAATACATTATCATACCATAAATAACTGCAGTTCAAAGTTCCTTGACCAACTAGTCTGTCAGACTACAAATCTGTTCATTTGTTCCAGTTTCTTACAGACCTTACAAACCTTCTAAACAAAAGACAAAAGCCCATGCCATGGACATTAAATAATGAGCACCCTAAGAAGGCCAAAATTTGTGGTCATCCCCCAAGATAAATTTACAGTAATAATTTAGTGGCTTACTTCTTATATAAGAGTGTCTTGAAATAATCAGGGTCTGTTGGCAATAGGTTTTTCAGAGATTACCCCAACAGCACATGCACTTCAATAACAATTACAATGAAAAAATCAAACCCATTCCTATCACTCTGTCTCAATGATATGCTCAATTTCTGTTTCTTTGGGTACTTCTTACATTGTTGTAAAATTTCAATGTTGCATACTTATTCTTGTAGGCCAATTAGAAAGTTCTGTACTGCTATGTTTCAGAATTGTGTTTCTTGCCATTTTAACCCTTCACTAGGCCTCACTATCAATAGCATATACACTTCTGGTATAAATTACAAAATACAGGTATGTATAGGTATCAGTGCTGTTGGCTAAGAAGAGTACCAGCTACAAGGAGTTTAAAAATCACAATATTGAACTTGAACAGGTCTGAACATTGTCCTTACCTCAACTCCCTTAGCTTATTAGCAGCATTCTGAGATTGTTGACGCTCTAAAAAAAAGGATGACATTGCTTAGCTTGTAACTTTAAGAATGCATTGTGGTTTTATGAAGGACAACATTTCAACTTTTGGAAGGAATCACCTTCATGTGCAGCATTTAATACACCAGCTCACTACACTGCTCGACTTTTATAGGAAGTTCAAAATTGGTTAACTTCAGGTCAGTACAAAATATGTTAAAAAACTGATGCTCACAAAATTAATATTTTTGCTGATAGAGAAACTGTTAAGCAAACCCATTGAAGAGTGTCTGAGTTATCAGTAATTGGAAGTTCATAGAAGCATTCTGGCTTCCAAACTGAAAATCAGATCTATCTTTCTATCCCATGCGTATAACCACAGAACTACATTATGAAGGCATCTGTAGCTAAGAGAATGGGAACATGACTGACTGAAATCCTTTAAATACTGATTTCATTCCTTAAAAAGAACTCCAGAAGTTCTAAAATTTTCAAGATGGATTATGCTAAACACCTGTATAATTAAATGACTTCAGATCTTACACACCTTCTGATATCTGGGTCTCTTTTTCCTGAAGCTGTTTCTTCAACAACTCCAATGTATCACCTTTGGAAGATGACTATTAAGAAAAAGATCACCGTTACATTAGAAAATACATAGAAATATACACAATAATAATTCATATTCAAATCTAAATGCTGGTTCAGAAAATCAAAACTGAATTATCTATCACTGTCATACTTAAGAAAACTGATGCATCTGTTTTGGGTTATAAAGTAACTTTCACCTTGTGACCTAAGGTTGTAGCCTACAATCACCAACAAAATTAATATATAGATTTAGCCAAGCCTAAAAGCGGAGCTTGCATTTTTTTTTTCCCCCACACGTCCCAACACCTTGCTTCAGCCAGGACTAGTACCTGGGTTGTCTGACTTGGAGCCCAGTGCTCTGACCACTGGACTACTGAACACAGCCGTGGTGTTGATGTGCCTGCGGTACAGTTGACCACGCATGTTAAAAGTAGCACCTTGTATGGGTTACTACTATTTTGTATAATTATGGGCTACCCTCTGTGAGCTCCACTATTAAAATACAACCATAGAGACAGCAATAGCAGGCTAAATTTACTCCTGATACCCTTATCTTCACCACTTCTCCCTCTTTACAATAGCACACTTTGTTTTATGTGATCTTACAGTATTGAAAGAGGGAAGGGAGCTACTGGGGCTGCCTGCCATTAGTTGTTGGAGGCATAATTGCTAACTTCCCTACCTTCTTCCACTGACTATTTTCTCCTTGCTTGTTGAGCAGAACATCAATCAGAGATTGAATTTCAGTTGAGTTCAGGTTTGAAGCTGTCACCATTTCCATGAGGCGTTTAGTACTCACCTCACCTAAATGAGGAGAAAAGACAAATAAATTAGAAAATCTGATATAAACTTGTCAACAAATCTACTCTGTTTCAACAAACTACAAGTTTTAAAATTTATATAATAGTAAAGGCTAGTTTACTTTTAACCAACCACACATTACAAACTAAGATGACCTCAAAAGTTTTAACATGTAAATTTTCACTATTTATAACTGGTCAAGAGGTCCTCAAAAGGATTATTGTTTAGGAAGTCATTGTCGCAGTCATAGCACTTGTAGTCCATCAAATCACAAAATGCATGATACCTACTAAATCAAAATACAATAACAACTGAGATACAGAGAAATCTTGCAGCTACCACATTGGAGTTATCAAAATTCACTCAAACTACTAAGGTGGTCCGGTTTGTCACAAAAAGAAAAAAACATTGGCCTTACATCCTGTTTTTCAACAAAATAAACAACCCACTCAAGAATGTCGAATATTTTTGGTTTCCTAAAAGAAACCAAAAATACAACCAACTATTTATTATGAATTGATTAGAGGGTGTCAGGGTAGCAATTGGTGGTCTTATGTCATTAGGAAATTTAAATTAGAGCATAAATTCCAAAACTTAACAAAAAGGCTAAAAATCAGTATCTCATGAGCTGTGCAGTTTTTGGTGAAACAATAAAATTTAAATTTTGTTTTGTGTTTACATGTAGTAATGAGAAGGCATTAGGAGAAGTTTTATATTGAGTCGTATTTACAACCGCCAGACGAATCATTATTCATTGAATACCTTTCGTCTATATGTAAATCAATAAAACACTTTCAGTTCTCAAAATACTATGTAAACCAACGTCTATTTTCATTTTATTGAGAGTAATTTCGTTAAAGTGAATTTATAACCAAATTCTAAGATTCAGACAGAATATTTGTGGGGAAAAAATGGGTTCACAAAATGTAATTTGGCGCGTTCTTATGCATGATTATGTGGAACTAAAATTTCGACTAAGAAAGAAACACGAAATTGAACAAGTCATGAGGTATTTAAATTTGGCCAGTACAAAACCCTACGTGTCCGAGAAAATGATGTTCTGTCACGCTTACTTTGAAACGTCGTTCAATGAAAATGAAAGAAAATTTTCTTTTTTCAGAAATAAACATGTAAACAGACTCCGCACCACTACAACATATCAGCACAGCATAACACAGGAAAAACATTACAACGATTTGATTGAATAATTTAAACAACATTCAAATATAATAGCTATTCAAGAAACATTTTCCTTCCATTTTCCATTTCTTACGAGCGATCCATTAACTTTTCCAAGCCACTGTAAGCGATCTTGGTTTATTTAACCAAATGCATTCAATTAAGATCCATTGAAAAAGAATGTTGTACTACAATTTTCTCTATTTGCCACGTTGACTTTCATCCCGCTGAAGTGTACAACTTTGATTTAAATTCAGACTATTGGTCGATTACAAAGGTCTTTATGTTCCACTGTCAGGACGGCACGAATTTTATTTAAGCAGATGTAATTATTTCATTCTTTGTTGTATTTCTTCCCCAAACCAGAGTAAGCTTTTGGAAAGTAGCGCAAATAATTTTGACCAGGAGGAAATATAGTACGATATCTCACTAAAATTTCTGCTCACCTTGAATGGGGTCCCTATCTTTTGTTGTTTTGGGTTTGCTTTTAGACTTCTTCGCGGGAGCTGCTGTTTCACTGCTGTTCAGGGGTTTCGGCTGCTCATTTTCGAAATCCTCGGGTTTATCAGGTTCGCTTTCGATTGTAGAATCAACAACTTCGGAGACCATTTCTTCAGCCACCTCACGTGGTTTGTCGAGAACTACATGTCGATCGGTCACGGAACTCGTGTCTTCTTTTACTACAGCTTTCTTCGCCTTCTTTTTCCCTTGCCGGTCTTTTGCAGTTCCAGAGCCAGGCTTCTCTTCGGTTGTGGGAATCTTTTCTTCAGGACGATCGGAAAGGAATTCATCATCAGGCATAGTATCAAGGTTACTTGATCTCGATATCTCCACATTCGATTCGATCGTTTCCTCCACTTGGAGAGATGAAACCTCCTCCTGTCCTTCTCCATCATCTGAATACTTTTTCTTTCCTTTTCCAGACTTCTTCCGCTGTTTCACGGGCTTTGTAGACGCAGTGCGAGCCATGTAAGCCTCTTGTTCAGAGCGCTGAGCTGCGAGAACATCCTCATATCGCTCCTCGCGAGTTGCAAAGAGTAGTAAAAGAAGTGCAGAAAGCACGATTGCTACAACAACTGCAATGATAGCCAAAGTTATAGGATCGAGAGGCTGCATCTTAACGCTCAAAGAGCCTTGAAAAAAAACAGAAGAAGAAGCTTAGCTTTAGCTCTAAGCTAATACGTCCCTCACGGAAAAAAGTGATCAGACTTCGCGAATACTGTACAACAAATTCAAGGGAAGTTCAATCCCAAACATGGAGCATGCGTCCAGTATTGACTGACACGTGAAAGGGTTCTAGCCAATGAACATTCAGCACGCCACCGGAAGTACGTAGTGATCAGCTGTGTTGACAAAAGAGTGGTATGTGGTTTTAAATCTTACGGAAATAAAGTGCAATTCTTCAATGTTCTAGGTGATTTCGAAAAAAGGTTTTTTGGGCTAGTACCGACAAGAAGAACCTGGTGCTTAATATTCTGCAGTGCAGGCGTCAAAAATATCATATTTTAATACTGATATCAATTCCTACCCTAATTCTGTTAGGGAAACTTACTTGATAATCAGAGAAAGGGCAAAAGGAAATACGTCTTTTACCAGGCACTGGTCTCTCGGGTCAATGATTGTAGTGCAGAACTTTTCGGAAATCCGTTTTAATGACGTCTTAATGACGTCTTAAGATCTTATATCACTACATGTTACTTCGTCATTATTTAAGAAGGCCTTGGATCATCAGAGGAGATGGCCTGTTTCCCCCTCCAGTCCGTCGTGGTAGGCAAAAAGCCCGCGAACTTCGAATGTAATTGTCACGGGAACAGCTCCCTCGTTTTCTCTTTGCCCGTCCCCCGCTATTTTCTCCACTTGTGTCTAATGACCGAGAGTTCAATAACGCTCATTTCTCAATGCAGCCCTCAGAGTCGTTGCGTAAAAGTATCCTAGATACAAACTGGTCTATATTGCGCGCGCTTGAATGAGATATCACAGAAATGCCGCGGAGTAAACAGGACTAAAGATTTGTGGTTGAAGGCGTCTGGATTTGAAAAAAGAATCTGAAGACATCTCAAGCACAAAAGGGGAACTGGTTTTCGGTAAAAGTTCAGTCTACCATTGTTTCTAGCATGCCTTCCAACATAAGCTTAACAGAATGAAGGAAAGTGCTGTACCTTCCCGTCATTAAAATTCCTCTTGCATGCATTTTCTCTCCCTCTTTGGTTGAGGTTGAAAAGTTAGTGCTAAAATCTTCCTCTGGACTACCGTTTTGCTCAGCTTTAATTTCATTAATGTACTTATCATGCTATTTATCCAATCAGTTTTGTACTCTATTTCCACTCTCCCCTTCCAGATTTATTTCCATCCCTATTTACCTTTTCCCAGGAGAAATCTCTCTTAAAAAGGCTGAGTCAAGTCAACCTTTTTACCCTCACGAAGGATGAGAACGAGGAAATTTGACATATTCCAATAATGATTGTGTGAGCTTTAAATGGTTTGACTGACGAAGACAAGTAGAACAAATGTAAATACAGCCTTTTACCAATTTAATAGCTTATCTTTGAATGAGAAACATTTAATTTCTCTCCAGCAATAGAAAGATGTGAAAGTCTATTTAGCTCTTAGTCCTAAATTACAAACAACATATTAACAAAATACTAAGCTCCTCAATAATTAACACCAGACAAAAAAATTTGTATTTATATTGATGACATCCTAATCTGCTGAAGTATTTCAAATAACTAAATCCACCTTCCAATTTCTCTTTTTTGCCTAAGGTTTTTTTTATTGGCCAATAAAATGTTAAAAAATTAAAAGCAGCCTCTTTTACAACAAAGATATGTTGATAAAACTGATTAAAGTATCTTCAACAATAAACATGACCAAATCAATTGACCACACAAACAAATATTACATTAACAGTAACACTGCCAAGGCTCCAAGCTTAACTCATTACAAGGCTGCCATTTGGCCACCTGAAGTAAAATAATGGACTGCAGATTAAAAAACAAAAGCAGATTTAAAAAAAACAAAAGCTTGGTCACCAACCAGGGGACATTTTGTGAAATATCTGAAAAAATCTTCTGTTAACCACTGCAACCAAAATCTCCCCAAAGCACTGGTAGTCTGACGTCTTTTAACAAAACTATTCAACATGATTAATTGCTTCTTTCTTCTGCTTCACAGAGCAATGGTGGCTCATGTGGGTTTGTGCTATTCTAATGAACAATTCTTCACTTGCATGCAAAAGTTCTCAATCACAAAAAAAAAAATGTATAACAAGGAAGTTGAAAAAACCAGTTAAGAAAAGTACATTATAGCTTTGCCACAAGTTTAAGGCATCCTTACTCTTAGAGCTCCAAAATTCAAGTCTAAACCAACACCATTACCTTAGGAGAACAATCACTCAATTTTCCTTGTTCTATGCAACTTATTGGAATATTATGAAAGCTCAATTTGGCACTAATCAGTAAATCAGCACTAATCAACCCTAACCAGCTACCAGCTAATTTTTCTTGTCCTATGTAACTTGTTAAAATATTATGAAAAGTCAATCTGGCATTAAGAGAACTCAATTCCAATCACATATCTAGACCTACAAGCAAACTCAATACCAATCTACAACCTCAGGCCAGATTAAAACATTGAAAAAATCACAGCCATTGGCTACACATTCTTGTAGTTATATCCAAAGAGAAATCACAACCCTTTACTCCACTCAGTGGTTGACAGGTAACTCCTTCCTACATTAACACTAAGTTAAAAGCCAGCTTAAGATGAAAACATATAAGCTATAAGCTCAAGGATGTTTCTCTGTAGTAACCCCAAATTCTCTGAACCAATTTACACAAAGATGCTTGGCAATTTAAAGGGAAAATGCAAAACAGTTTTTAGGGGTTAGAGTATTTAAAGCAGCCAGAGGCATATCCTGCATCACCTGTATCTTCAGGGTTTAGGAAAATTTGACAGTGGTTAGAAAAACAAGTAATCAAATTCACCTTCAGACTCTATATGGTAATCATCAAAATCACTAGCTGAATTCCAATTCCAGTCAAAACTTGAAGTTTCACTATCACTGTCAAAATAGGCATCATCCTCATCATCAGAATCTCTCCAATCTGCAAAGAAATCTGTTGGCCAATATTCTTTACACATTCTTTGTAAAATCAGTTGTGGTAACTTAATGGTTTGAAGGTTAAAGGAGCCTATCTTGTCACTTATGGTGAGGTTTTTAACTTTCTGCCACTTGTTGGACCTTACATTGTACTTCACAGCATCGCAGGAGAAGGATGTGGTCTCAGGTTGGAGAGGAACAGTAACCTGGTTTTTAACAATGATAACATTGTTGACTGGACAATGAGGGTAGGGCAGTTTTGCAATGGTGTGCCATTCGTTGATTCTAGGGGCATACACCTCACAGCTGGTGGTTTGAACTCCACTTGGATCAATTCCTCCAATGGCATAGATCTTGTCACCCCAGAACACGCACCCTGGCATTGACCTGGCTTCTCTCAAATGAGCAACATAAGACCAAGAATCCTTATCTGGGTCATACCTTTCAACACTAGAAAGTGTTGTATTTCTATTATAACTTGTTCCTCCACCAACAATGTAAATGTGGGACTCAGTTGCCACACAGCCAGCCCAACATCTGGGTGTATCAAGTCCTGCACAAGTACTCCACTCATCCAATTCTGGATTGTAACACTCCACTTTACCACAGCAACCAGATGCTTGCCATCCACCAATGTAGTACAAAAGCTCATGAAAGGCAACAAGGGATCCCTTTGCTCCAAGTTCTTTATAGGATGCTTTTGCTTTCCATTCAAGTTGAACTTTAACTCCTGGTGTAGAACACAGTTTCTTTGTATCATCTAAACACATGGCACTGACCCTTTTCACACCCTCAGTTCCATACTTTTGTTCTCCTACTAAATACAGGGTCCGTCCAACTACTGCCAAATGTCGATCATACCGAAAGAGTGACAAGTCTGCCATGGAAAAAAGCTCCTTTTTTTTGAAATCATAACAAAATGCTTTACAGCAGTCTCCAGTTCCAACACCAACAAGAACATCATGCATCTCTGTTGATGGCCTCACCTGCTTCTCTAAAACAGATTTCATATCCTTTGCTTTTCTGGATTTCCTTGTCCATGTTCTCTTTTTCACTTTCTTTGGGGCAGGAACAGTGAGAATTTTAGCTGCCTTCAAAAGTGGTTCTTTGCTTGACTGAAGGAATCCTTTTGGAAGAGAAGCCATTCTTAAGTGCTTCAGTAGCTCCGGTAAAGCAGGGGCACGATTGGCCTCATCGTGTTCAACCCACTTCAACACACATTGATAAACCTCCTCCTCTTTCTCCACTTGAATCTCATCATCAGAAATAAAGGACACCAAATCATTTTGCAGAATCGACGCAAATTCTTCATTCTTTACTACAATGGAAAAGTTTACCTTGATAAAATTCTTTGCCTTTCTTGCCAGCACGTCCGCACCAAACTGCTCTGCTACCTGAAGAATGCTAAAACAGTTCTCACTTGTAAGCTGTTTGGAGAGCAATTCTATACAGGCGTTCTTCACTGGTATTACAAGTAAGAAACTCGACGCATGTAGCAAATCTAAAACGTTGTCCTCATCGACGAGGATTTCACGGGTATAAAAATAATCGAGAATAAGCGACATAGCTGTAAAACTAACTGAATACAGGCTCAAAATCTTTTGGTTTGATTCCTTCATACCGCTACCGAACATGGTGTAAAAGAACTGGCTGTTGGCCGCCAAAATACAACGATGTGTTGTCAGCTGACGTCCCTCTACCTCCAGGATGATATCGCAGAAACCTGCTTCTCCTTCGACTCTTAATGCATTTAACAAAGATAAAGTATTGCTGTCTCTTCCCTTGAACATAGTTCGGCCAGGAACATGGGAATTAGACTCCACGAGTCTCTCATTGTCTTGTAGCTCGAAAAGATTCGCTACACTCAGCCTGTTTTCGATTTCAGTGGCGGTCGCCATGTTGGTTTGAAAGATGTATCGCAATGAATGGCGGGACACAAAAGCAGGTTTCTCGTGCCAAGCTATCGATTTCCCGCCAAAATAATTTCAAGTCTGATTTGTATAGGTAATCACATGAGGCCAAGTACTATTAAGGATTAATTGCACGAGAGTTTTCAAAATTTTCCAAAATTCGGAAAATTTTGAAAACTCAAGTGCAATTAATCCTTAATAGTACGAGGTCTCATGGGATTACTTGTTTATCAATAAAGGGCAAAATTTATACGAAGGAAAATCACGCGCGCAGTCTATTTTTATCTGGGAAGCAACGGATTAGCAATGCAACGGATTAGCAATGCAACGGATTAGCCAATCATTAACAGGTAATCATGCCCTCTCTTGATTACTAAAAATGCCCTCGATTAAGAAAAAAATGCCCTCTCTCTCAAGCAATCAGCGCTCAGTAATTTTGCCCTTTATTGATAATCCTAATAATCATAACCATCACAATTTCCTCAAACATGATTGGTACATTAGCTCGCAAGGTTTGGGAGAGAAACATGGATTATATTTTAATTGAAAGATCCTTCTTAATTTTATTTTAGTGGTTTCGCTTCAAGTGGCCGTTCAATACAGGTGGGAGACAAAACAAAAAGGCCGCTAGAAGTCACTCAAAGGTGACCACATTGCTTAATAGAGGCGAAAATTGCAATGATTAGGGGGAAACAACTTCGGGTCCTTGACAAACGACCGCTTTACAGGATGACCCATTAGTACGAGAGTACAGGTTAGACTGTAATCTTAAAATGTACCGTACCTCAATACTTCGACCTGCGTGACTCACTTACTGTATATAGTGCGATGAATGGCCTACTTGTAAAGAGAGAAGTGACAGTGATTTCCTCTGCACCGAAAGTGGTCGTCGAGAAAAATCCTCATGATGCATTTATGGGCAACGTCGAGCTTGAGGCGTGGTGTTTTGGTCTGGAATGGCCAGTGACATAAACAATTAGCTGATTCATGCAAAAATTGTCAAGAACCACGAAAGCAACTAAACGAAGGTGAAGGGCCGTGGCAGAAACTTGGTCTTGACTTATTCGAAACTTGACTTGAATTTATCTGCTAACAACCCTTGCGAGCTTCGGGTCCTTCGGCGGTGAAGTTCGTTTTATGCAACCACTCGACTCAAACCCAGGTTGAACTGAATGGTAACAGAAACAGCCCTAATGTCTATGACACATTTTTTCGGTGGTTTCTCAGAGTTATAGTAACAAACAACACACTGATTTTCCTTGCATAGAAGTTGTTTTATTTTTTTATAGATCACGCAACAAGATGATCAGTAATATGAGGAAAGTGGATTTTGCCAAACGAAACAGAAGCAATATTTCAACAATGTACGAGCAGTTGTTTCAGAATTAAGGTAACTTCTTCTAAAGAAAGGTCTCTAATCTTTTAATGCATGCCTTAAATTTACAGCAAAAAGATTTTCCATCAAAAGCCAAATTAGTAAGGGTTCAGAAGTGACTCCCAAAGTGTTATCAGGTTTATACCCTGTCTTTATGGATCATTTCTTTCACCAGTTCTGCGTGTTGAAATTCAGTTGGGTCTGTACACTGGAACTCGATATTCAGTCCGGTGAAGCATTTCTTCAACGCATCTTTTGAACTGGCGTAAATCATCTTTTTGCCGATTGCAACATCATCATTACACCTGTTTAAGAACAAGAAATGGGCAATCAAACTCTAATACAAAAATGAAGAATTATCATGTCTTAGCTAAGTGCGAAACTCATCTATCATTTAATCATCTAATCATCACCATTATTATTATTATTGTAAAAGGATAATAAGGAATGAAACGTATGTATTTAAGTCTTAAGGTGGAGGAAACAGATTGTCTCAGTATTTTTGAAGCAAGGAGTTCGAGCGATCATCAAAAATAAATCGTACACACCTCAGGTGGATCAAAAAATTTTAAGTTCACGGACCACCAAAAGAAATACGGATTGATCAGGGAGGAACAAATCTTTTTGAAGAATTAAAATCCCGGCGCAGAAAAACTAGATTTCCAGCGCTTCTTCGAAGTTAGATACTCCGTACTTAAAAATAAAGATAATTATAATAATCATCATCAAAATAATGGTAATGACTTCTCAACTTTTTTTTATAGTGCTTTTACTACTTGAATAAGAGTGCGCAATTGCTCTTTACACTTATTCAAAAAGTTTTCTTTACAGAATTGGATGTGTTCACAAGTATCGGTTGAGTCTTCTTTACAAATAAAAATTCCTTACAGGATACCAAGAAGATGAAACTATAAAAGATGTGGCTAAAAAGTATATTATACTCGCACGAAAGGCATTAGGAGGACTGGATATACAGCAAAATTTTTTTGAAAAAGTCTTACCAACTGATTAATGCTAACTTCTGCGCTGTAGTATGATTCGGTCTGGTGAAACAGAAGTCAAAAAGTATGTAACGAGGTTCGTTTCCAAAAGACTTTTTCATGCTGTTGAATATATCCTCATTTCGGGATTCAGAGCAGTTTAGAGGAAGTTTATCTCCCAAGGTTTCCACGACTATCTTCTTTTTGTCTTTGATCATCATTACCACGTATGCATGCCTTTTCTTCAGCTTGATGTCATTAAAAGCATCCATGACAGCTTGGTCTACTTCCACCCCAGAAGACTGAAAACACGAAAATTAAGTATCGAAAAGTATTTCATCTGATATTGTGATCTTTATTACTGGTTTCTGAGTACCTGTAGCAAAGTTTAAGTTCTTGTGCCTCCACCTCGTGTCTCTGGTCGCAAAAGAAAGATTCTTCCACAGCAAATTACAAGCTAATGCGGCGCTTAAGATTTTTAAGAAACTAATTTCAAAACTTTGTTTCACCATATCAGAAAAAAGTACTCACCATGTTCTTTGCAGATCAAATTCACTCTGAAACAAAAAGAAATAAAGATGAACTATTGTAAGTCGTGTCCCAAATTTTAATTCCAATTATGCTTTTCGAATTTATTAACAAAACTGTAATTGACAAAGTAAGGAAAAAGTCGAGAAGTTAATTTTGCAAAATGCTGAAAAATCATTTCATCATCTCTTGCGAAATGGAACATACGTGGAATTTCTAAGGTAATAGACTAGATATTTGTAATTTAGACACCATAAGCTTTGGCTCGACGAAATCTTTTTGAAAACACCTTCCATGTGCAGTGCACTTTGGTTTACACCGCTGAATCAGGGCAAAACACCATTTCCCCTAAAATGCATTTTCCCTAGTACTTCACATTGTCCGAAATATCCTATTATTTGCTTTCTTTCGAATGCCTAAGACTGCTGAAGCTTCCGGAAACTTGCTTTACACTTGCTCTAAACTCTTTTAAATATACTTTGAAGTATAGGATGAGTTTACTTGAATCTAATGAAAGAAAAAGTGGCCTACCTTTTAATTCACAAGAGTAGTAGTTTGTTAGCAAAGACTGTTGTGTATCTGTGACGTATGTTTATCGAAGATTCAATTAATCAGTGAAGTCAGAATGGAAAACATCTGAAGTTGAACTTAAATTTGCTTCATAAGTGAAAAATTAATGGTAATTGGTTTCTGAGGTAGCTTTTCAGTCTAGTTTACGATTTTCCCGCCACTGCTCGGCGCGCCTGCAGCCAAGTCTCTCCTGACTGGAGAATTTAGATAAAAGTGGCTTGCTGATTGGTTGGTTTTCGCTTTGCATCAAAACACTCTCTTTATTTTAGTCCTTCTCGCAGCTCTTCATTGTTCGTGACTTCTGTTTTGGTTTTTCTTTCCTCGATCAATTTTTGTATCAAATTTTTCTCGTTATTTTATGTTTCTTTGACCTTGTAGATTGCTCACCACTGTCCTTATTGATTGTAAACATTTATATACCAAACCATTTTAAAATCCATTAGTTTTGAAAGTTGAGACGGGGGGGAAGGGATGCTCAGCTGAGCCTTCCGGCTAAGCGTCCAGCTGTTTCTAAGAATATTCATAATGGCGTCCTCTAATAACAAAAAAATGGCGGGTAACATGAATTCGCTTTGCTGCACATATTTAAAATTTTAGCAATGTACACACTAGTGAATCGAGACGAGGAGAGTTCAGTGTATAATTGTGTTAAAAACCTGTTATTAGAAGGATCATCGGAGGAGACGAAATGGAGAGAAGTTCATCAAGATTTCGAACGGTTCAACTTGATGTTTGGAGAGAGGAAAAGGAAAGGACTAGATTATACAAGGCTAGGTATTTACATTTGTATTAAACCCTGTAAAGATCAGACCAATTCCTTCATGTCGTTTTACGATGCACATGGTTGAAAAGGATTTGAGGCACAGAATTGTGCAACATAATGTTACACCACATATTGAGTTGCAATTGGTCTTTTAGAGAAATATAGACCGTGCAGAATTGAAGCATCTTCTTACCTAGATCTGACAAGGTTATAATGAAACACAAAGGCAATAAACAAGGGGATAGAAATGTTCACATAGGCTTGTTTTGATTTTGGTTTGTAGGTCATGTTCCAGGGCTGTGTCAAGCAGTCAATTACTACAGAGGTTCTGAAAATCTTCTCTGTAAAAAGGTACCTTTAGTGAAGTAAGTGGATTAAGTTGGATGATATTGCATTTGAACAAATGAAAGATGAAATCATGCAGTTTTTACAAGGAGTGCCATTTGCTCAGTTTTTTGGCTTTAGTAATCAAATTTGTAACAGTGACTTTTTTGAATTCACTAAAAACACTTTGATTAATCAAAAGAATTCCCCATGTGTGTAAATTCCTTGAAAAAAGTAGGCTCTACTGGCTGTAATGTAAAGGTAAATTGCAATTTTTTTCCTTTAGGTATGTTAGATCAATAACACAGAGTGAGGCTGAAACTTATCAATGGATTCCTGTTTCCTTTATCATTTTACCTGCACAACTTAAATCAAAATCTGACTCAAGAATGAAATTCAGTGCAAAATATGTGGATGAAAGAGAGAAGCTTGAAGCATTTGCCAACAGCCTTAAGGAGAAAGTCTGGATTGCAAAATCTTCATCTGGAGCTAAAGGTGACATTGTTGTTGCGTAGACTTTTTGAAACAAGTGGAGTTATATATAGCTAATTACAGGTAGTTAAAGGAGGAGGAGAACCAACACTCAAGTCAAACTGTATAAAAATTTTTCATTTCATTTTTCTCAGGTTGTTTTCTAGTAATCTCCAATGTAATGTAAACAATCCCTCTTTTCTGATGTTTACCTGACAAGTGAATTCTCAATGTTCAGATCAAATATTGAAACTACCTCTAGGAAATATTAAAATATTATTTTAAGCCCTTCAGTAGATCTTAACATAAAGATTCTAACAAAATGTTTCATCAGAAATCAAGTGCTGAAGGAATCAGAATTAATATGAATTTTATACTTCTATATGGTCATAAACTAGGGAAGGACATTTTCATTTCTAATGACATAGAAGAAATTGTGGCTTTTGTTGATGAGCAGACACAAGGATTTGTGGTACAGAAGTACATTGAAAACCCTTTGTTGCTGGATAAAAACAGAAAATTTGATATAAGGTCAGTGCTGAAACATTGTTTTATTCCATCTTTCACTTAGTGGCACATTGTAAGTCTGTGTAAAGAACAGAGATGTTAGGTGTCATCTTCGGAAACTCATCATTATCTTTCACATTAATGGAAGATTTCTTACAGAGTTTGATTGATTACTCTTCACTCAGAAACATCAAATGAATGCAAAGGATGATGCACAGTCATATTCATTTGAATATCTCTCCCACAATGTTTAAGTGGATCAATTGAAATCAACCGATCAATAAAATTGCACAGAATAACAATAACAATTATATTTCAAGATCTTTAAATTTTTTTTTTTTAACTAACTTTCAGGTGCTGGGTCCTCCTGGATCATACATACACCATTTATATTTTCTCAGAAGGAGTCCTAAGAACCTCATCTGAACCATATGATGTTGATAACTTAAAAAATATCACTAGTCATCTGACAAATCATTGTATACAGGTGAATAATGTGTACTTATTGACTGAGTAGGAGGGCTGGATGTAAGTTAAGACTGACTGCATGACCAAGAACCAAATGTTTCCCCTTCAGCTTAGCCCAACTCAGTCTATAAGGATTTGATTACATGACCTTCCATCTTTCTTTTTCCTCCATTCTCCTCTTCCTTCCTTTCTCCATTCTTTCTTTCATGGGCATTTTAGCATTTTTCCATGTAACACAAGTTTCTTGGACCAGGTCAACTTTTTCTGTCTCTGCCTTCAGTTTCAGTATCATTTTAGTCCAGTTTTCTATATTTGTGGTGTATCTGACAAGGCAAACCTGAGTTAAAATAAAAAAAAAAACCTTTAAGCCATCAGTGTTGCTCATAAGGATAATTTGCAGGCACAGACTACTCCACGTAACACTACTTGGTATTTTTAGGCTGTCTTCCTCTCAAAAAGTTAAATCCAATCCTCTGCAGTGTTAGTTATTTATTCTCAGGAGGAATACTCTGGTAATTTTGGACTATATGAAGAAGGAAATGAAATGTTCTATGGTGAATTTTCAAGGTAAGAACCTTTTGTGTTAATAATCAGAGGTATCTGTTGGGTTTTATATAATAAGCTCAATTATGCAAGCATTCTGATTGGTTCTTACTTCTGATGTATTGGAGGACAGACATATAGACGATGTCATCATTAAAACTTTTTTTCCGTATATTTTAATTCTTTATTATATAAAACAAATAGATTCCGAGTTGCTGTGTGTCTGTTCAGTAATAGATCACAGATGATGTCAAAATGTGGTAAGAACATCAGTGACACACTTAGCTGCGCCTCGTGTGCCACTTTTTTGTTCTTACCTCATTTTGATGTCATCTGTGATCTATGACTGAACAGATGCATGGCAATTTGGAATCTATTTGTCAAATAGATTTAAGATACCAAAAAATAATAATAATGCTAAATAAATAAGAGTAAATTGCAATTGTATTGGTGCAACATGCACTTGCTGTCTTACTAATTTTTGAGAACTGTAATTTGTCTTTGGTAAACACCTTCACTTCTGCTGACTTGATAAGTGTATAAATTTCATTTGCTAGAAGCATATTTTAGGTCACATTTTTAAGGTCTTAGGATTCAACCTTACTAATTATTGCCATTATGTTCTATGTATATAGGTATCTAGAGGAAACTTTTGGTGTTTCTCTTGCTACGACAATCTTACCTCAGATTAATTCCATTGTTAAGAAATGCCTGCTTGGGCTCAAAGAGGTGAGAATTCTTGATAGTACGACAATGCTTGTTGTGATTTCTGCCTCAGTCAGTGTAAATGTGACCTACATCTTAAATGTTAAATAAAGACAATAGATGTTGTGATTGTCAAGGGTTACCTGGTTCATGATGAAAATGTGTTCTTGAATTGTCATGGTAAAGTAAACCAACATTTAAATGAGCTGAGTTGTGAAATGTCAGCCCTTGGTGGGACAAAAGGAGTTTAAACGACTGTGAATATATGAAAGTCATATATTTGAACTGTGGATAAAGACATGGATATGAAAGTGATCTTCTCAGTTATGAGCACTTCTTAGGCAGTAGTGAAAAGAAGGCCTGAAAAAAAAATTTCAGGCCTGTACAGGATTTGAACCCATGACCTCTGCGATACTGGTGCAGTGCTCTACCAACTGAGCTAACAAATCCCATACAGGCCTGAATTGTTTTTTTTTTTTGCTTAAGTAGTGTTCATAACTGCAAAGATTGCTTTCATATCCACAAAAGGAGTTTAGATAGGTATAAAACAGCTTATTTTCAGCTAGGTAAATTTGAATTGAATTTGATTAAATTTGAAATCTTCATTGTGGTTATTTATCAAAAGAACTTGAAACCAAATCTTGAAATGCTGGTATTCTGAGCCTTGACTTCTGTTTAGAGCTGAATTATTAATCAAACAAACTTATTGAAAGCAAAATTTTATTAAATATTCAGGAATTGACTACGGAAGGTTTGAGTTATCACAGTTTTCAACTCTTTGGGTTTGACTTCATGATTGATGCCCAGTTTCATGTCTGGCTCCTGGAAGTAAATGGGGCTCCTGCTTGTGCAAAGTAAGTACCATTTGTTGTAGGAAGTGTTCATTACATATAAAATAACCAAAGGTGTGGTTTGATCCTCTATGTGGGGTAGATCCTGATAAGGACAATTGTCAGTGAAAACTATTCCCAACAACAGCTATTTTCAGGGACAGAACTCACTAGGATGATTGCACTTCCTGATCAATTTGATCATTGTGTGTGCAGGGCAATTTTTCCCAGCAACTCATAAACTGCAACTACTTTGCAAATTACTCGACTATGCGAATTTTACAATTCAGATTTGCTAAAACGTGCGACCCTGAAGAGTCTCTTTTCAAGGCCACATGACTTAAGGCGCCTGGAGATTCGCAACTAAACGGTGCCTCCAATTGCATATATCCTGTGCGCTTGTTAACAAGAAATTTCACTGCTTAATATCAACAACAAGTACGGATTTAGATGTTTAAATAATAAAAATGTAATACTTGGTTTAATATCACATAATTTTTCTATGCTATCAGAAGGTTTAAGCACATGAATAACTATCTTGGTATGTCGCTTTAGCTTGATCAGAGTATTTCTGGAAACTGGACTCCTCTTCTGTGATATTTTAGGGCATTATTACCAGACCTAGCTAAAGACCTTGTGAGAAAAGCCATAGACCCTCTCTTTCCAAGAGATTCTAGAAACGACGAGCCTTTTGAGAGTGATTCGTCAGAGAGCAAGACTCAAGATACGACAAAGGGACACTTTGTGATTATTTGAAAAACATTTCGATGTAACCTCACGCCTGAATCCTGCTTCTGCCGTACAGAACATCCAACGATCACACTCGTTGATTTTAATCACCAACTGTGTGAAACACACCACAGAGAAGGAAACTCATGAGTTTGCCTCGAGATGCTGATCGTCTAGCTTAAGAGGGCAAATTGCGGGTTTCAGCCCCACATCTGTTTCTGAAAACGAAACTTTAATGTGTAACATTAAGGGCTGCAAGCTACGAAATAAAAAGAAAGGCCGTGTCGGCATTGTGTTTTTGTGAAAGTTGCTTAGAAAGTAGGCTAATGCAGCAGCTACCCATGGTTATTCTTCCCTCTCAGCTGCCAGTTGTTTTAAATGTCGACTTAGTTGGACTAAGCCGTTTGTATACAATAATTTGCACCTAATGCTTGAAGATTCAGACACAACAAATTTTCCAATCATTGTTCGTGTTCCTTCAAACCATTCTCACATGTTATAGTAGGATTAAAAGTCAACGGTCTTAAAGTACACTAGTAAAATGTCACAGGGTCTGTTCAAGCATAGTATGTCAATACCCATAAAGTACAAGAAACAGATAGAAAATGAGACTGGTCAAACTGCACGAGTTTGTTGTCACTGCTCTTCCACCATGGCTCCTTCGTCGTAAAAATGCAAAAAATTTGATGAGAACCCTTCCTCGTGCGAGCCTTGATATGGGCTCCGAAAAAGGGACATTGATCAGAACTTTATGTGGTCAGCTCTCCTTGGCAGTTATGACGAATTCTGGGAAATTCAGTAAAGCTCCTAATTGAGTCACTAGCCGCATCTGTTTATCTTTCTTCTAAATCCTTCGAATCGGACGATGCATAAAGCAGTGAATAGTATTGAAGGCGCGCTCTGATTGAATACTCAAACTCAGAATATACCGGCTTTATTATTGACCTTTGAGCAACCCGCGAGGGACTTGTTCCCGAAAAAATGTAGTTGTTGCAAGAGTGAATGAGTTTAAATCATCTTTTTTTTGGTATAATACCTATGTTTTAGGTATTATAACAAAAAAAATTTCACCTCAGTGTCGGTGGTTAGCGGTGGGTATTTACCCCGCTGCTTCGCGCATCGCCTCCACTTCGGCGAAAAGCTGTTTTAACAACTGCTGATCTACGAGATTCCCTGAGAAATCCAACAAGGACAAAGGTCAAAGACTGTTAGCAGTCTTGGAGAAAATGACACTTCAACTTTGCATAACATATCTTTGCCGATTAGTGAATAGTAACATGAAATCAAGCTCTGTATCCAGGCAGGGACTAGAAAGTGGTAAAATTTACTCATTACTGTTAGCCCACAAGCAAGCCTGTGGGTAAAAGAGTGAAAAGGAAACACTCCATTGAGTTTTCCATGCCCCACAGCGAAAACTGGGTCAATTAAAAATCTCGTTGTAACTCATTTGTACTCATAGCTTTGAAGGATACTCGTGTCCTGGCAACGAAAAATCTATCACATGGACGTAGGACTACAGTGATTAACTGAATAACTACAGGTATTGAAAACAGAGAGCAATAAAATTTATGGCTTCACTACAAATGATGCGCAATTTTTTAAAATGAAAAAGAAATAGAGGAATAAACCGTGAACTACTGCAACGAAAATAATATGAACGCGAAAGTTATCTCGAATTATGGAAACTAAATTTGAATGAAAGCCAGTGAAATCGAAGAAATATTTTTTTACAACCACTGTTGGGATACGAGTTTCATCTCTTGTGAATTCCGTGAAATTCCAATTTTCGCGCCGTGTTGTGGTTTCTTATTAACGGACGAAAAACTCAGGAGCAAATTATCACTGGCAAAAACTACCATGCGCTGACAATCAAGTCATTGCCTTGATATCGTGGTTCCAACTTTAGGGCATGCGACAAGTAGGACTTCAAATTCGGGTCACAGACCAAGTGTCGTAGGAATTCTACCATAGAGGATCTGTGATGGACTATACAACCACAACGTCAACTTCCACCTTAAAATGTGTATGACCAAAAGGAAATAATTTAACCATATTTTAATGCTGTTTTATCAAACACGGTTTAAAAATTTTTTTTCTCCTTGCATAGAAGCTGCGTGAACCGATGTTTGTCGCCTTCACATGTAGCACACCGAAAATATAAGTTAGCGATTACTTGAATCTTATTGAAAATTCAGTTTTCAGTTCTCTGTTTCTGATCTTCATTCAGTTAAACCCGGTTTAACTAAACATGTTTTGCTGGTGTGAATGTGGGACAGGTTCTAAGCTTCTGATAAACTATATTGTCTTAGACCGGATTATTTAAAACACGAATAACCTAACCCTTCGTCCAATTACGGATAAATTTATTGCCTATTTCTTTGCCTTCAGTTTTATCGTAAAAGCATAGGTTAGGCTTTACAAAGGGTCACAGAAGTTTAAACTGTTTCAATCCTCAATCGGCGCAAATCACCTCTTCAACGTAACAACTCAGTGATAAAACCAAACTATCTTGCTCTACCTTCCACCGACGCAACACCACCTTTATTCTTTCACCTTTTCAATAATTCAGCGAGCTAATGTAATGTTTTTTCAGTTCATAGACTCCTCCACAACTTGTGGATTCAGCATTGCAAACTTGAATCGAAAAAAAATAGACAATAAAAAAAGCGGAGTGCTAAATTCAGGGCACAAACATTGTCTTTGAAAATCTGCCAAATTTTACGAAATATATTAGCCCAGTTAGATTTAGTATCTGAGGTTATGTCGATAAACATTCACAAAAAATATATCAGGGACGCCGAAAACTTGTCCATTTCGTTATCAATATTACGAATTCAGTCATCAAAGAAACGGCATTCCACCCATAAGTCTTGTTAAAAGTCTTCTGAACGATAAAACAACACTAGAAGCGTACATCTGATATAGTGAAATTCTGAGGTGGTTTATGGTATAATCTGCTTGAATTCGGACCCACTCCACCCAGCCGTGACAATTTTCTAGCCGTTGCTTGGTTACAGCGCGAATACAGCAACGTGACATTGTAATGAACGAGCGCGATGTGGCGCTGGTATTCAGTCTGTAATCTATACTCCGTAGCAGATCGTTTGTTTTCAATAGTAACAGCAGTTGCCTAGGAACACGGTTCAACAGCTCCGTAATCTCTGTTACATATGTGGCTGCGTTCACTCGGATAAGCTCCGCCTGTTGGAAGATAAAATACATTTTGTTTGAATCAACTCTTGAGATCTTACAGCGAGTTTACCCCCAATTTTTTTGCTGGCTTAATGTGAGAATTTAAAGATATCTCCCCGCTGATAATTTTCATGATTCTCCTCACTTGTCTAAGTGGCAGAGCTTCAAGAGTTCAAGAGTGAAGGGAGACTTTTAGAGATAATTACCAACAGAAGCCTATCACTTCAATCTAAGTACCGCTTTTAGCAACTTCATTCAATAATGTACAAGTTTGCGCGCCACGCAGAATTTCAATTCGAATGGGAATCAGTGAACAAGAAACCCCCTCTACTAATGTACCAAGCCTAAATTCTCCTCACACATCTCTACCCAATGATACATTGAACCCGTGCAAACCTCATCCTCAGTGACTGGTCCCTGATCTATGCCTGTCGTGACTACGTCCCAGGACCTTGCGGTCAGTATACAGGCCAAAAGTCCGTACATCTCTTCCACACCCAACACCTTACTACTCTGTTTGATTCCTTCCAAGTCTGACTTGATCAGCGACTGCCACAATTTACAGTAGTTGATTCGAAATTCATTGGATAACGTCTGCGTAGGGAAAGTCAAAGGAGGTGGTGTGTGCAGTTGGAAAAAATGAGCCTTTTATTATTCATATACGTTCCATCTAATCCACTCCTTCCTTGACCATTCTTGGTTTTGACTAATCCATTGTCACTTATTGATGGTTGGTTTTTTTTGACTGCCCTTGCAAACTATTATGTAACGTTTTATTTCACCCCCTATCAAGGAGTCCTTTAAGAAGACAAGCAGTATACCAATGGAAACATCATGATCACTATAATCAATAGCCTGACTCTACATCTTTATCTACATAACTGCGATGAACAACAACAATTCTATAATACTAATTAAACATATTTCAGAACATGTAAACCTAAAAAAAAAAAACGAGGAAGCCCATAATATCTTTAGTATTTCACCAACTATGTAAGCCCTGATACACTTGACTTAAGACCTCCCATACCTGATATAAGCCATGGTCAAGGAAGACAATCTCAACCCCATTACTAGGATCCCGCCTGACAAAAATGTTGCCTGGATGCGGGTCACAGTGCACATATCCATTAACAAATATCATCTCACTATAGAGAAGGCCAAGCTTGTAGGCAATCTGATTAAAAAATAAATAAATAAATAAATAAATAAGAGAAATAAAAGAAAAAAATTTGAATCCGGAAGTGAACAATGTTGTCTATTACACCCTCACCTCTCACGAGCAGGAGATTAAGGACCTCCTGAAAACTAAGAAAAGATAGCTACAACAAGAAGAACAAAGTAAAAGAAGATGATGATGCATTGCTCATGAGCATTTAACCTTTGCATATTTCTTAGCTGTCTTTTGTATGACAAAAATGTAAAGTCACCAAATTGCTAGCATTCTAAGAATGAGAACCAAATCAGTTTAAATAATTACTCTCTTTTAGAACAAGAGAAACCTTTCACATGTGATTTTAGACCTTTAAGAAAATGATCCACTCAGAAAGAAGCTTGAACTTGCCTCATCAGAGGATATCTTGTGACTTTTCATATATGGAAGGTCATCCACTTTTCCCCCATCACAGAATTCCATTGTTAACACACGTTTGGTTGAAAACTGCCAATATATTTCAGGAATCTTTAAAGACGAAGTGAAAAATTCAAATAACAAACATGCATCCATCTTCACTGCTTTAAATAAAACAAATAAAAAGAAAGTATACTTAGACATAACAGTTAATTTTTGAACAGCAGAATGACAACTTATCTTTAAGGGCAGCCTTTAGGTTTCAAGGAAAGGGTGATCCCTTTCCATGGAAAAACTCACTGACTGACTAACCTTAACAAATGGAAATTTCTTGACAAACTGCACAATCTTTTCAGCATTTCGTCCCTCATGCTCAAAATCAAGCTCAAGAGGAAGATGTTTCTTAGATTCCTCCACAAGCCACATAAACTTGAATTCTGGAAACAACCATGAAACTGCTACAGCTAAAATCTAGAAAAAATTTAGTCAAAATTCAATCAAACTTATTAAAAAATATTGGAAATGCAGCTAAGTCAAGGTTTCCAAACTGCTCTGGTGACTTTTTTTTTCCAAACATGTAGTATACTTCATCAGACAAATAACTTACTACATTAATTTTTATTTTGAAGTAATGAATTCAGGAGCTAACCTCAAGTGTTGCCATGTCAACAGCTGCATGTTTTTGAACATCTCTGTGTTGTACCTTAACTGCCACCACTCTACCATCATGTAGTGTTGCCTTGTGAACTTGTGCTAATGACGCAGCTCCTATGGGCTTGTCTTCAAAGCTAGCAAAGACTTGGTTTACTTTACACTTTAGTTCTTCCTCTAAAACATGATAGATATCGCCAAGGGGGCTCTGTGGGGCATCACTGTGAAGGACCTTCATGGTCTGTACATACTCTGAGGGCAAAAGATAGTCTAAGGAGCCAACATGTTGACCCACTTTGATATAAGCTCCTCCATTGACACAGCACAAGTCTCGCAGACTCTTAGCAGATCTCAGATGAACCTAATGAGCATGAAAATAATGAACAAGAAAGTACAGGCTCTGATTTATTCAAAATCTAATTATCAAAAGAGTTGTGAAAGGAAATAAAGGTAATTATATACCAAAGGATTTTTTAACGAATCAGTCCTCCTCAGGAGATGCAGAAGCCTGATATTTAGCAGTTCAGATGCCAGCCTGAGAATTTCCTATCTCATTGTGCTATCTACAAGAGAAGGATGATAAACTATCCCAAAGTCTCAGGAGTATATGGAATTGGTACCTGAGACCTGTTGGTGAAATTTGGACTTGCACGTCCAGCAGGAGGTGTGGTAGCCTATTAGATTCAGTTGTTAAATTCTGCTAGGGCTTCATAACAGGTAACCCCACTTTCCTGGTCACTACTTTTGTAGTGAAAGAGACTTATTTTAAGTGTCTTATTTATTCTACTTAAAGGGAGATTGATGCTTCAGAAGTAATTGGGAGCAGTATATGTAAAAAGTAGTTAAAGCAAAACTGGTACTGCCAGGTGTGCACCTATCACAGGGGGAACAGTCTGTATCCATCACTCACCTGAGATTTGAGCTCTAAATATTCAGTAGAACTTCTGTCTATTCCCCAAAGCGTTCTTTTGTAGTCATAACTAATAACAATCACCTTGGGTCACAACAAGAAAACACATTTCAGTGAGTTCCAATTGCTAAATTGGGTCCAAGATCATTGGTTAACCCTTTACTCCCTGACATCAATCATGTCCCTTATTCTCATGACCTTAATGTTTGATTCAGGGGTGATGTTGTAAGGAGAAATTAGATGTTAGTCACTCTTAAGGGTTAAAGGGTTAACTTTAGAACTATAAGTATGTGGGAGAAGAAAATAAAAAACATAAAGTGATAACATGTCAAACAACCCTGAACTCTTTAGAAACTACAGAAATACCTTGACACATACTGTTAAAACCTAAACTAAAAGAAGGCAAACCATTTGATCAGTTAAAGATAAATTGGCCTTTTTCAAGAGGTTATTTGGGCAGTTGGGATCTGCAGTTTTTGGTCATTGTGCAAAGACTAAAATGGGATTAAAATAAGGGGGAAATGTGTAGACTGTTTGATGGGAGGTAGCTATGGTGAGAAGGTGGCCATGGCAATCAGCAGCATGCAGCCACCTCTTTGATCTTGAGGTGGCTGTACATTGTTCAATGCCCTTAGTATGGCGCTCCTTATGATAGTATTGGACGCCCTGTTGAAAAAAAAACCACCTTCTTCCCACCCCTTGATTAAACAGCAACAACTAGTACACTTTTTAGAATATGTTACTACACCCCAAGGGAATGGATTGAACGTATTACAAGACATTTCTACTCTTTCACCAGTCAGTGTTACATGTACACCTGGAATACAAAGCATGTAAAAGGATTCGTGGTGGAAATATCGCAGCAAGGTATTCGCGCTCACCAGACTTCTTGGCAAAGCCATTACCGACTGTTTAGTTGATTGGAAATGAAAAAATAAATAAATAAACGTTTCTATGAACTCAAAGATTGAAGCATAGGTACACACCGTTCGAGCAGCCCGTGCAACTCTCACCAAACCATTGGAAGTTATTTCACGTTTCAGTTCTTCTGGTCCGTACACTAGACCAGCTGTAATACCAGTCAATCCGGCAACAATTGTTCCATATCCAACTATTTTCCTCAGCAACTTCATCGACTCAAGAATTTCACATGTACGTTCCGCGTTGAGCGATCACAACTACTATCAAAAGTGACTGTCCGGTCCAACAAGTTACGTAACAAGTAGTCAGCGACCTCAGTACGACTGTCATGTAAAATGTTCACTTTATGTCCCGGTGCAGGAATATCAGATTAATCCAGACTGTGATCAGTTCCTCCTTTTTGGAGAGGTAAGAAACAAATCAGCAAAAAAAAAATAATTAAAAAATAGATATTAGCGCGCCGTGCGAAACTCCCAGACTCCCGCGCAGTGCATATCAACTTTTCCACTTTTTTTCGGTGACATACGGACCAATGTACAAGAGCAGCTTTCTGTTACTCGCGAGGTTGCGCGCAAGTTCACATATCTAAGAATTTGCTTGTTGATCTAAATCGTTATTGCTTCGCAGTCAATTATCATATTGATCGGAATGAGTTTTAATTTCTTCAGAAAAAGAACACATTCTGTTGTACGGAAGCGAGGTTAAAGAGTAGGAGGCGAAATGGTTGATGGCAAATTGAAATGGCAAATTTGAATATTTTTTGATCGAGCGAACCAGAAGGGGGCGAACTTGCCATGATTGGGTGAAACCTTAAAAAATCGTCAGTGAACTGCCGGCTGCTGTCTCCCTTACTCATACCCAAGCCTTCTCTTATTTTTCATTTTACCATATGAAAAATAATCATATCACACACTCAATTAATTCTTCTCTATTAGAGCAGATTTTGGGTCATTTTTAGGTATTTGTCCAGTTGATTCAACTTTTTTTAAAGAACTTCCTTAATTCTATTGGAGATGGAGAGTGCTGGTTAGTTCTGTTATGTTATGTTTCACAGAAGGAAAAAAAAAACTAGCTTAAGTCACTTTTATTGTTACTGCCCTCAGGATCATGATGGTCATGGACCAGAGTTCCTTAAACACATGCAAAGGATAAATGCAGAAAGTGGAGCAAACATTACTGTAAGTATTTTTTCAATGATCCCCACCTTGCAGAGGTGGGAATGTTTCACCAATATATTACTTTGCCTGGACCCGAGTGGAAAGAATTAGGATCTTATCTTAAATATGTATTTCTAGTTGTTAAAAGAGAGCTGTCTCAGAGACATGCACAACACTAGCCTGCAGAGCAGGCATAATTTTAGCGAGCAAGTGCTTAGTATTTTCTTAACAAAAATTATGGCCATCATCTTTGATTTTAATGGCATAATCAGTTTAAGGGGAGACAAGACCTTTGTGGTTGACTCTGGATCAAGATATTCAGTTCGTGCCCCAGCCGGGTCATTGTGCAGTGTTCTCCGACAGAACGTTATAACCATGACGTACCCCTCTTTATCCTGGTTCCAGTTGTACAAAGGTCGGATAACGCAATCCAATTGATAAATCGCTATCCAGCGGATAAGTGATAGCGAAACATACAGCGTTATCCACCGGATAGAGTTTTATCCAATGGATAGCGCTATCCAACCTTCGAACAACCGGGGCCATATGTTCAAATAGGTACTAACGAACTGTCAGGGAACGGTGAGGGGGTTGTTTGCGACCTATTGACATCCATGCAGAAGAAATGATTAAAACAGAATTCTTTTCATGCCACAGAGACTGGTTCAAAACACTGGCAGTTAAGGTGAGTTTAGTGGACAGCGAACATTGCAAGTGAATTTCGCCATTGATTGGTGTATGTACACTTAACGACTTTTCGTAAGGCCGACCGAGGTCATTTGGCCCTTAAACTTCGTTTTCAGTCTCTAATTTGAAAAGCGTGTGAAAATAGTTTGCCAAACATGGACTTTCCTGGTGGTAAGAGAATAACTTTCACCGCCGGCTCATTCCTGGCATATTAGAGGCATCCAATCCCGCGAAATGGAACGCGATTCCGATGGAAATACTTGTTGTAAAAATTGCCTAATAAGAAATTAAACAAGACTTGTTCGGGGCGAATTAACTTAGCAGGTCGGTTTGAACTATCGCAGGAACGGATTTAAGAGAGAAAGGAGAATAATTGAGGCCTCTTTATTACACCCTTAAAGACTAACCTGTACTGAGTCAAAACGTTTGTAACTGTTTAAATAAAGAAAGAAGTGAAACTGAGTCAACTATGATTTCAACGTTCGTGAAAAGCAGCCTTACTTTAATTGATATTTGCTCGAAAGTAAAGAAGGTTTGAAAAGAAAAGTGCGCATATCAGTTGTAATAGCGATTTATACCCACTGGCTTTATCACGGTTGTTTACATCACAACTTCCAATTTATAACAACCAACCCTTAAGCATGATTATTATCGTTAAACCATTTCGTTGTCGGGGAGACCTAACTTCTTTATCCCGAAGGCCACTTGTCACCCTGGTCTCCTTCGTTCTTCATAGCGGAAGTAACGTCTTTGGATATCCAATTACTGCGATTATTTTATTCCCAAGTTCGTTTAACTTAAAATCTAAAAGTTATTTAATCAGTTTGATCTACAAAGTTCGGCCTTGAATGACTGCTTTAGCCTGGAGCAAGCCTTCTTTAGTAGTAATGCATTTCTACGCCCGCGGGAAGATTTGAGATTAGTCGGGGAAAGTTTTACCGGGAGTCTTATCAATGCTACACCTGTTCCAGACCTCTCCCTGGTTCGCGTTGCTCAAGGGCTCATAGTTACGCTCGGGCAAAGAAACGCCGGTGCGCTAAAATTGAGAGCTTGCTGGCAGACCATGAATACTAGGAAAGCTCTACTCCTTTAGGCTTTTTGACTTTCGGCCTCTTGACCCTAGCATAAGGGCCAATTCTGGGATCTATTATAAAATCCCATATCACTTTGATCCAAGAAGTATGGTACGGTAGGTTGTCGTAATATTCCGCTGCAATCTTCTTTACCAAAGGGAGCTTTGAACCTGGGATACTTGGGAAATCATGATGCTCGTTGTGATACCCGACATTAAATGTCAGATAGTTTCCAGGACCGTAGTAAGAATATGTCTCAAAGCCCTCTTCGAACATGTAATGTTCAGCTATGAAGTGGCCCGCCATAGGATGTAAGCCTGCTCCAAGGATCGTACTGCTAACCATGAATACGAGTGACTTCACCCCCCAGAGGTACACTACGGCGCAATTCACAGCAAATTGAACAACAATGTTAAGGATTTCCAAGCCGTTTGGGGCTATGGGGTTGATGAATAGAGGCCTCAATGCATACCAAAAAGGTTGCAAAATTACCCAGACTAGTTTGGTGATAGAGTTGTAAAACATTCGAGCTTCAAAACTGGTTGGCAGGTCGGGATCCATTTCTTCCACTCCCATATAGCGGTGGTGGAGGAGGTGGTACTTCTTGAAAGCAACTGAGGAGGGAATACCTGTCGGTAGGTTCGCTAAAATGCCAAAGAGTCTGTTTAGTAAAGGCCGGCCGTTACCGAATGGGATATTATGGCAGATGTCGTGCACCCCAACGATGAGGGCGTGGCTAGGGAACGCCCCTATGAAGTAGGCTGAAAGCAGTAAAATGGTCCAAGATACATCACGCAGGAGAAACGTCAGTGCAAACTGAACCACTATCAAAGACAGGATTTCGTACTTGAATAAAGGATCACTGCCCATAAGTCTCTTGATCTCGGGATATTTGGCTAAAACAAAAAAGAGGAAAACACAGAGTTAAAGGTTTTTTCTCAGTAATATTATGCTATTAGCGACAAAAGATTACCTGAAGCACAAAAGAAAGATGTATCGACTAAGGAAGAAAGTTGGCTTGATTAAATATATGTACAGCTGAGTATAATTTCGATGTGCGATAAGTTATAAAGTGAACACGTATGATGCTCATTAAAACACCTTTCTGAGAACTAATCTTGCAATGCAAGATTAAAACATTTCACCGCTTGTGTTATGGAAGTAGTTCAATGAAAGGTTGCCAAGGAAGGTTTGATATTTTTATTCTAACAGCACCGACAGCGCATCAGGTTAGAGGTTGGTTGTTTGTGGTAAAAAAAGAGCATAGTGAGGTATAAACGGGATGTGCTTAAAAATTGAGGACCTTGAATTGTGGTGAACGTTTTATCAAGGAGAAATGATACCCAAACGTAGAAAAAAAAGGATATGAGAAAATAGCTTATTTTTAGAAATACACATTATTTAAAGTGAAATAACGGGTTGTAAAAGCTGGGGAGGAACAAGTAGCTAGTAGGTAAATTCAAATTTTTACATGAAAGATCTAGTTACTTTTAGAACTTGAAAAAAAAAGAACAACGTACCAAGAATTTCTTTTCTTCTAGTCGCATGCGGCTCTGCGGTGTAAGACCATTCAAAGTCGCAGCGTGTTACTTGGCCGCCCATCTTGGATGTATGGATAGGAAATGCAGCCGAAGCCACGGAACAATGATTTTAAACGACAGCGTATTTAAATCTGAATGACAAATTTTGGATGCATATTCAAATCAGCAGAAACGTAGGCAGGACATGGTCGTCAACATCTGGAGGGTGTATTAGTGATGCGAATAATGATTTCAACATTTGAATAATTAGCTTCAAATTTAATTCTATTCAGTGACGTTTGACGTGACATGGTTGCAGAACTTATTTTATAAAAGCAAGTAAGAATAGAACAGAAAATCGAGTATTTCTGTCGTTACGGTTGAACCTAACCGACAGGAAAACACTGCTTCCACGAACTAAACTACTTTATTAAAGTGCCAATGACGCGCCTTTTTTTGGCGTAAATATTCAGCTTATTGTACGTACAAACCAATTCCGCAGAAGGAAAATTTCAAGAGACTTAGAACTAGGTTTTTTAGGGCCCTAAAGTGCTTTTACTTTGTCTTAAAAGTGTCCCGTGGACTGGTAACAATTGAGCAGGTGATGACGTAGAAAAGTGGGAAAATTTCTCACATCTCTTGCAATTTTGTTTAAGTCAGCGCTGAAATACTCTTGAAATAATACCCGCTAACGATGTCTACCTACCTTCAGCAAGCTCTACCGAGAGTTGTAATACATCGTACTCAAGTACTAAAGAAGATATAAAGGTTGCGAGTACGGTTCAGTCCCTTTGAGGGGTGTTCCTGCATGTCATCACTAGATGACAATTATAAGCAAATATGTGGTGGATTATATATATGTGTCTAAGAGGGATTTTGTCATCCATGTGGGAGTCTTTTTTAGGCCATCTTGTAATCCTTGAGTCTTTCAAACTGGTGAATCTAATGTTCATCCGTTTCTAACATCGTCCTCACTCACTTTAGCTCAACAAACAATGCATGCGCAGAAAATGTAAATATGATTTAAAACATCTAATTAGTCAAACACCGCACATTTTACAATGGAAGGAAAAGTTTTTAAGTCGTGAGAGAATTTTCAACACTAAAGCGCGATAAAAAATCCTAAAGCGCATTAAAAAAAAACTTATAATCCATATGAGAGTTTTTTCCATTTAAGCGCATGAACAATAAAAACTCACACAAACAAATAAACGTTCAACATGTTTATTACAAAAAGTTTATTATTACCAAACAATTTTATTATTACAAGAAGTTAATTACAAAAAACAAGGGCGAAAGAAAACAATCTGAGCGAAATTTACAAAAAGCAAGGAAAAAAGTAAATGCGAAAGAAAAAAACCTAAGCGAAATTTACAGCAAGCAAGGAAAAAGGCAAGGACAAAAGAAAAACCTTAGCAAAATTTACAAAGAGCCACGACGAAGTTAAATGTAAATGGGTGAATCTGTATGTGTGTACGGGTCTGTTTGGTCCCAAAGGGTCTTTTCTGCTTGAGCGTATGCTTACTCGGTATGCGCCTTCGAGTTATTTGCGCAGTTACAAAATCATCTTCTACCTTAAATTTCTTATTCTTACAGTTGAGATCAGCCAAAACAGAAACGAGATTGGTAATATAAAAATCATAACTATCCTATTGACGGAATATTATTCACATCTAAAGGGGTATGTTAAGAGAAACTTGCCTTAGAAGACCGTTACATAACAACATCATGATTACAAAAGTTGGAGAAGAAGGGGCGTTCACACGCACCGCCCCCAAGTTGCTACCTGCTAGTGATAATAACTTTCTAATTGCAAAACATGAAGGTATCATGTCACATGTATCGGTCACAGAACCGCATATCGCACACGTGACCACTAAGAACAATAGACTTCACACCCATAGGTTGTCGGCAAACTTACAAAGTAGAACAAAGGAACAATAGATCAATTGTTTTCAATTCGACGTTATTAATGTATTGACGTGTTCCTGCATGTCATCACTAGATGACAATTATAAGCAAATATGTGGTGGATTATATATATGTGTCTAAGAGGGATTTTGTCATCCGTGTGGGAGTCTTTGATAGGCCATCTTGTAACCCTTGAGTCTTTCAAACCGGTGAATCTAATGTTCATCCGTTTCTAACATCGTCCTCACTCACTTTAGCTCAACAAACAATGCATGCGCAGAAAATGTAAATATGATTTAAAATTAGTTTTTAAGTCGTGAGAGAATTTTCAACACTAAAGCGCAATAAAAAATCTTAAAGCGCAGTAAAAGAAAAAAATTTTTAATCCATATGAGTGTTTTTTCCATTTAAGCGCATGAACAATAAAAACTCACACAAACAAATAAACGTTCAACATGTTTATTACAAAAAGTTTATTATTACCAAACAATTTTATTATTACAAGAAGTTAATTACAAAAAACAAGGGCGAAAGAAAACAATCTGGGCGAAATTTTCAAAAAGCAAGGAAAAAAGTAAATGCGAAAGAAAAAAACCTAAGCGAAATTTACAGCAAGCAAGGAAAAAGGCAAGGGCAAAAGAAAAACCTTAGCAAAATTTACAAAGAGCCACAACGAAGCTAAATTCTTCGTCCACGAAACGTTCTTTTACGTTCGGTCAAAATCCCAAAGGGCCTTTTTCTTGAGCTTTTGTGAATATCACACTGAGTGTGTGTATAAGCGTCTGTTTGGTCCCAAAGGCCTTTTTCTTGAGCGTTTTGTAAATATCACACGGTGTGGATGGGTTACCGTTTATAAAAGTGACACTGCAGATGACACTATTAATCGTCAATCTTCTTGTATCGTCATCGTTCCATCTCAGCCAGGGAATCACGTTAGATTACGTGTGACAGTTTCTGCTTACTCGGTATGCGCCTTCGAGTTATTTGCGCAGTTACAAAATCATCTTCTACCTTAAATTTCTTATTCTTACAGTTGAGATCAGCCAGAACAGAAACGAGATTGGTAATATATAAATCATTACTATCCTATTGACGGAATATTATTCACATCTAAAGGGGTATGTTAAGAGAAACTTGCCTTAGAAGACCGTTACATAACAACATCATGATTACAAAAGTTGGAGAAGAAGGGGCGTTCACACGCACCGCCCCCAAGTTGCTACCTGCTAGTGATAATAACTTTCTAATTGCAAAACATGAAGGTATCACACGTTTACACCTTTAAGAACGAGAGGTGTCGAACGTGACCGAAGCATAGGAATGGCTGGCGCCACTGTCCAATATATATAACCACGACCGGATAAATAACACTAGAATCTCCGATTAAATTTGCAGTCGTACCTGGTTCTCGTCTTTCCTTCTTGTCACCTGGACACCTGTACAATTGAAGCACAAACGCTTATCGACAAGCATTTTCTTCCTTTCTTCAATGTTTTGGACACTATCACAGTTAGTTGCCTTCGCTACAACAATAAAGACACGCCCCCGAGCTCGACCTCGACTAGTTTCCGGTTTACTGTTTCGACAGTAAAGACTGCGAGGCTCCAGTGTCTCTTGTAATCTTGATTGGTATGGAGTCGGAAATATCACTTGACAATAATACCGAACCATCGTGAATGAAGGACTGAAAAATATCTATGACAGATTTGGACAGGCCACTGACTTCACTTATAGGACTTGCCTGAGTCTTAGCGATAAAACCGTTAGGCTTAGGCTCCAAGCTATTTTGTTTCTGCGCCACTCTCCACTTTTCCAGGCAGCTTGAAATCAGGTGACCTTCTTTTCAGCAATTGTAACATTTTGGTGACTTGGTGAGCTTACTTGGATGAAACTTGTTCTGTCTTGACCATGAGGAACTGAAACGATTTGCATGGTTGTTACCAGGATTCTGTTTTGGATGTCCTCCGTCATTTTGCCGACTTCTCTGGTTTCCAAGCCATCGTGGTACTGAAGTTTTGCAAGTTTTGTGATTACAATTTCAAATGTTTCTTAGTTTGTATACTGTAATGCGCTGTTCGTTTCTTAATTAACTTACCTTTGAATAGCAAGGACTCTTTCTTTAATTAAGCGAAAGAGGCTGTATCGATTAAACACAGTTGTTCGTTCCTTCATTGTAAAGTGTATTCAAAGAAACTAACCTTTGAATAGCACGCACCTTTTCTTTAATTGAGCAAAAGAGGCTGTATTGATTAAGAAGCGTTGTTCTTTCCTTCATTGTAAAGTGTATTCAAAGAAACTTACCTTTTGATAGCATGGACCTTTGATCAGGCAAAGAACCCGAACGTGACTGACGCTCAAGCAGAAAAGACCCTTTGGGACCAAACAGACCCTTACAAACATATAGATTCACCCATCCACACCGTGTGATATTTACAAAACGCTCAAGAAAAAGGCCTTTGGGACTAAACAGACGCTTACACACACACTCAGTGTGATATTCACAAAAGCTCAAGAAAAAGGCCCTTTGGGATTTTGACCGAACGTAAAAGAACGTTTCGTGGACGAAGAATTTAGCTTCGTCGTGGCTCTTTGTAAATTTTGCTAAGGTTTTTCTTTTGCCCTTACCTTTTTCCTTGCTTGCTGTAAATTTCGCTTAGGCTTTTTTCTTTCGCATTTACTTTTTTCCTTGCTTTTTGTAAATTTCGCTCAGATTGTTTTCTTTCACCCTTGTTTTTTGTAATTAACTTCTTGTAATAATAACATTTTTTGGTAATAATAAACTTTTTGTAATAAACATGTTGAACGTTTATTTGTTTGTGTGAGTTTTTATTGTTCATGCGCTTAAATGGAAAAAACTCTCATATGGATTATGAGTTTTTTTTTACTGCGCTTTAGGATTTTTTATCGCGCTTTAGTGTTGAAAATTAATTCTCTCACGACTTAAAAACTTTTCCTTCCATTGTAAAATGTGCGGTGTTTGACTAATTAGATATTTTGAATCATATTTACATTTTCTGCGCATGCATTGTTTGTTGAGCTAAAGTGAGTGAGGACGATGTTAGAAACGGATGAACATTAGATTCACCGGTTTGAAAGACTTAAGGTTTACAAGATGGCCTAAAAAAGACTCCCACATGGATGACAAAATCCCTCTTAGACACATATATATAATCCACCACATATTTACTTATAATTGTCATCTAGTGATGGCATGCAGGAACACCCCTCAATGACGTCGAATTGAAAACAATCGATCTATTGTCCCTTTGTTCTACTTTGTAAATTTGCCGACCACCTATGGGTGTGAAGTCTATTGTTCTTAGTGGTCACGTGTGCCATATCCGGCTATGTGATTGGTTACGCGGTATGGTATCGTCCTATACAACTCAGGCGAGAAACCGTCTTTATCAGTCTTCGTCGAAATCTTCGTTTGATGCAGTGCGGTTCTCCGTCGTTCTTCTTTAGTACTTGAGTACGATGTATTACAACTCTCGGTAGAGCTCGCTGAAGGTAGGTAGACATCGCTAGCAGGTATTATTTCAAGAGTATTTCAGCGCTGACTTATACAAAATCGCAAGAGATGTGAGAAGTTTCACACTTTTCTACGTCATCACCTGCTAAATTGTTACCAGTCCACGGGACACTTTTAAGACAAAGTAAAAGCACTTTAGGGCCCTAAAAAACCTAGTTCTAAGTCTTTTGAAATTTTCCTTCTGCGGAATTGGTTTGTACATACAATAAGCTGAATATTTACGCCAAAAAAAGTCGTGTCATTGGCACTTTAATAAAATAGTTTAGTTCGTGGAAGCAGTGTTTTCCTGTCGGTTAGGTTCAACCATAACGACAGAAATACTCGATTTTCTGTTCTATTCTTACTTGCTTTTATGAAATAAGTTCTGCAACCATGTCAGGTCAAACGTCACTGAATAGAATTAAATTTGAAGCTAATTATTCAAATGTTGAAATCATTATTCGCATCACTAATACACCCTCCAGATGTTGACGACCATGTCCTGCCTACGTTTCTGCTGATTTGAATATGCATCCAAAATTTGTCATTCAGATTCAAATACGCTGTCGTTTAAAATCATTGTTCCGTGGCTTTGGCTGCATTTACTATCCATACATCCAAGATGGGCGGCCAAGTAACACGTTGCGACTTTGAATGGTCTTACACCGCAGAGCCGCATGCGACTAGAAGAAAAGAAATTCTTGGTATGTTGTACTTTTTTTTTTCAAGTTCTAAAAGTAACTAGATCTTTCATGTAAAAAATTTAATTTACCTACTAGCTACTTGTTCCTTCCCAGCTTTTACAACCCGTTATTTCACTTTAAATAATGTGTATTTCTAAAAATAAGCTATTTTCTCGTATCCTTTTCTTTTCTACGTTTGGGTATCATTTCTCCTTGATAAAACTTTCACCACAATTCAAGGTCCTCAATTTTTAAGCACATCCTTTATACCTCACTATGCTCTTTTTTTACCACAAACAACCAGCCTCTAACCTGATGCGCTGTCGGTGCTGTTAGCATAAAAATATCAAACCTTGCCTGGAAACCTTTCATTGAATTACTTCCATAACACAAGCGGTGAAATGTTTTAATCTTGCATGGCAAGATTAGTTCTCAGAAAGGTGTTTTAATGAGCATCATACGTGTTCAAGTTATAACTTATCGCACATCGAAATTATACTCAGCTGTACATATATTTAATCAAGCCAACATTCTTCCTTAGTCGATACATCTTTCTTTTGTGCTTCAAGTAATCTTTTGTCGCTAATAGCATAATATTACTGAGAAAAAAGACCTTTAACTCTGTGTTTTCCTCTTTTTTGTTTTAGCCAAATATCCCGAGATCAAGAGACTTATGGGCAGTGATCCTTCATTCAAGTACGAAATCCTGTCTTTGATAGTGGCTCAGTTTGCACTGACGTTTCTCCTGCGTGATGTATCTTGGACCATTTTACTGCTTTCAGCCTACTTCATAGGGGCGTTCCCTAGCCACGCCCTCATCGTTGGGGTGCACGACATCTGCCATAATATCCCATTCGGAAACGGCCGGCCTTTACTAAACAGACTCTTTGGCATTTTAGCGAACCTACCGACAGGTATTCCTTCCTCAATTGCTTTCAAGAAGTACCACCTCCTCCACCACCGCTATATGGGAGTGGAAGAAATGGATCCCGACCTGCCAACCAGTTTTGAAGCTCGAATGTTTTACAACTCTATCACCAAACTAGTCTGGGTAATTTTGCAACCTTTTTGGTATGCATTGAGGCCTCTATTCATCAACCCCATAGCCCCAAACGGCTTGGAAATCCTCAACATTGTTGTTCAATTTGCTGTGAATTGCGCCGTAGTGTACCTCTGGGGGGTGAAGTCACTCGTATTCATGGTTAGCAGTACGATCCTTGGAGCAGGCTTACATCCTATGGCGGGCCACTTCATAGCTGAACATTACATGTTCGAAGAGGGCTTTGAGACATATTCTTACTACGGTCCTGGAAACTATCTGACATTTAATGTCGGGTATCACAACGAGCATCATGATTTCCCAAGTATCCCAGGTTCAAAGCTCCCTTTGGTAAAGAAGATTGCAGCGGAATATTACGACAACCTACCGTACCATACTTCTTGGATCAAAGTGATGTGGGATTTTATAATAGATCCCAGAATTGGCCCTTATGCTAGGGTCAAGAGGCCGAAAGTCAAAAAGCGTAAAGGAATAGAGCTTGCCTAGTATTCATGGTCTGCCAGCATGCTCTCCCCGACAACGAAATGTTTTAACGATAATAATTATGCTTAAGGGTCGGTTGTTATAAATTGGAAGTTGTGACGTAAACAACCGTGATAAAGCCGCTGGGAATAAATCGCCATTACAACTCGTATACGCACTTTTCTTTTCAAACCTTACTTTCGAGCAAATATCAATTAAAGCAAGGCTGCTTTTCACGAACGTTGAAATCATTGTTGACTCAGTTTCACCTCTTTCTTTATTTAAACAGTTACAAACTTTTCGACTCAGTACAGGTTAGTCTTTAAGGGTGTAATAAAGAGGCCTCAATTATTCTCCTTTCTCTCTTAAATCCGTTCCTGCGATAGTTCAAACCGACCTGCTAAGTTAATTCGCCCTGAACAAGTCTTGTTTTATTTCTTATTAGGCAACTTTTACAACAAGTATTTCCATCGGAATCGCGTTCCATTTCGCGGGATTGGATGCCTCTAATATGCCAGGAATGAGACGGCGGTGAAAGTTATTCTCTTACCACCAGGAAAGTCCATGTTTGGCAAACTATTTTCACACGCTTTTCAAATTAGAGACTGAAAACGAAGTTTAAGGGCCAAATGACCTCGGTCGGCCTTACGAAAAGTCGTTAAGTGTACATACACCAATCAATGGCGAAATTCACTTGCAATATTCGCTGTCCACTAAACTCATCCTTAACTGCCAGTGTTTTGAACCAGTCTCTGTGGCATGAAAAGAATTCTGTTTTAATCATTTCTTCTGCATGGATGTCAATAAGTCGCAAACAACCCCCTCACCGTTCCCTGACAGTTCGTTAGTACCTATTTGAACATATGGCCCCGGTTGTTCGAAGGTTGGATAGCGCTATCCATTGGATAAAACTCTATCCGGTGGATAACGCTGTATGTTTCGCTATCACTTATCTGCTGGATAGCGATTTATCCATTGGATTGCGTTATCCGACCTTTATACAACTGGAACCCGGATAAAGAGGGGCACGTCATGGTTATAACGTTCTGTCGGAGAACACTGCACAATGACTCAGCTGGGGCACGAACTGAATATCTTGATCCAGAGTCAACCACAAAGGTCTTGTTTCCCCTTAAACTGATTGAAGGCTAGTGCCAGCTGAAACGGGTCCGCAAGACTTGTAAGACACCGAGGTAGAGTGTAGCAAAGTTTATTAAAAGCACTTTTATTGAGTATATTGTTTCTCTTTTATTTATTACGCGTATTAGAGTATTTTCAGTTCCATCTCATGATATAAAGCCAAGGAATAAGAAATGAAATTGTTCGAAACTCAAAGGAAAACAAGGCAAACTGCCAGAGGCGCGGGAAAATGCAGATGACCAAGGCGCGTTTGGCTTTCGCTTTGTATCTCATTGGTCAAAAGCCTGGATTGAATACTTTGGATCGATCAACTAATCCATAACATTCTCCGCTTAAAAATTTACGTGAAATACAGCAGCATACATACGTTGAAAATCGGCTTTTTCAACATATCACTGTAAGCACGAATCAAGATGCTGATTGATCTTGCAATTTAAAATTAATGTTTGGCACACAGGACACAGCACTGTATCAGTTGAGTTGAAACGATCACTGTGTAAATGTTTAACTTCCCTTGTCGATGAGCCGGGGGAATCTGCTATTAACTCAATTGGCTTCTGTTGGGATCCCAATACTGGACTAGTCAAGTCATAACCTCTGCTGTTGCACTTTTTGTGTTTATCTTTAGCTCTTTGAAAAGCATCTACAATTGTGAGAGTTGGTGAAGAGCTGGTTTTAGTTTTATTTGGTGATGGTGTTTTTATCTCAATAAAAGCAGGCTTCTTAGATTCCTTGGTAAATGTTTTTGAGTCATGTTGGTCAGAGCTTGAGCCTAACGTTCTGCCAGGCCCAGAAAATGGTATCACATCTGTAGTCCACTGTGAAGAACCAGGCTGGTTCAACTTTGATTTCGTGTCTTCATTGTGATCTGATAAAGCAACAGCACCATCATCTACAAGGCTTTTCTTTTTCCGTTTCACCATTTCTTGGTCATATTCAGAATTACAACTGCTATCATCACTGTCTCTTGTTTTGCGTTTAAAAAATCTTGGCAGTGTTCCAGAATTTCCTCCACCAAGCACATGCCCCTTGTTCTTGGCAACTCCTGTTTCTTTTTCACCTTTTCCTTGTTTTGCCTTGCCAGATTTTTTTGCACCATAATTATCTGGCTCTTTAATCTTGGTGTATGTCCCACCACACGTTCGCTGATGGTCTGCCCACCAAGTGTCTCTGGGTGACGGTGCTCGATTCATTGCTCTCCTTACAATCCCATAATAAGGTGGTCTCCTGCGGCAAGGGCCATCACACTGCCACCAGTGTTGACGGTATACATTTACCTAATAAAATAGGAGACCATTATTTCATACTGCAGTTCTCTTTAAATCATTTACATAGCAATAGTAACCTTTAGGGTTAATCACTGTGGTTTTTTTCATCCTTCTCGTACCATTCCTGATTTGTCATTCTCTAATTCCTGTTGATGGTTTGCACCCAGGTTTAACATACTACAGTACTAGATCAAAACTTATCATGTTTCTTAAATTTATTTGTTATCAGTAGCCTGATTTGAGCACTTCTCAGACAGTGCTCATGTCATTCTAGCAACTAGACAGTGTAGTAGAACAGGATAATTCTGCCTGTTATCATTCTTATGATTTAAAAATCTTCGAGCTCACAGTCACCCAGTGCTGATTCAGGTGTGTTTCCCAACTGAATTGGACTCCACTTAGTCCTAAGATTACAAATTATAAATCAAAACAGCTCAATGAGCTCATTACAGAACATCTATTCATGATTTTTCTGAATACTTACCTCATCATGAAAATTATGATACACCTACAACAAAAAAGGGCCAAAAAAGGGGGTTTAGTGGCTGATTGTTTGGTTGACAATTAATTATCACTTCAATTTTCAGACACAAGCAAACAATGAAGTTGTACATTCATCATTGAAAATGAGTATCTCATTGCTATGAGTTAGGTTGCAAACCTCTTGAAAACACATGCATAGTTCAAGTTGTTCAAAAGGATCCTTTTCTGACTTGTGATTGGAGGATATTGATCCTTTTGTACTCTTTTCTGTACTCAGTAACACTCACTTGTGCAAGATCTGTGGGTGTTATGTTAGCCTGCAGTGCAGGTGTCTTATTATGGTGAGCTAACATTATAAGCTCATGATCGTTTATCTGACCGGCCATGTTTGATTTGGAGTTAGAGTGGATGGTGGGGGTAGGGGGTGGGGGAAGGGTGAGAAGAGGTGAGTACTCTTCACTCCCCAACCCCCACCCCTCTCCTTATTTTTAACTGTTGACTGCCCCCTCCCCCCCTTAGAACAAAATTTTCTCTCCCCAGCCTTATCCCATTAAAATTAAAGATGATGGCCATAATTTTTGTTAAGAATATACTGGGCATTTGCTCACCAAAATTACACCTGCTCTGCAGGCTAGTGTTGTGTATGTCTCTGAGACAGCTCTCTTTTGAAAACTAGAAATACATAATTAAGATAAGATCCTAATTCATTCCACCCAGGTCCAGGCAAAGTGATATATTGGTAATATATTGGTGAAACATTCCCACCTCTGCAAGGTGGGGATCATTGAAAAAAATACTTACAGTAATGTTTGCTCCACTTTCTGCATTTATCCTTTGCATGTGTTTAAGGAACTCTGGTCCATGACCATCATGATCCTGAGGGCAGTAACAATAAAAGTGACTTTAGCTAGTTTTTTTTTCTTCTGTGAGACATAACATAACAAAACTAACCAGCACTCTCTATCTCCAATAGAATTGAGGAGGTTCTTAAAAAGTTGAATCAACTGAACAAATACCTTAAAAAATGACCCAAAATCTGCTTTAATATAGAAGAATTCATTGAGGGTGTGATATGGCCAAAAGCAAACATGCAGATTAAAACATGCAAGTAGTGTGGAGTACCCAGAAAGGTACAGTGCATTCTGATTAATTTGTCTCAGATAACAGATGAGGATTATATGCTCTCTATACATTTTTTCATAATGGCTATATTGATAAATGAAATGTAAAATTGTTCATCATATTGTGTAGGGTCACCATCAACTGTGAATTGCAATCTTTCCACTTTGACACTGTTTCTGATCATCAGGTGATTTATCAAGAATTCCCTTTAATGAGACAAGTGAGTAAATTTTACTTTGACCCATAATAATCAATAAACACAAGGCTGTTCATCCAAGAGCAAAAGATGTGTTTTTTAAGCATAATTTATTACCAAAGGCTACTAACCTTGTTGTTCTGTGTCACAAACAACAAAGCATGGATCATCTCATGCTAGAAAAAAAAATATAAATATGTTTTAAATTGGAGAAATTCAGAGGGAAACTTTAACCTGACAAAAAAGCTGCACAAAATGTTTACTAGCGCAGGAATAATTTTACATTTATGTATACCGTACTGAATGCTGAAGTCTTAGAAATGTAAAAACAATCCTCCATCCAGTTGACATAAAGTGAAGCAAGTAAATACATCGATAGTGTCTTTAGAATGCTGCCTGTAATATCAAACTATAAAATGCAATAATAATTTACCAGTAAGGTTTGAACCAAGTCTTTTCTTGGACGCAGCTTGAGTAAAGGTGCACTGAGCCTAATAGAACACAGTCCTCCTCGGCCTTCATAGCAGCATAATCCAGCACATCTGTCATGCAAGTAGCAAGTTAAGTTTTTTATACTTTGTCAATTTAAAAGTCTTAATCTTATTTAATGCACCCAGAATAAATAAAGCCATCCATGAATATCACATAAATTTACTTATGCTGCAGCTTAACCATTTCACTCCACAAAATCTCATAAGTAATTCTCCCTTTTGTCTGTAATACAATTCTAGTGATGTTGGTTTGGAGAATTTTAGATTGAATCTACTGATAATCCCCTCATTGATATTTTTCTTTATTCTCGTCATTAGACTTCTTGATATTGTATTGGTATTGTAAGAAGAAATTCTCTCTTGGTCACTCAAGGGAGTCACAGAGTTAAATGTACCGCCAAAACAATCAGCAAGATGATTTGACAATATACACTGATGGAATAACTCCTACTTACAAAGTCATTCGTGGACTCCATTTTACTTCTACAGATCCCAAAATTCCTTTAAAGTAAGCATCATTAAATTGTAGAAATAACTGCCGTATGTCCGGTATAGGATCAATAAGTTCCCAAGATTCATCTACAACTGACACTGGTCTAGGAATAGCGTTCTTACGGGAACTGGACGAAACCAATGAATTATGCCTTGAAGCTTCGTTCTCCTGTTCCTGATCGAGCTCTGCTTGTAAGCTTAGGGCATAGGCTAAATCGACATCCTCAGATATGTCGATCATTGGTAAACCGATCGAATTTTTCGCCAAATTAATCGAAAATGACGATTAACTGAATGATAGTACTTAAAACTTATCTGCTTGTGTACTCGAGCCAGTCTCTCGCGTTTGGACCGTGAAAAACTGGTACTCTAGCAAAAACAAAATGGCGTCGTCAGCCGGTCGAACTTTACGAAGCGCTTCTCGCTTAATTTTACAGGTAAATTCGCCATGATGATTCCTTGTATGACGTTTAAATACTGAAAGGTCGTTTCTTTTTTAAGGCTGCAAGCTCACAGAGTGGACGGATTGCGTCACAAGGTATTTGTTCCGATAGTAAATCGGAGAAAATATTGAGCACTGCACGTGTGTCAATCCATCATACTAGAAACTTTCCCATGTTTAATCAGCCTTGCGATATTTTATTTTTAAGCCGGAAGCCCAAAACTACAGACAGTTCGGGCTCTTCATCAAGCTGCAGGAATAAGTTTGTGAGTACAAGTTGTCAATAGATATTCCAGAAATTCTTTTGCATCGCTTTATAAACACTGTACAGCCAATCAGCCAAGATTATATAATTTACTTCTCTGGTTCCTGTTCTCTTCTCCTCGGCACAATGCCCCTATCTTCACTCTCTGCTCCTGCCTTCCCAAGAATACAGAGAGAAAACATTTCCATTCTATGGGATGTATACATGCATGACCCAACGTTGTCCGTTGTGTACAGAGAGTGCTTCGATCCACAGGAGCAATTAGTTGCATAACAGTGAAGCGTGCTGTTATTAAACTTGAGTAAAAATTAGTACAAGCAAACTTGTTGACTGATGAAGAAGAGCTACAAATGAAGACCTTGTCCAGTAAGTCTAGTGCCAGTTTCCTTGCTCCTCAAAAAGTTGTCAACCTAGCCCCATTGTGAACCCATACCCCTCTTATTTTGGGTCAACAATACTGTATTAGGCGAACATTGGTAATATTCGCTGGGATATTTAATCAAACAGCTCTCATGATACACAGTAGCCAGCAGAGCAGGCATAATTTTGGCAAGCAAGTGTGTAGTGTTTTCTTTGTGGAAATTATGGCTGTCATCTTTGATTTTAATGGCAGTAGAAGGCTGGGTAGAGAAAGAAATTTGTACCAAGGGGGTGAGCAATGGTCAATAATAAGGAGAGGGGTGGGGGTGATCACTCACAAGCTTCTCAACGTTGACTCGCCCTAATAAGATGGTATGTTTAATTTCTTGTGTAAAATGCATTCTTTTCAGAGCAAGACAAGCCCAGAGGACTTTTTCTGTTAGTATATCAAGGACAGTTTCTGCTTGTGCTATGATGAGTACAGGTCAGTCCAGATGATAATTTAGTTGTTGTAAGCTTTTGTTATATTCAGGATCTTAGTTATCAATTCAACAAATTATATATGCTTTCCAGGGATGAAAGAATCTCAAGTGAATGCAATTCTGGATTACCCAAGTCATGTAAACAATAATTGTTCTGTTGCTATTTCCTAAGTGATTTATTGAAAAACAAAAAATGATGATCTTGGAAATATTTTGTTAACAGCTTCACCAGTGTCTACCTGTGGATCACTGTTATGTACTGGAAGCAGCTCAGATATGATGGAAGTATCTGCTAGTGAAGACGAGGGACTAGTGATCGAGGCGCCGGAGAAACTCGACGATTTATAACATTGGTTTTCCTTACATACAATAACTGTTGTATGTAATTCTGTTATTTAGTTACAAATGCAGTTTTATTGCTGTCCCTCAAGACTTCTTCTGATTTGACATTTTGCCAGGATTTCTTAAATACAAACTATTATACATTTTTTGAACCAGAGTTGTGCAGGTGGATTCAGGAACTCCTGAAGTGGGATTTTTTCGAAAATTGTATAATAAGAGGTTGTGTGGAAAAATCCTCTCAGAAAATAGTGATTGGTGTTACTTAACCTTTTTACTCCAGGAAGTGATTAACAAGTAACTTCTCCCTTCAATATCCATGACTATCCAGCAAACAGGTAATGAGAATACTCAAACTGATCAGGTAGAAGTTGTTATCTTGATCTAACACCAAATTCTCATAACTTATTTACAAGGAAATGTGAAGCAGCTAGAGGGGAGAATTAACAGTCAGATCCTGGGAGTTGAAGGGTTAAGTGAAGGTTTCATTACAGCAGCTGTAGTGTAATTTTTGTCTGGGCCATATGAATTGAAATGTTGATCATTTTTTTTTATTCAATGTAAAAATCTCTTCAGGAGCAGTATTATTGAACAGGAAGTTCATTTAGGAGCATTAATGTAAGCAGTATGAGCAGTAGTATGAAATTTTGTGGAGGAGGTAATCACACTTTGCAATCAAAGTGTCAGCCATTGTCAATGACTTCTTCAAGATGTTGTACTGCAGATGGATTTTTTATGTTTCATGCTTGGCATCATGTTAAAACACTTTTTTTAACTTTAAAATTTGTTGTTAATGGTAGTTTTCTTTTGCATGTCATTCTACTTTTTTTCCTGAATTTTTTCTGTGTTTTTGGTTTCATAGGGGATTATAAGGTTAGGAACCCTTGTGAAAATGATTGCTAAATTCTTAAATCTTAATTACAAGTCTTTGCAATGTTTTATAATGGATAGAAATTCTCCAAGTCTGTTCCTAGTATGGTGTTTATTGTATAATTTAACTAGACAAGTAATTGTTATTTATTGTAAGTTCTCATTGCCTTTGATACTAGTATATGCTAGCCTATGATTTTCTTAAACACTTGCTTGCTCACTGTGTATTTCATGTTTCCATCTCATTAAAAACAGTAATGAAAGGTAGTTGTCTTGAAGTTGTTATCAGATACTGCTCCAGCTTGTGGAAGTTGTATTTTTCTAGTTATTTCATAATTATTTATTGGTGTTTCATAATATATTTTTTTCTTCCCACCCTTTGTCACTTTCTCGAAAGACAATCCCTTGGTCAATGAAAATTTTTCTGAACCTAATTTTTTCCATTTAGTGTATTGCCACAGGATGAAAAGGTGAGCATTTCTCCTCAAAGACTATAATTTCTTTATGTTCTGTAATAACGTTCTGGAAGTGACCACCCCTTGGATGTAGCAACCCTTATGTAATGCTGCATCAAATAACTATTGCAGGGATGCCTGCTTTTTTTTCCCAGCAGTGCCGCAAGATATTAATTTTTCACTGTTCTGTTCCATTCCATTGTTAAACAAATTGTCCTGCACCCTTCATTGGCTCTTTTCCTTGTGTCTGGTAAAGAATGCAGTATTTTATTACATTTCTGCTAGCAAGTAGTTTGAATTTGTTTAAGTAAAAAGATTTAAGCTTGGTGGTGCACTCAGCTGAGTTTCAAATGAGGCTTACATCAGCAAAATGAAACAAGTTTGTACAAAAAAAATTTAATGGTCGTTACATCATGACAGTGACTGAAATTTAACATAATCACCTTGTAACAAAAAAGTGGACAAAAAAAACAGCCCTGAATTTCAACATTAACTGTTAATATACAATGTACATATCTTCATTTATCACATGCACAGTTAATGAGCAATAGATATTTACAAGTCAGAGTATTAGATCACTCAGTCACAGTAAACCAAAATGCTAACGTTTTAAATAAGAGGTCAGAGTTACAGACTAGGAAATATATTCTTGACAGAGTTGGTTTGACCACTTTTCAAATAGACAATGTACATCTTGTAAATAAATGAAACTGTAAATTGAATTACTTTGGACTATTTTGAGAGACAGACTGAGTTATCTCTAAAAATGCAGTATCTCTTTAGCCTATTTAAGAGTGCCCCTTTCCTGAACAAAAAGTAAGGATGAGGCAGGGTAAAGAGGCCATGAGTCAATTGTAAGAGGTCTCTGACTCACTATGTAGCATGAAAATTTTGCAGTGGTTTTAATAGCCATCAACATTAGCATCAGTTCTACTGAAGCAAATGTTTGTGGTTCACAGTGACTGAAATTCCACTTGGGAACTAACACTTTGAAAACATCAACAGTGAAGGAAACAGCCTATAGCTGGTTGAGTACTGATGATGTTAAACAATCTTCCCTGGACAACTGAAATCCCTTGTCAAACTAACTATGACAATGAATATATTTATTCTTACTTATTATTTTCTAAATTGACTAGCATTTAGCATCGTTTTAATGACTGCAAATTTTTGCCTAACAAGCCAACATACAACAGAGCATGCGCAGTTGATGATTTTGGGGGAAAACAGGAAACAAGTAAACATCCCTAACCTTTCACACCTAAGATCTCCTAGGTAATTCTCCTTACTGTCTGACATACAATTCTTATGATGTTAGTTTGGAGAATTTGGCATTGGATCAGTTATTGATAATCCCTTCGTTGACATTTTTCTATATTCTCATCACTTGTCTGCTTGTATTGATATTGTTATTGTATTGTAAATTATTTCTATGGAATTAAAGTGGTAAAACGTGCTAAATCACAGCTTTAGTATTGTGGTACAACACACCAGCCCTGTATTTTCCATAGTCCATCATTTCAAAGTCCATCATCTACAATCTGTAAAAAACTAGTTGACACATTGCTACTGAGATTTCAAAATTCGGTTTATCATAGCAATTTTCTTCCTACACGAAATACCCTTACTGCCTCACCCCCTCTTCCACGTATATTGTTGGGCTTTTTTTTCTGTGAATGTACACCATTGAATAAAGGAAAATGTGAATTCTGGCAACCTGTGGTTTAATGTCCACTAGACTTCAGAGATCCCCAAATTTCCTGGCTATCTCCTACAATTCTTGTGTTAAATAGCCATGACCTATGGTATTTTGCTTTATGACCTAAAGAATATTCTCAAGTCATTTCAAACTGTGACACTGCTCTAAGGCAGGCTGACAGTGTTTCAGGTTACTAAGACAACAGAATAAGTTTTCAAGGCACACTATCTAGAAACTGTCTAAAGCATACAGGTTGACTCCTCACCAGCGACATAATAATTCCTTGGAGAAGGTTAACACAGTCAAGTGTCAAATAATTTTTTCACAGATTGTATGTAAACATTTCCTTCTGGATTGCCTGATTCACAAAGGTTTGGGATGGAAGAGCTCTAAAAGTTCATAGAATTCTACAGTCTATTTCTATATTTTTCCTCTCTCTAAGGCCATCTCTGAACAGTAATTTTTTTTTGTTCCTTTGATCTCACTCCTAAACAATAAGACAGTCTACCAACATGAAATGTTAGTTGTAATAACCTTTGACAACAGGTTTTGCAGTCTTTACAGCATTCACAATTCCATGATTTTCACTACTTTTCTGCTTTAAGAACTTAAAAATATTGATTGTTTGAACTTTACTACCAAAAGCATAGGGCCCCTCCAACATACTATAAGTATGATGATTTTATATCATTTTTACACCAAAGCATGCATTCTATGACTTTCTTGGTAAGCATTACAACTTTTGTAACCACTTCCTTCCATTCCTCAGTCTACATTGAAACAAAACCTACATACAGCACATGCATTCATTGACAGATATAATTTTATAAAAGAGAATTGTCAACAATAATTACTTTTAGCTAAGCTCCTACAATTCAGAGTAAAGATCATCTTTGTGACCAAATGTCAACCATGTTGTCCAAACCCCATAAGTAACCATCTTCATGGTTGCCCTCCTCCCAAGGTGTTCTGTGATTCAACCACATTCCATCTTGAAGTGGGGTGGTTTTACCAAAATCAATCATCCACACGCTGGCCCGGCCATCTGCATCATGGACGAATAACAGTGAACTACCAACCACCTGGAGTGTAAACAGATACAACAAATATGTTTAGTAATAACATTACATCACAAAAAATGAATGTCTTCAAACACCAGAAAGGAATTTGAAAATTTTCAGAGTGAAAACTGAAAAATATTTTCAAATTTATCTTAATGATGATCTAACAAAAGTAATTGCCAAAGGATTGGCAGAATCTTCCAGACAGTACTGTGGTAAATCTTATAAGTAAAGGCTAATATGGAATGTTGCAACTTTATTATGGCTAGATTTTGTAGTTCTTAGGCTGTTTAGCAGAAGTTGTTTTCAAAGGGTCTTGAACAGTTTTGTAATGTTTGTTTCACAGGCACACTCCATTCCACCCTTTTTACTCCAGCCAGCCTTTCTTTTTTCTTCTGAGCTTCAAATACGAGTTGACAGCTGCCTGATGTGGGCAATCCTGACTGCATTACATTGCAAGTAATTGCCAGCCATGACATGAGCATGTTATTCTACTAAGGGGCTACCTGGATGAAGTGTAGGCCCCCAGATACCCCCCACACCCATATTCCATCTGTGTGAGGTAGTGAGTTAAGAATTAGCAAGACTATTAACATGATTACATTTTGTGCAAGCCTCCTTGCAAGCAAACCAATTTGCAAATGCTGAAGTTGCTTAGTTTAGGGAGAAGGATCTTCAAGTAAGGATAGTTTATACTTAGCAAATTACATGTAAGGCAAGAACAGCATAATTCACTCACCTCATGAGAGCGAAAGAATGGTGAAGATTCTAAAGTTGCTCTTATAGCTTTTAGTCGTCTTATATATTTTTTCTAAATGGATAATAAACAATAAATGAATATCAGGAAAATACTCCCTCATTATCAATTCATTGAAATTAAGAAAAACTAAACAAGAAAGAAGACGTAAAACTCAAACTTCAACTGTACATACATTTTTGTCAGAGCAAGTCAATTCCAAAACACTGTACAGATCAGGGCCCAGTTGTTTAAATGCAGATTAGTGCTAACCTAAAGTTAAATGTTAATCCACGTTTTTTTGTTCCTTTGTTCAAAAGCACCATTAGGATAATTTTCTGTATTCTTTTTAAAGCACTCAATTATCAAATTGCAAACAGAATAAATTTATACTGTATTTCCTTTAATTTAAAGCTTTAAGATCAAAAGTCTGATTTCACACTTAGAATGCATTATCTTAATCCTTTAACTCCCAGATCAAATTTGTAATTCTCCTTACTGTCAATCATACAATTCTTATAATATTAGTTCAGAGAATTTAGTATTGGATCAACTAATTATCCCCAAATTGATATTTTTCTTTATTCATGTCACTTATCTGCTTGATACTGTATTTATATTTTAAGGAGAAATTCTGTCTTGGTCACTCATGGGAGTTAAAGGGTTAACCCAGCCTTGAACAACTGCACCTACAGTAACAGGGGAGGGGAGGGAGGGAGGGAGGGAGGCCATTGGGGGAGGTGGCTATTGGGGAAGGATAGACAGCATCTAGAGTGATTTGTTCCACTAAAACCGGTCAGTGATCTTTGTAAAATTTGAAAACAATTTTAGTTGATGCTTCTCTATCCCATCACATTCTTTAGGATTCTGTGCACAATTTCACTTCATGGCAGCAAGAAGTTTTTATACCACTACAAAAAACTTACTCTTATCTGTTCATCATCACCAATAAACTCTGTAAAAACTTTATCAACATCTTCTTTTGTTCTTGTTTTCTTAAAATCTTTGTTGGGCTTCTCATCACCTTTCTTCAAAGAAAGGGAAGATCAAGATACAAGATTAACACAAAGTTATATAAAAACCTTAACATGCAATAGTAAGTCAATACTATACAATCATCACATGATGTGTGTTAGATAGAGTAATGCAAACATTTCCAAGCAACTAAATTAAAAATTTGTCAATTGAATTCTGGACTGAATAGTAAAGCTTTCACACATTGTGATTAGGTAATTATTTTCAAGCCATCATTGGAAAAGCCCACTAATGCAACAATGGTAGTAACTGTAAGAAAGGTCTCACAAATCCCCCCCCCCCCCCACCCAAGAAAGGAGTGTTGCTTTGCAACAAACAATCACATTGGAGACTAAAATAACACCAGTCCAATCCTGCTACTTTCAACACTGTGTGACTATTTGAAATTGTTCCAAAAACTGAGAAGCTTAGAAACAATCACTATAAGCTTAAAGTGTATCCTAAACCTTAATTCCTTCAATCCTGAAACCCAGGCTTGAAGTTGAACTCAGCTGCTCCCTCCACTGCATGTAACGTGGCTTGGTTATTCCACCTTCCCTCTTCTCCTCCTCAGTGGGTTCACTGGGGTCTACTTCTACCATCTTTTGGAACAAATCCTACGAAAAGAATCATTGTTATTAACAATTGGAAAATGTAGAAAAGGGGATTCATTTTTTCACTCCCAAGATGTAATCTTCAGTTCTCAACACTATCTGCCATATATTTCTCATTAATTCTAAATTAATCAATGTAACAAATTAACAGTGGTTTAGCATGGTCTGTATGAGGCACAGCAGTGTGGGTCCACTTCCAATTTTATCATTGCTGATTAGAGTACAGACCATGCTAAACCACAGTCAATCTTTTTTTTTTTAAACCAATGACAATAACAACATCAAATGACTGACATCATGACATGTTGACCCAAGCAGCACTGTCTGTACTCTTATCCACAGTGGCAAATTTGCCAATTAGATTGCGACATTACCTCCAACCGAGGTAAAAATTATATTTGATTGTTCTCAAGAGAGGACATCCTGTCACACTTACTGCAGTTTCTACAGCATGAGGCAACAAGAAGTACTATAACTCCCACTCCAGATGGGTGGCCTGTCCAGCACAGGGTAACCCATCTGAGGAGTTCCCCTCCTCAAAATTTTTCAAGCTTCCAAGAAAAAAATGCAAAGACCCTGCCAGAGCTTAGTGTCACAGCCTGCACCTTTCATTCTGAGTCCATTACACTCTATGTACAGAGATGAAGAGAGATGAGATGAAGAGATGAATGGTGCATGACTACCATCTCCCCATAAACTTAAAATTTGTAACATAGAAGGGTTGTGAGACGGAGTAAATGCGCACTAACCACTGGACCACTGACGCCCCTAACGCCCCCCGCCCCTAGTACACATGACTACCATCTCCCCTAAACTTAAAAGTTGAGTAAATGGCTTATTAAGTGATACTCACTTTTCTGGGTTTTGACTTTGCCTTCGCCAATTCATCTTCTAAGTATGTTCTGAAAATCAAAGAAAGCAAAAAGATTTCCAGTCATGGTCATAAATTAGAGTTAAGTTGACTAATTAAGATAAAACACTACAAAAAAAAAATGAGTACAAACAAAGTGGAAAAAAAACTTACATTGATATAATGCCTAATTATTATTATTATTATTATTATTAATATTATTAATGACTGTATAACTGCAAAATCAAATAACTTGAAGACTTCTAAACAGAGAACTATGCCACGCGCAAATTTAGATAAACTGACTTGAAAAGTGATAAAAGAAACTGGCTTTGAATACAAGAGGATTACCAAATAACATGCATTATAAGAAACATGTGAAAAGGTGTAACTTACAAAGAGAAACGCTAACAAACTCAACAAAAACACAAACAAGGAGATATGAAAAAAAATAAAGAACAAAATAAATAAAATTTTACAAAGTACATGAAAAACAATAAGCAAGCAATTAGATCTTATAAGTGTTGCTCACATGAAATCATATTACTGATAATCTCTCCTGACATTATAGTGAACTAAATAAAAAAAGTTTTCCAAAAGATATATATTAGGCTAGGATGACAAAATTAAGAGGTACCTTGTTCCCATCTTACAGTCCATGACAGATGGAGTTTCAAATTCTTGTAGTAAATCCTGCATTTCAAGATATCCTTTAGATTTGTCAAGGACAATCCGATGAACACACAAACCAGTTTAAAATGATTCTTAAAGAGGTAAACAAAATTGGCAGAAAGGAATATTTCACCAGCACAGGGAAGATTAAGAACTTCTTTGTCAACTCTCTTAAAAAACAGCTCTCCCATGTACGTGTGTCCACAATATTTGTAGGCAATGATAGGATGGCAATGCTGAAGGACTGGTATACAGTTGACTCTAGCCCTGTGGACACCTTGCTTTTAAGGACACCATGCCATTGCAGACAAGGGCCAGCCCCCAGGCGAAACGCATAAAGAAAGGACTGAAACAAACTCACGTTGTTATGGATTCTCACTATTATGGAAATGTAGGCACTTTCATGCCCTCCCCTCCCCCCAAGGTGCAACATTTGACTGGCATGATATACAGCAACATTTTGAAAAAGGAAAATAAATTAAGATGCCAATTTTCATCTTGTAGCCAGATATTTTGCTGATTTGTAATATTTCACATGTTTAGAGACAAAACAGTTTTTTCCTCTTGTACCCAGCTATTACCAAGTCACTATTATAAACACTAAAACTCCCCCCCCCCCCACAAGGGTGTCCGCAAAAGCAGGAGTTGACTGTTAACTATTTTTTTAATAAACTCCATCAGTTTTGTCATTTTATAACTGAAAGGATACGTTCTCCACCTTTGTTAACTTCTTTCTTGTATTCAGGGATATAAGGTCTCAAAATGTCTTTCATTAGCCTCACAAGACATTCTCTCTCTTTGTCTGTGGATTTCTTTAGAATTGTGCCATTTTCTCCTGGTTTAAAACACCCTTTGATAATGAAAACAAAGCTGTCATTACAAGACAGGGCTCATACTCATTTGAACTTTCCCATGATCTTTTCCCTGATTCTTTGCATGGTTTCTATGAACTTCATGGGAGAGTTAGTTTCCAAGTAATGCGAAAAAGATCTTTAAATAATATAAGCTCTCTCTTTTGTTGAGTCAGAATTGAAATGAATTTCAGTTATTTTCTATGAATTTCAAGGCCTTGAAAAGACATATAGATTAGATTTTAGAAATTTCCAGGTTTTCCATGCCCCATACAAATCCTGCAACAAATTTCACAACAGATCATTTGATCAAGAGCCCAGCATATTGATCATATGACCACTGCACCTTCCACAAGTAGAATGCAAAACAAGAACTAATAGTGAGTTGGAGCAGTTTGTAATTGACTGTTGAAAACGAAAAGTAATCAGAACAGCCAATCATATCAAAGGTTCACATTAATATCAGCCTATGAGGAGTCACATTTAAAACAGACAAACTACCAAGGTGGGCGATGAAGTCATGATTGGTTGTACCTTTGTGTATGATTGGTTGATAGAATAGCTTCTGGAACAATGATTGGTTAATAGCAATCATAGAGCAAGGTAAAGCAAACTAATTGAAAGTAGTAAAGGAGGTAAGTTTCTAAAGAAACTGTGGTGCTTTGTTGATGTGAGTTGATGATGTTAATTGGCCACCAGAAAGAGTCTCAAAGCTAATATATTGAGCATTAGCCCTTCGTCATTGTTGTGATAGGCTGACAAAGGGCTGACAAAGGGCTAACACTTAGAACATCAACCTAAGAAACCCTTCACAGTGGCCAGTTTACATCATCAACTCAGCTGATAAAAACCAAATTATCTAATTGAAAGAAGTCATGAATTACTTCAAACACTTAATATAAAATTTCTCTAAGAAGTAATTCCTTAACACTGACCTTGATGTCCAGCTAACTGCACCCAGGGATACTTCTTTTTAAAGTTCTGTACAAATGGAGACCAGTGGATCATACTACGAATTTTCTTCCAGCGTGAATGGGTCTGCAAGGCAACACATCACTTTTAATCAAAATAAATTAATACAGTAAATGGTTTGAACCCAGGGGTAACATGTAATAGTGTAGTTTGATTGTCCAGGTGAGTGTAGTCCTGAGAAGGACTGTTGTTGGTACTGGTGACTAACATTTTGACAACCTGAGCGGAAGTCATCATCAGAGACAAGTGAATACTTGTTGTCAGTCAAATGTTCTTAGTATGGTTTGTATAAACTGAATGGTCAGCTTTGCCATGATGTTATTAGCTGTAAGACTCATTTTGGCATAGGTTGGTTGTGATTAGTCGGCCTCCATCTAACTCTGATGATGACTTCTGCTCAGGTTGTTGAAATGTCAGTCACCACTACTGACAACAGTCCTTCTCAGGACTTCACTCACCTGGAAGATCAAACAACACTATTACAAAATAAATTAACACGATCATTACATTAAGTAATATCACATTGTAAATCTACGAACATGCTTCTTAACAGAGTTACAATAAACATAAACTACTGAGTCCTGCTTTCTGAGGGGGATGGAGTTGGTTTGTAAAATATTACTCGTCCCCAGTTATCTCTTTTTTTAAATCAAGAGGGGCAGACAGGGGGGAGGGGTAGATGGCATGGATGAAATCTCTCTCCTTTCCCTTCCACCCTTCCCTTAATGCCTGTGTTGCCTTCAGCTCTCTTGTCCCCAGCTATCCTATGGTTTTAGAGATTGATAAGAGACACCAGGAAATAAGTCAGGTACTACATTTGCTGCCATCAAACTCATAAAGAGTGAATTTTAAAGCTTTCATGAATAAAAATATAACCAATCCCCAAAAAATAATTATTAATAATTAATTAATAATAAATTAAAAACTTGATGACAAAATATTCGTTTTCTGTGTGAGAAAATTTCCAATTCACATCACTTAACCACAAATTCAACTGTATAATGGTTGTACAACAACATTACTGGAAGTTTTCATTTGTCATTTACATCACCAGCAGATAGCTTTTGGTATTTTACTCAAATTTAGAGGTTGATGATAACTTTGTTAGAACTTGAATTCTGAGCTTCATGTATGTGTAAAATAAGCATAAAAAAAACATTAGTTAAACATATGACCCAGTACATTATTGTTCCAAAAACAAAATCTACTTTCAAGTGTGGGATGCAACTAAGAGATTGGAAAACAAAAGAAGATGACTTGCACTTGTGGAACAATAGAAATCCTTACTGAAAAACATTTTTCAATGCTTTGAAACTTAAAATGAAATGATACACATGAACATGCAACTAAAATATTAATCTAAAATCTGCAAAATAAAACGCATTTCAAGGTAAATGAATATTAACAGAAGTGAGCTTAAAAAATTACATTTTGCACAGTTTTAAAAGGTGTTTCAAAAAAGTGAATTCACAAACACAATTCATGTAGCACAGGATTGTTACCACAGCTGTAACACAAACACTTTTCACACCCAGATATTTTTAACTCATTGCACATTAAGGAGGTCTCAAAGACAATAAAAAAAATATTTCCTTTAAAATGTACTGACTGTATATCAATTTCTGTGATGAGCAAGGTAAGATTAACTGGTTAAAATTACAACACAGTATCTTCAGGTGTGAGAAATATTCCTTGCTGTTTGGAGGCCATCAATATTTCAAAAGTTTGAAATAAAATCTTTCCATATTTGTACATTTGCTCATCACCCATTCAAAAGCTTTCTGTGTAAGCCTTTTAAAATGTGAATTGGGAAAAATGGAACACTACTGGATACCTCTTTTAATTTTTGGTCAAATTAATAATATCTTGGCAAGACATTCTCTCTAAAAGATTTCAAGGTAATGTTAAATTGAATTGTTAAGATAACCTAGCTTTTCTAAACTAACTAATATTTAATCTTCCAAAATGTCGAAAAGAGATTTTGTATGTTCAAGAAACCAGACTGTTTATCTACAAGCAGGTGTTAGAACTGAATCATAAAATGCACACAATCACCTATTAGGTTTTTTTGAGCACAAAAACCTTATTAATCCTTAAGGGAAAAACTTTTCACCCAAGGGAAAAAAAAATTTACCTTCAGATGATTTCATGGTTTGTAATAATCTGGTTGCAATTGTGGAAAAATACAACTTATAAAAAGGTTGTTCTTTATTCACATTAACTGTCTGGAGAAATATTAATTGTTATGTAAAATTCCCCCCAAGAGTGACCTGAATTATAAGCAAGAAACAACTATAATGACAAATGAATGTAATTTAAAATTCATATACGTGTGGCTGGGCTTTCAATGGCAGGAGATCTAATGACCAAGGTTCCGCACAGTTGAGTACCATCACAATACAAACATCGACCTGTAATTACCGTAGGAGGAAGTTTGAACAATTGAAATTTCATTTCCAAGTAACTGCCGCCTGGACTCACACCAAGTTACAGAAAAATACATTTGTAGTAACATAAATCTGTAAGCAAAAACAATGCTTCCTAACTGGGAGAAAAATGGTAATTTGAAGGGAAACAAATTATATTCATGGGAACTGAAATACATTATTATTAAACTGTAAGTTAAAAATGCAGATATTTTTTTCAGTTTTGCCACAGATAAAGCATTGTGTTTCAACTTTTCAAGTTACATAAACTGGTAATACTATGATATACATTCATGGGAAAAATCAGAGAGAAAAAATGGCTCATTTCCCACTGATGTGTATGACCAAGAATTGAGGTTTTTTTTTTTTTTCAGGAAAATCATTATATCCGACTGCAGAGTGACAGAATAATCCTTACAGTTTTCCATTATTCCATTACTCTTGAAAAATCTATCAAGTAGCCTTAAAAAACCAGGCAAAAATGCCAAAATCCTATTAGGTTTTCATTCCAGAATCCTTTAGGGATTTTCATATTTATTACAGATTTTCATTTAAGGATATCACAAAATAAAAAAGGATTTTGATATCACCTAGAAGATTCTCTGTAATGGGATCTTGCCACAGTCTTTCATAAATCACCATACTATCTATAAAAATCTTGAAAGAACTGTTAATAAAATTGTATACATTATTCTTAGAGATTTTATGCTAACCTTCGAGATCACAAGAAGTGTTGAAATATCCTGCAACCTTTTTTCATATTGAAAACATATATTGGCCTCATAATGCAAAACAAACGAAGGAACACACTACATATCACACTGAAAATGTTTCATGACTCTGCTGCTTTTTAGCATTGAAACACCCCATTCCAATCCAAAAATTTATATTAACCAACTTAGTTACATAATTATATGTTCAGACATGTCAGATTATGCTACTGAATGTATCAAACCTTCAGATGTACATGTAGAGGTTGTAAAATAGTTGCAATGATGATGAATGCTCACCAATTTAATTTGTTTAATATTAAATATGTTAATAACTGCTACCTCTTCAAAAAGCAGTAAATATAAAAACAACACAAAAATGATTTTCTCAATGCGCATTAATAATTCCTAGCTTTAGAAAGGACACTAAACCAACTTGAGATGTTACGCGTGAATAAATGAAAAACAGATAATTTAGCTAAAAAGAAACACTTATTTAGAGTAACAATCAATTTTTAAATGCTTTTCTTTAATTCAAAGTATATAGTTCTTTAATCTTCATTCTTTCATGACACCTTGGTCTCCAATGACTTCTTAGAAAATCAATCAAGGATCCGAAACACATTATCAGTCTCGTTCTCATTGGCTGTGACAATTACACAAATTAAAATTCTGCACTTATCACTTAAATCATCTTGTTTGAAAATTGCATATTTCTGAGTTTAAAATAGATATAACTTTCAAATCACAAAGATATCGGCAACCTAGACGTAAATACCTTGGCAACGCATCAAATAGGATTTAAAAGATATCATTAAATAAAATTTTGCATGAATCCTGATAGTGTTATATAACTATTCTAAATAAAAATGGCTATTACAAAATACTACATGAGCTTTGTAACCATAAAATCACGTAATATATATAATAAAACCAAATGATTATAGTTTTACAAGGTAAATGTGAGACTTGCTAGAAATTACATAAAACATAACATACAAAATAAAATTCCACATTCTAACAAAAGGATCATTTTAAAGAGATGCCATATTTAACTTTGAAAAATTACTCCTTTTTCAATAATTTAAATTCACTTATTAATCAAAATTTGAATAATTTGAAACTTTAGTTTAATGACCTTTTATTACTCCTTGTGGAACAGTTTCTGTCACAGCTGACTTACACAGTACTTATAATTTTTTTTGCATGCGAGTGTTATTCTATTCAGCTTCCATCATGCACAAATGCAATACCACACCATATATAAATTATGTAAAACTTGCTATGACCATGAAGGGTTTCAGGGTTTTAACATGTTTCTACAAAATATCTAGCCTGTGACATTTCTAATATTGCGTTAAAACACATTATCTGCATTGCAAGTATGTTTGATGTTGTCACAATTCACAATCAGTTCATAGTTGTTACATAATTAAGCTAAACAGATGAACTACTGTAATCTGTCATATTCTGCTGTCTACAAAAGCCTGAAAAATACTCACAACTATGATATTTCCGTGCTTATTTTCTCCTTAAACTTTGCTTGAGATGTTTTCCTTAGCTTCAATTAATTTACACACATGTATAATTTGATGCAAAAATCATTTTGTGGTTAGCTAATAAGTTTTGCTGTCAATCTTGTTAATTCATTTTAAGTCTTTTTTTTTTTTTTTTAAATCATGTCAATGATCACCAATGCCAATAATAAAAAAAGTTCCTCTTATATATTTCTGCATGTGAGATGAAACACAATTAACTACTATCAGCTTGCCTGAAGTCATCAAAATGCTACCACAATTTATCTCAACATAATAAAAAATTTAAATTATTCAAATTTTACAATTTATACTTCTGCATGCAAGATGAAACACAATTAACGGCTATTAGCATGCTTGAAGTCATCAAAATGTCACTTTTGACTAAGATTTTTTAAAATTCTATTTTGGCAAAAATGGCAAGGAAGATTTGCAAACAAAATATTGCCTGCTTGATTTTGGATTTAAATGAGAGACAGTTACTGTATTGTTATATTGATAACAAAGTGACTCAGGTCCCTTCAATTTAAGAATTTTTTTTTTCTTGTTAGTCAAATCACAAGCTTTCTGATTATCATAAAAATGGTCAAGCTAAAAGTTCTTTAAGATGGTTATTAATAATTGCTAGTGTTTGTAAGTTCAAAGCACTTCAGTCTGCCAAAATTAGCACACAGCCTCAGTTGCAGGTGGAGGTATTTTTAAACCACAAACAAGGATATTTTGTAAAACAATGATTGCAATGACCTTGTGATTGCTACAATTCACGGTATGATCAAATATCAAAAGAGTAATTTTCATCCCAAGATTACAATGTGACCTAATTATGTGATCACAGGGAACATCTTAGCACCTATCTGCAACGGAAATTGCAATTTGATATTCTACCCTAACACACAAAAATAGCAAGTGCTGTACTTAAATAAAGCGAAAATCAAGGGCATACAGAATATCTAAATTCATTGGCTATGCATATCTTTGTATTGTTCACAGAAATGTTCAAATTTAAAACATTGGAATAGTTCAAACTCGTATAATATAATGATTTTCTGTAATCGTTCTCTCAAGGTGCTTTACTTTGTAACCGATAACCGATGGAGAAATGAGATTTTAACACAGTGCGAAAATCCTTAGGAAAGCACGATCAAGAGGCTTGGGTAAACTGAACTGTATTTACATTTCATATCGCTCTTTGAAAAGTTTTGCTTCAAAATATTTCATTTAATTATAGATCGAGAACGATTAGTTGGCGAGCCAAAAGTTTCCAACCAAGTGGTAAATGACGTCAATCGCAGCTAATGACAAATGATCGTGACCAACCCTGCGGCGGTTGGAAATAAATAAATTGACAAACGTTTCTTACCATCCCATTGCAAATGTCTACGGTAGAAGTTAAAAAATTATATATGTGAAATCTGGGGTTGCTAAGGAAAGCCCTACTGAACGCAGCTAAGTCAAAATACGCGATTGAGGTCAAAACAAACTAGAAGCCATTTCGAAGAGAAATTTTGGCCACTTTGAAGTAATAATAATAATATTCAGGAAATGCTTACTGAGATAAACATATTTCATAAGAAACATCAACAAAAGAAGCCTTCCTTATCCGCAGTGCTGCCAAAGCAAATAAACACTGAAATACTCTAAGTAAACGGTCACTATTTTATGAAATCAAAAGAGACCTTATTTAAACGGATGATGAGAGTATTTCATTAAAATTTCTAACCTGTGAACAAAACAATTAAACAAACCGGCAAAATTCACAATAATTGTGCAAGCAAGGCAACATGAGCGAATTGCAAAAAGTAGTACACTTGGTAAATAAAGTGACTGAATTTTCAACAAGTTTGAGTTTTGTTTTGGTACCTTATCAGATTTGTCTTCCAATGGTTGTCTCATTTCATCATCTGATGGTTCATCGTCGGTAAGGATCTCGTTTTCCGAGCAAGAACCGTAACTTGACAAAGAGCAAGTATCAGTGGAATCTTTTGCCAACATGGTGGCAGAAAGATCACCATTCGTATCCACCATAGCGATGGTTTTCCCTTCATCCACACACTCCTCCATAACAGCCGGCGTTATTACAACTACCGGGGTCGTCACTAACAGGTTAGAGTGATCTAAGCAAATTACATCCTCGTTATCATCTGTTTTATCGCAGGAACTCGAAGCTGACGATCGAGTCGACAATCCAAATTCACCATCCCCCGGGAGAGTTCTACTCGTGAGCGCCAAATTTGAGTTGATTTCTGCACTGAGATCCAAAATGTCTTCGTTGGTTTTCGTATTCGAAGCGCAACAACTTGGTTTAGTTTGTCCACGCTGATCGCTTTCCTTAACAGACTTGCTTGAGTCGGCCTGAAGGGTGCTTTGATTGTTTTCTGCATCAGCATAAGTTAACATACGCTGCCTCAAGGGAGGGGTATTATTTGATAAGTCAATTTCGCCTCCTTCGCAGTTATTGGTTTGATCGCAGTTGTCGGAATGACTGTTTGTATTGGAGAAAACGTGTCCTTTCAATGACGCTATTCGATCGGCCAAGGCTTGACTAGACATTCTTGAGAAGAAATTATCGGTTTCCGAATAGCAATTATACTTGTGAAGAATTTCTTCCACGAATGCGCCCGTCGTAGACGTCGACCTCCATGTTTTTTGACGGTCGCTCATCGCATTGCATGGCCGAGTGGAATGTGTGATCGGCTAACTGAGTTCCAACGGATATTATCTTGGTTTTGAGAAATTTTCGACAGAAATATCGCTTTTGTTTACTCCAGTGCACGCGAGTTCGTTTGAAGATGGCTTATCCTGTCTTATCGATGCGTGTGTTTCCCATTCTTGATTGAAATTAGGCACTGTTGATTCGCTTGACGAGAGGCAAATTTCGAGTTGCAACACACGGTAGAAACTGAAACAATCGATTACTACAACTCTAACCAAAGCCGTGACGACCTCTGTTCCATGGGTCGGTTCCAACATCAGTTAGGTCGGTATTTAACTGAAATCTGTTCGAAATTATTTAAATTAATTCCTTTCGATCCGCGATTTCATAGCACTTTTCGGTGGTAGCCTTGCTGATATGTAGCTTTATGTCACACGTTCTCTTCCCGTGTGTCAACGTAGCAATCAAAATGTCAAACGTATGCCCTCATACCGTATACAACACGAATCCCTGCTGTAAACTCCGAAGAAATTCCACTTAAAGCTACATCAGTATATTCTAGTATTTTGTGTTAGGTTAGAGACCCATTTATTTGCTTTTACAAAAATTTATACTTGACATAAACAAATAGAAAAGACAAGTGATGTGGATGAATGTAAATGTCACTTTCAGTAATGCTTTGACACATGTGATCGATTGTTACGAAGCTTTGACACTTTCAAGCACGCAAAGTCTATCGATTCACTTTCTGCCGATGTAACCAACAACTGAATGTAGTGAGCTCTTGAAGCAAAATTTGTTTTAGTCCGATTGTTTTGGTGATATATGACCCAAATTACAATTTATCGAAAAACGTGAAATTTTGCGGCGATCGAGATTCGGAATTGTCTCCCATTTTCATTCATCAAAAGGGGAGAAAAAAAAGATCAAGCTCGGAGCTATTCAAGAGGCACATTAAAATTGTTCAGCATGTTGTCTGGCATATATATCGTTATTACATAACTATTATCTTTGTTCAAGTAAATTTCACTAATGAAAGTTTTTTAAAGGAATCAGCACAGATTCACAATATAATTTTTCGTTTTCTTTGACTGCTAATTAATGCTTTCACTAACACATGCAGTATCTTAAATATAACATTCAGCTGTCATTCCTCTCTGAGGAAGTCAAATCGTTTGTTGACGGTCTTCTTGTGAGCTTATTTCGAACACACGATGGCTTTTTTCGATACATTTTCACTTTTTTCTTTGAGTTCTCAGCAGACCCGTGAATTACGATCTTTTTTTACGTACATTACCCTTTCATTCACACCTGAGCAGATCGCTTGCACGCCAGCCGTATTTACTTTCAATTTCTGTATTTTTTCATTCTTTTTTTGTTTGTTTGTTTGCCAGGCGGGAGTTACGAAGGCAAGGTCAATGAGTTTAAGCAAAGCAAACAAACAAAGAAACGAACAAAACGGACAAGATATGTATTTTTTTCTGCTCTGCTTCCTGAACCTCCCGCGCAGTCCAAAGGAAACAGAAAACGCTCCTATGCATTATTCAATAAATAATAAAAAACCGTTTGGGCAGAATTTGCGGCGGTCATGTTGGTTATGCTGACGTCAATTTAGGATTGACGGTTCGCCGCAAAGGATTCAAAATGTCTGCTATTATCTGCTCAGGATCAACAACAGGTGTAACCGGCTACAATGGTTACTATGTGGTAAAGGCTACTCTTAATCTTTAAATTGAACGCGGTATTTTCGGCAGAAAACAAGATGCAATCGCTTTTCTCAAGAAAGAAAGATAAAAAGAAGGAAAAAAAGAAAAGATGGGAAAAAAAATTGAACCGAAAGTATAATATCGAAAGTATACATATCGTCTTTACCGAAATTACCAGAAAATTGAACAAGTTGATTAATTCAGTTAGCTTTATGAGAAATTTCACTGCTTTGGTAGAATATGTTTCTTTCGGTGGCAAATTAAAGACCGTAAGCTATCGAATCACAGCATTCACAGGAGGACGGTCGGCTCTGTGATAAAGGCCGAGGCTGGTCCCATTTCTTTTTCCTTCAGGGAAAAGGTTCACAGTTTGGATGAAAATTCTCATGTCTTTTTTTCAAATGTATATTGTTCTTAGTCAGTGCTGCTTGCAGCTTGTTACACTCTTGAAATGGTCTGCTAAAAAATTGGATCAGAACGCGCCGTGAATTTTATTCTACAATTCAGGTTTGGTCAGCGCTTGGGATGTTCCATGCCACGAAGCGGAATTTCAGAGTTCAAGTGTTAGCTACAAAACGGAGCACTTTCGAGCAGTTCTAAGCTGGTTTATACTGGTAGAGCGTCCTCCTTTTATCAATACTTCCCACAAGCTCCGGATCTTTCCCGACCTTCCCTTTGCGATGAAGCTTATGCCAATTTCTAAGTCAGTGGAGACCATTAAAAAAGCCCCGTGGCAAGCGAAGCCACTGGCTCGTCCACCCGTTTTTGTAACAGCTTCGGCTGACCGAGAGAGCGTGGCACGGTCTATGCTCAAACGTTTATGAGACTCTTTGTGGCCAGAGGGTGGTCCGCGCAAAGGGCGTTTTCCTCAGTTTCCCACGCTATTTCCAAACCAGCGCAAAGGCGCCTGGGTAGGTGGCAGATATTACGTATAGTAATTATCTCGTCTGTTACGTCATTGCGGTGTGCGCAAACTTCTCTCCACCATTCTCTCTTTCCGTGGGTTAGAGTTCAGTTCGTTTAAGAGGATAAAGTCAAAGTTCATGGAGGAAATGGAAGAAGCAAATACATCAAAAGCTTTTGAGGTAAGTGCCTTTTCTTGTTTCTTACCTCGTAACTGAGGGCGTTTGGAAGGTGTCCTAGCGATGAGTCGTTGCATAAGTTCGGATTTTTTCGGGTGCGAAAAGTCTCCGGGCTTCAGCCGCCCATAAGTTTAGTGGTATGATGTGAGAAGAAGATGACTGTACTGAAAGAAGATGAAAACTGATAGAGTGAGGGAATTAAAGACCAGAGGAGAGCGAAAGAAAATGTGACGCCAAAAATAAATTATTTAATACGGGTAAAGGATTAGCTATAAGTAATGTCAAAACAGAAATAAAATCAAAGTTTCGAACGGTGGTTTCAGTTCTTTCTTTGCAATCGCTTTGCTCTGTTTTTTGTTGACGGAGGCATCTCGCAAATGTTTTCAACACCATTTATAGACTACATTACAGTTGCAACACTTCCTGGACAAATGGGAACATTTGAAACGGATTCTGCGCACGGAATTAAGCGAGGCCGGTTGGAAAGGAAAAAGTCTTGAACGAAGCGCGAAGGAAATCTCATTTAATTTTTTTTTTCATTAAATTTTGGGGTTACTAATGGAAAGCTAAACGTGTCAAATCACAGCGCACAAGTTTCAGAATTTGGAATACGTCCTTTGCAAATAAAAAAGGAAGGAAAGGATAACACGACAGCAGATTCTCAGATTTCGACGGAATCTCAGCGCTTAGGGTGGACTCGTCGTTTGGCCAAAAGGATGAATGGCAAGGGCATTTCAAATCGGGGCCTCAAAAATTTCAGACTTTTGCGCAGTTAGGTCGCACATTGAAAGTTCTCATCAACTGGAGTAGAGATTTTTGTGTTACAAACGAAAATTCATAAATCTTTGCAAGACCGAAATGGAGATATAATGCGCGCGCGCTTCATCCTCAAGTGGCAGATTAATCTGGGCCGGATTCAGTGATCTAACATTTATGGCAAATCGTTAAATAACCAGGTAAGTGTTGACAAAGGAGAGAAAAAGAATTTTCTAACGCAGAAGAGGACTCTGGAAAACGTTTTATGCCGTAATTATTCCTGAATACGATTGGAAAACAATTTCGGTTGTTCATTAGCGTACAATGATATCTTATTTTTAAGCGCGCTGATAAACTGGGGGAAAATATCTTAACGAGCAAGGCACAAGGTTTTTTGAGAAAATAATTCTACGTTTAACATATTTTTTGTTTGTTTGATATACCTTTTTCGATTTTTTGCAAAAATGTGAAATTTCAACTAGTTATCTATTGATTACGTCACTAAATCATCCAGTAACAGACCGCTGATTGTAATGACAACCTTATAAGGACTGTAATAGTGTAGTTTGATCGTCCGGGTGAGTGTAGTCCTTAGAAGGACTGTTGTCGGTACTGGTGACTAACTTTTCGACAACCTGAGCGGAAGTAGTCAAGTGAATAGTTGTTGTCAGTCGAATGTACCTAATCCGGTTTGTATAAACCGACTGGTCAGTTTTTCCGTGATGTTATTGGCTGTAAAACTCAAGTGGCGTAAGTCAGTCGTGATTGGTCGGTCTCGATCCGTTAATAAAGTTAGGTCACTCTGTTAGGTTCGTATGTTATGTTCATGTCGTGAATGAGTCGTTTGTATGGTGCCGGTAATGGTTGACACCTGTTGAGGGGAGTCTTTTCCAAGTTAGTAAACCAGCTTTCCTGGGTCAGTCGTTGAAAGTAGGTGGTGCTGTAGGTTAGGCATTGCGGAGAGTCCTAGTCAATAGTGTGGTTCGTAAGTCGGTGATGTTCAGCAATGTGATTGATGACATCGCCTTTCCTCGTCGCTCATTTGTGTTCAGTCAGTCTAGTTGTGGGGTTTCTGCCAGTCTCACCGATGTAGGAGGCGTGGCAGTCGGAGCAACTGATCTTATATACTGCTCCCTGTCTGTTCCTCGGTTCGTCTTTGACTTTGACGTTAGTCAGCAACTGACGTAGTGTGGTAATATAAGGCTGTAAGTCACGCACAAATTCTTTCATTTGAATCTAAAAGACTTCTTGAATTCTTACTCGGGAACTAGGGCTCAAGTCACAAAAACACAGAGTTATCATCGAAACTTCAGTTTTGACCCAGTCGATGTCAATCTAGAAATTTTTGTATCATAATTCATTAAAAGTGGAACTGTATCACAAGCTAAAAGAACTTACATGCAAGGCTTTCTTACGACGCAATTTCCGTAGAAGAATGTATTTGTCTGTGGGAGTAGAAGCATGTCAAAACTATAACTACAAATGACTCGAGCGAATTCTAGCACCGGAATGTTTTCAGGAAGGATATGTTTTGTTGGGCTTCTTTGTCTTCGTGTTTTTCTTCATTTGCTTGTAGATTTATGAAAAAAGAAGGATACTGCATTGAAATTAGCGTATCACAGTCTAAAAACGGGAAAGAGAACTCTAAAGGAACGAGCGTGTTTATTTTTTTCTACACATTCGCTATAATATGGCGCCCTATTCTTTGTCTCTTTCTCCTTTAGCAGAATTTTAACTGGACCCATTTAGATCTCGAGTGCATGTGTCAGGCTACCTCAACTTCCAAGGCACAATATACAATTTGGAAGTAAAACTTTTCTGTGTAGATGCTTGAGTCTTCAGACTGGCTTCAAATGTTGTTCCAAATTAGAGTTAATTAAGTTCTTAATGCTTTCGCTCCAAGCAATTCTTTATCAAGAGATGGTCACGAAATTCTTTCTATAAATAATTACATTAATTTAATTTCATTAAGAATATTACAGCAATGAAGTAAATTTGTTAGTCACGA